AAAAATATTGTTTACATCATTTTCCCCTCTTCTGATGACTAGATAATGCTAAGTGAGTTGTATAGAAACAAAAGAAAGTTCACTGACAATATTTTAAGGAAGCTACGATTATTACATATGAGAGGTAAAGAGCACTAGAATCGTACTTTTGGCAAAAAAAGTTATTTTTTAAATTAAATTACACTGTTGTTTTTCTGGAGATCGGTGGGTTCTATTCATTCATTAGACAAAAAAGAAAGAAAACAAATAGTTCAGCTAAAATTAAAATTTCTGATACTCGATACATACCATAATTAGATTGAAATTCGAGTCGATTCATCTGTTTACGCTGCGTACAGTCTATTTATAAATTGATTAGTGCAATAATGACAATTTTAATTAGAGCCTAATGCATCTAATTATGTTGAAAATCAACACAAACATTCCTATTATTAGACTATAATGAGCGGGCTAAAAAGATTCATTGCTGATAGAAAATCTACCATTTCCAGCATAAAAATCATAGTGCCATAATAGAAGTGCACTTCTAGCATGGCAGGAAGAGTTTTACTAATACATGCTGCTGTTTGGATATTGTTATTCGACGTTGAATGTAATTCCGTGTTTCATGTATCTAGGGAAATTGTTTTCTCATCAGGCACTAATTACGCACATATTTTTCGTTTAATTATTCACGTTTAAAAATAGCAACATCGAGTATATGATCTTCTATCTTGCTTATATAAATAATTATGGAATAAGGTTTTATATTTCTATGAATATATTATTAAAACAGCAAAATATAACTGTCGACAACTCTAGTAGATCATTTATACGTATTCTTTCATCAAGTATCTTTGAGCACACGATTCATACGTATTCTTTCATCAAGTATCTTTGAGCACACGATTCATACGTATGAAGAATGTCAACAAGTGAAGATCGACTTCAAATTTATTATATCATCATTGAATGATATCGGAAAACATTATTAAAATTTTTAGAAAGCTTAACCCTTTACCGCCGACTGTATGAAAAACGCCGTACTCCTATAGGGGAAACTGTTGCCATATGGCAACATCCGGCTGGAAAGGGTTAAATAAATTCCAAAGACAAGAACATGTGTCGTTTTCTTTCTTTGTTTAGAGTTTGTGGACTACTGGTTGATTTCAAATAAAACAAAAGCTTACTGATGTAATTGAAAACATAAACGCTAATATTAAGTTTTAATTATGTAAACATATACATACACCAGTTCAAAATTATGTTCCATTCTAGAGAAAGCAAGTCGACTTGCCATCAACACTTTCCCTATTACAATATGTTTTTATTATTATTATGATCAGTTCGAAAATAGACAATTAATATAGATATTAACATTAGTCTCATATATGTATATATATATATTACCATATGTGTTATCTCCCTGTTTACATTTCACTTAGATGATAGAGACTATAAATAATCGAATAGTTGTTCCAAAACCGATTCTCATACATGCGTAACTGTCATGAAAAAATAAAAAATAATCGAATGTTCTCTAGCATTATAAATGGTTCGACGAAATCACTAGTATTTCATACAAAAGCACATGTCATATACGTACATTAATCAACTGTTTTAACTATTGTCTTTTTTTGTCTATAAATACCTTATTATTATTCAACAATGTTGAACTATTTTTAATAGACACAATTTCATTCGAAAACATGATGATGACTGGACGCTATTTTGCTCATTTATAATATTTGCCCATGTGCATATGATTAATATTTTTGTATTTTCTTTGTATTATTGACAGATCTATTGTAAACAGCTCGAGCATTTCATACTTATATATCGAACAAGATAGATTCTGTCAAGTTAATTCACTGAAATGAATAGGGAATAGTGCATAGTATGATGATGGAGTAAAACACCAATTTTACGATATAGAAATGGAAGAAAAGAAGTAAAATAATAAGTTTACTGTTAACTGTGATAGTTGCAATGAGTATTATTTTAACTGAGTAACGAATTGTATGCTTGATACGAAATAGTAATCCGTATTTTCGAAAGGGTCTCAATCTTAATTCTAGCTTTCACTAAATCTATGATTTTACTTATCAATATGTTCTTTCGAAGAAGCAAAATTAGATTCTTCATATATTTTCTTGGTAAGTTTTATAATAATAATAAAACATTGTAAAACTATTTCATTCTTTTCACAATTTTAAAAATTGATCATATTGAAGTAGAACATCAAAGAAAAAACAATAGATTTTCCCTTGTGACATGTTGTTGTTCATGTAATTTATTAATGCATCGGTGAAAATATTGCTGATCATCACTAACAAAACTTTTTTATCAATCCATATTAACGTCATATAGAAGTTCACAAAGTTATCAAACTGACGACTGCAACAAGATACTCTTTTGACTAAATGAAACCGGAAAGAATTATATCTATCGAGATTCGTAATGAGAAACTATATTTCAAATAAATATATGAACGAAGCAATGCAACATTTTTCTATTTAAGAAAATTAATAAAGAATCAGCTGGAAGAGTCTGAGCAGATGCACATAGGATTTTTAATATTTAATTATCGTTACAATGTCAAACAGTATTTTTTTTTGCAAATTACATAGGAAACACTTAGAAGTCAAATTCTAGAAAAGTAATATAAAAATGTGCCTTGAATATCGCATGACTGACTTCCATCAGAAAACGTCGGATATGTTAAATCCTAATAGTAGGAATCAACTTTTAGATCTCAACAGTCGGTTTCAATTTGTTTTCTGCTAAAATTAAAAATTTTGTGTTGATGGAATGTTTTTTCTCTCTGGAGAAATTGACATCAAATACAAAAATATCATAAAGTACGAATGACATTTTCTACAGTTGAACATTTAAATATGTTTAAAAGGTTTTTTTAGATACGTTCTTAACTTTTAGCTTATATAATTTTCATTTTTGATGGTCTATCAGTAGAAAAGTATGTTTGCTTTTCAACAGAGTTTGTTTTTGCCCAGATTATTATTATGATGAAAACTATTTAAATATGGAATGCTTGTATGCTTCAACTAATTAGAAAAAGAAAAACTTCTATTATATAGCATATTGAAATTGTTATTTTAATGTGCAGAACCAGTTACATAGAACATTTGTATATATTTTAGATATAATATTTTCTAGGGGTTATTTTGATAGTGGGCTAATGGAATGTTGTTACTATAGAATGTAAAAGTATTGAAATTATTTTCTATTTTAAGACAACAGAAGATTCCTAACAGAAAATAACTTTTTCTATCTTTAATTAAGGCCAAGGAAAGTAATTGCCAAACTATAAAAAGTAAAATGCACTGTAGATTATTATGGATGTACTTACATATGGATGCCAAACTGTGCTGAAAGAAAACTGTTTACAGTGTAAAGAAAACTTGGTTCGTTCGAATGTTTTATATAAATTATACGTTACAATTAGACCCACGCTTTGTAATATATTAAAGAGAATCAATAACATAGAACTCGAAAAATTCACAAGAGATGAATGATTATATTCCTTAGAGTTATTCTTTCTGTTTCATGTCTATTTTGATCATTCTATAGAACGTTGCAACAACATCCTATGATAGAAATGAAAAAAGCGACGTTGACAACCTAGATATTTTCTGTAAGTAAAAATCTTCTATTCGTCGCGTATCTTTTACTAAAAACATAAGCTGTTCGAATAGACATAGGCATGTTTATTTATAGAATAAGAATCCATAAACTCAGTTTAATTAATAATACGTATGTAGTATAAAAAGGTTGCTATTTAGTTGTTAATTCACAGAACATCGTGGGATTATGACACTTTTTGACAGAATATAAATATTTTTCTATCGTCGATATTCTGTTGCCCCATAAACTCAATAATTCTATTTAAAAAAGATCTTTCTATTTGTTTAAGAAATAATTGATTCTAGCAATGAATTCATGAATTGTATTATCTCTGTTTCAATGAACTTATAGGTCACCATTTTTGAATGCCGTTTCTTTATCATGATATTCATTTTTCACTTGAATCCCAATTGAATGAACACTAATTATATACATTCAGAGCCCGATGAAATTTTCAGGCCATTGTAAAGTGCTTTTAGTCCTATGCCGTGACGCTTCCAAAAGAATTATAACAAAGAGAAAAAAAACAACATTTTGACGATTCAGCAGTCTCAAGGAGTCCTCATTTCAACTTTATATAATATACTTCCTTTGTTAGATGAAAGACCATGCCAACATTTAGCGAACGAAAGAGCCTCTTCTTTAAAAGCTCTCATCTTTAAAATGGAGAAAAGAAAAGAAATATTCAATGGGTCATATTAGTATAAAAAAAATGACAGCCTGGCAATCAGTAAATCTTATGTAGTACTTGTAAAACTAAATTGAAAAATCTAGCTCGCACGTTCTGGATCTGACTTATTCTTAAAAAATAAAATATGCATAATAAATACTGACCGAGAGCTCTAATTTACGCAATCAACAATGCATAAACACAAAAAGAAAAACATTTTTCTGCTCTACGTTACATTTTTTTCAGCTATTAGATAATAGTGAAAAATTGTTTGATACTGAGAGCAAAAAAAAGGGTACCGAGTAAAACTTATGAACGATTGAAGATGAGACCAACGTCGCCAATTAAATTTATTTCATGGGAATTGATCTTTCTGAAGGGAATTGAAGATCTAATTTCATCAGATGGACTATATCTATTTTATTATTATTATCGATGATCTATTTCTTTAAGTATTATTAATGATGTTCTGTGTAATCTCATGACTGCAAAGTCTATAATAATTTGTATTCTAGCATGAGCGTAATTTTATTTATATATTTTGGTAAACTTCTTAGGCCTATTCAACGGAATAATAATTATGCCTCATATATATATATATATATATATTCGTTTTTCATTATAAATATTTCCGAGATTCAATTCATCTATAGATATTTATTTGTAGTGAAAAAGTACATAATATTAAAGTCTAAAATTTACAATTTTAAATATATGATGGCAGGTTTGTTGGTAAAAGTGCTAATGAATTTTTAATATATGGATATGTACCATTGTTACAAAATGCTCCATTGAAATCGTCCATATCGACTAAAAACAGATGAAAAGAAAAGCGATAAAAAAGAATGAAATCCACTAACAAAAAATAAAGAACATACGAGACCAAACAAACATTCCACCTAAATTATTAGCAACAACATAAGCAGCTCGTTTTCGAATGTTATCAAGTGTTTCGTATGAGATCCATTCACGATCTTTAAACATGTATTCAGACTCGGAACCGTCTGGTACCGTACGTTTTTGCCAATCAGGATCCATTTGTAATAGACAAACCTTGCCAATCAAATCAAATAAGCTTACATTTAAAAAAACAAACGTTTTCTTTTTACTTCAAAATACGAAAGAAAACCAGCCGTACGTGTAAATGGACCTTTCGTTCCATTTCCAACTGTTGGCGAATTGAGTTCATTTTGTTCTGATCGTGCTAATAAGAAACTTTGAGCAAATAATGGAACACCAAGAACAAGTTTATGAGCAGGTGCACCATTTCTTAACCATATACTCATACCAAAATCCTTTTAAGATATTTAAATTGTATGAAAAAACTACACGATGAAAAAAAAATGAAAATACTTGATTAAGTGTTGGATCAGATTCATATTCATCATAACGTCGATATAATGGCGCATTAAGTCCTGTATAATTTTGCCATGAACCATGAAAATCACTAGAATAAACATAAATTTCCCAGCTATTTGATAGATAAAAATTGTCTTACTATGTCATAATATTGATAAAATCTAAGACTCTAGAAAAAAAAAACATAAACATTGCGAAAAATAACGTACAATCTAAAATTTTTACTTTGTTATTTTTTCTATTTCATAACCATTGGAAACAATATGTTCATTGGCAGCTACTATGGCTCCTAATAATAATCGTGTTTGTCCTATTATGATAGATTGAGCCATTGCTGCTTCTTGAAATTCCTATTAAATAAATTAGCAAATATAAAATTTCCTTTTTTTTCCTTCAATTATTTACTTCGAGAAATAATGTTAAATAATATTTATCATCATATTGACCACCACGTACACCAGGATATCCCCAATCAACTTCTAAACCATCGAAATTATGTTTACGAAGAAAACTAGAAAGTAACAATTGTTGAAAACAGAATCAGAATAAAAATTTTCTTCAAAACTCACTTGATGGTATCAAAAACAAAGCGTTGTCGTTTTTGACTATCATGTATCATGTATGAAAATGCATAAGATTTCATATTCCAGCCACCAACAGCAAGTAACGTTTTTAATTTTGGATTTCGATTTTTTAATGCATTGACGCGTTGATAAAGATCTAATTTTTTATTTCAACAAAAGAAAAATAGTTCGTTTCTAGGAAGTCTATTTTATAGAGATACATAAGCAGTACCACATTTTTTTTTATGTCGTTTCGAATTCAATCAAGATCAACTTGTTCGAAAATGAACCAGCTATCGATGTGTTCTACTTGTTATTTTATGATTGCTGTCTCATAGAAAATTTTTGAATCGAATTTCGTGCGAGATAAGACTATGTAAAACATTGCTATCTACAGATGGCATAGTAAAAACGCTCGTCAAACTAGTATTATCTCTAATCGTGGATCTTGTCAGAATACAAACCTTCATCATTTTCTTCTAATTTTGTTATTAACAATGTTTGATTATTAATACCAGCAAATGCATATATAATATGTGTGCAAAGAAATGGATCAATATTTTCAGGTTCGAATCTACCTGGAACAGGTCGATATTGAGCCCAATTTGTAAAATAACAAATTTTCTTATATTTAAGCTCGTCTAAAATAAATAATAGAATCGTTTCAATTACAATTAATTCATTGACACATCAATTGTAAGCTTCTCTAAATAGCGAGTGTCAGATTTGTTTTCAATAGAGAAAGCATATTGAAATTCGTTGCCATACACAAAGGGTGAGATATTTGATACGACGATGAATGTCTATGAGAAATATATTTGAGACTATGAAACCTATGAACGTGACTAAGTTGTTTTCTTGGAATGTCTATGTTGAGAAGTGCTGTTTTCGAGTTTATGTCGTTAACAGTAGTAATAAATAAGCTGAGTTAATTCAAAAATTTACCTTCATTAACCGGAGGAGGAGGATGATGATGATGATGGGATCTACCATACGGTTGATCTGATTTCGAGTTAATTGATAAGTCTTCTTCAACAATTGGTCTGTTATCTATTTTCATCAGTGGATAACCATGAGACCATATTATACCCGAGGATTGTTCTGATGTATCACGTTCAGCTCGCTAGAAAATTAAATACGAAAAATGAATTTTATTTTTATTCCCTACGTACTTTATGATGTGAAAATTTTTGCATAGAAAATGAATCCATTAATTTATCAATTGTTGGCGGTAATGAGACAAGTCTTGCTTGTTGTTGTTCTTGTAAGTCTTGACTTTCATTAGATTGTGATTTTGATCCTATAATAAAACTAGCTACACGATGAAATTGTGCATTTTCAATGGGCGACGATGTAGCAAGTTGTTCAAATGCATCATTAACAGGCATTTTCACTAAACATTGTTGTGAAGTTTCATCAAATTTTGATGGATCTGGACATCGATATAGAGACCAACTATTAAGACCAATATAATTAAGAACACATGGATAATACTGTGATGGATCACGATGGTATGCACATAAACGTGGTAAGTCCGGTAAAGATTCTAAATAAAAAGTCATAAACGGTCGATGAGCAAAAGAAAATAATTATCTTGTATGTTTAAATATCTCACTTGATAGTTCTTGTGCAATTAAAGATTTATTAAATGAATACCAAAACCAAAATAAGAGAACAAAATTTGACCGTTGAAAACGCATCGTATATGTTTTAGGTAGCGTTTAATGAATATATATAATCATACTGAAATGAAACTATACAAACACTCGCACGATTAAATAAAATGAAATGCTACTTATACAAACACGCATTCACTCATATTTTCTCTCTCGCCGTGTGTTCGTCTCTTCTTTTTCTTTTTGACTAGATTCAGATTACATCATTGTATATGTCAGTGGATTCTGTTTGTAGACAATAACGAGGATCAATAGAATATATAATAAGATTATACTTTGATTCGATTTCGCAATATACAAAATATATCTCGCCGATCTTCTTAGTTAGATATTTATCAGCTGAATGTTCAACTATGAAAAATATGTGTAAATGTATCCAAGGTCATTATCAACATTCAAATAGAATGATCCTTTCTTTACTTTCTCATATTTCCTTTTTTTCTGTTTCCATTAGGATCAAGCTCATTTTTTTTGCGTTAAATGTATACATTCAATGAACGTTTGTTGTATGCTCTAGAGGTGATTGTTTGCTTGATTGCTAAAGTTTTATTCAACTTGTTCACACGCAGTGTGTGTGTGTTTGTATCTACATGCATATTCTGTGTAAGTACATGACATTTGATGTTCAGTTGTATATTCAATGTATGTGTGCATAGTATAAGCTGTTGACAAGCGGATCTTTTGCTATTGCACGGCGGATGAGATTGTTTGATTAGTGAGCAATTCTTTTTCTTTTTGTTACTACTCCCACAAGTATAATTCTGATCATATTTTATTGTGTCTGACGCCCATCGTCGTCTCCTGTCATTTGTATGCTCTTATTTAGCTGGCGAGCTTGAACAGAAATAATTCGAATTTCATTCAATATTATCCGTCACTTTCACTGATGTATCACATCACATTCACCCTATTGATTATTATTATCGGCCAAATAAGTGACATTAATGCAAATCGGATAAGTATGTCTGAGTATATAATAAGAATCAATAATTATATAATCGATTTTTACAATGATTGAAAAGATTATTTGAAATTGAGATTAAAGAATTGAGAATTCTCTCTTAGCATTTCAAAATATTGTTTGATAACATTCAATTTTTTATCTTCTGTCGTTTTCTTATTGTAAACAAAGATTTAAAATCGAAATTTTCCTTTAAATTTTGAAAGCTATAAACATTAATCGATATAAAGATAGTCTAGAAAAACAAAACTAAAACCGTTCATTGAACGGAAATTTTGATAATTTCTTTTGTTCGCATAGCACGGAACAATGAAGAAGCTTCATCAATGCATCGTGTATGTTACATTACAAATTGGTCTCGATATCGATCTGGTGAAGCAAAATTTGAAATTGAATTTGTTGATCCATTTATGTGTTCTCATATTATCTATGCTTATGCAACTGTCGATGAACAGAAACCAGAAATTATACCAATACAAAAAGATGATCTTGGTTCGCACAAACTATTCTAACAAGAAAATAGATTTCATTTTTTTTGTTTTTGATTTTTTTCAGAACATTATCGAGAACTTTCTTTACTAAAAAGAGCAAATCCAAATTTGAAAATATCTATTCGATTAGGAGGCAAAGTTTCTCAATATACACGATATTTAAAACATTCAAAAATGGCTGCACAACTTGTTCGTAGTATTATTTGGTAATTTTAATTAGCTCAAGTTATCCATTAAATCCTATGGTATGTTTTCAATAAACTTTTAGGTATATGGCAACTCATGGTTTTGATGGTGTCGATATAGCACTTGAATTTATCGATGGTGACAATCCAGAAGATAAAGTAGCATTAACAACATTGATTGAGGTCTTTAACTTTGTTTTTTTTTTAAATTGATAAAAAATGAATTTCTTTTTCGTTTTATTTATTTAGGAATTAGCCAAACAAAAACGATTAATGTTACGATCAATGATTACATTAACAGCTGCACCATTTGTAGAAAATCTTTTGAAAGTTTACGATATTGAAAAAATTGGACAGTAATATAAATAAACCAAAAGAAAAACAATTTTCAATTGATCTTTTCGCTTTTCTTAGTCTTGTAGATTATATTAATTTGATGACGTTTGATTTCTATGGTCAGTAACATCAGAATATGATTTGACAAATCTATTAGATATTTTTCAATAGGTCCATGGGATGAGAAAACAGGTGTCTTTGCACCATTATATCATCAGCATTATCAAGTAGAAGCTGAATCGCTTCGTAATGTTGTAAGTAAACAAAAAGTATTATTATGAATTTTTGTTCTATGCATCTTCTTAGGATGGACTTGTAAAATTATGGTTGAGCCTTGCTATACCACGAAATAAACTTATTATTGGTATTCCAGCTTATGGACGTTCATTTACATTATCCAGTCGACAAACGAGTCTTCATGCACCAGGTTTATTTTATTCACGTTTTTTGAGTTGTTTTAATTTGTTTTATCATATTCTAGCTAATGGTCCCGGCTATCCAGGTCGATATACAAAAACGCGAGGTTTTCTTTCTTATTATGAGGTTAATTTTATTGTTATTCAAAACGACGGAAACAAATTCATATATGTATATCTATTGTTTTTCTTTGCTGAATCAGGTTTGTGAAAAAGGACAATCTCAAGCTTGGCAACGCATATGGTTGGATTCAGAAAAGGCATGGTATATGACAAATGGTGATCAATGGATTACGTATGAAGATGTTGATTCGGCAGCACTTAAAGTAAAATTTTATGCATAAAAATATTCGATAGATAATAGACATATACGTACTTATATGTTTATGCATACGTACAGTAAAATCTATGCTAATGAACATCTCCTTGTTATGACTAATCTTGTATGCGACAAAGTGTGTGTGTTTTTGCGGTCTCTTATGCTGTGATAATCTTTATATTGCCTATCATCACCTGTTTCATATGACATCTGAGTATATACATTTTATGCATAATTGAGTTATTCTACATAAAAAGCAAGTGAATGACATCATGATGACATGAGCTTACTTGACAATAAACCATTGAATTAATCAATGAGTTGGGATTAAACTTGATTAACATTGGCAGGGCTTCAAAAGTAGAAACACAAATAGTATGTGAGAGAGAGGATACAAAACAAAAATAAAATATTGTATTGCAGTTGAATAATCGTTTTTGTTAAATACATGGAAATGAAAGTATATGATCAAGAGCATAGATAATCATGACTAGTGTGAAATATGATATTCTTGACCAGTTTATTCATCTCATACAAAATCACATGTAAATTATCATAAATGAATACATTGAAATAGTGAATCCTATTTAATTATCTCGATTGTATTGAACTAAAGTGAGATATATGTATACATACAAATATTGACTTAGGCACAATATGCAAAAGCAGAACAATTGGGTGGAGTCTTTATTTGGAGTATTGATAATGATGGTATGTGTTATTCATTTAATAATAGAGCTGTAGCAATTAATTATGTTTTAAGAATTTTCTGGTTTCTTCTGCAATACGGAACCATTTCCAATAACGCGACAAGTTTTTTCGACACTTAATCTTCCTGTACCAGCAACAATGGCAACATCACTTGCTATTCAACAACGAATTCCATCTATAATTGCTCCTGTAACTGTTGCTCCGACAGTTCGTTTTATTAATGTGCAAGCTCAAAATGCGCCCGTATCATCAGCAGTGCCCAATAATTTACAACAATTATTAAGTGCTCTTAGTGCTCTATCAGCAACATCAACTTATGCATCTATTCCTGAACCATCAGCCCCACCGCCAGTAGCACATCAAACATATAATGCTGAATATATATGTGCTCGGCATCATGCTGGTCGTAATGGAATTTATCGTGATCGCACAAATTGTTCAATATTTTATTTTTGTGAAGGCACTGATTTAGCTTCATTGCGTTATCATATATTTTTTTGTCCGGCTGGGCTAGAATTTTCCATGGATGCATGTACCTGTGATTGGCCAACGGGTCGTGCATGTCAAACGACAAGTGAAACATTTTGTGTATCACATTCTGTACGGATAACAACGACAACCACAACAACCACAACAACAAAACCAACAACAGCTCAATCAAATATTCCTCAATCTGCATTGATTGCATTAAATGGCTTAGGTCAATTGCTAGGCGTATCAGGTGGTTCAACACCAATGTTTGATTGTGCTGGTCGACGATCTGGTCTGTATCGTGATATGTATGATTGTACAAAATTCTACTTCTGTACAACAAATAATCAAGCAGCAGACGGTGGATTACTTCGATATGATTTTGTTTGTCCAACAAACTATGCATTTAGTATGACAACATGTCGATGTGAACTTGGACAAAGTCATACATGTCATACATTAACAAAAACTGATTGTCTTCTTTTATAAAAGAATGATAAAGACAAAATAAAAACTGAATTTAAAAAAAATCAACATAAAAATACAAAAAAAAAGAATAATTTCGCATTTTATTGTTATTATTACATTTAATTGAATATTACAAAGAAATAAAGTTTGTTTTACAAATATAAACATTTCTATATCGAATCTACCGTAGAAGAATTAGTTTTCATTGATTGAAAGGATCAAACTTGAGACCATTTACTATGTCATTTGTTGAAACAGACGTGATTTATTAAGAAGATGTTTGTTAATGTTTGATAGAAATCTAGGAACTAAGAGCATATATAATTATCTATGATGTGTTGATCTACCATTGTAGCCAAAGATATAAATTGAAATAAAAAGTAAAACGAGAAGAAACAGAATCTTAACAGGAAAAAAATCAATATTGATAATCGATTTATTTTAGATTTTTTTGTCTTCTATTACAATTAATCATAAACAAGCAAGATACATTATTTCAAATTAATTATCGCATCACGAAATGTAGACGATAAAGTCTAAATCCGATATTGTATAACACTAGTTTCTTCTTCTTGAATAACTATGAATTTGAGACAGTTGTTGTTGTTGTTGTAATACTACCTCATCTATTTTGATAACAGAAATAAAATTTCTAATGTTACGATCATGTTCATAACTTATTAGTCGAGAAGACTCTGTTGATTTGATCATTCAAATAAAAGTAGATAACTTTCAGTATTTTATCCTTCGATGTTATTCCTTCTCAGAAAATTGATATAGAATATATGTTTATATACATTTTTTTAAATTTAAATCCTATGGTTCTTTAAAAAGATTTCTTATTTATAATTTCGTCCCTTATCTATTGATTGATTTCGAATCTTGTAAATGGTTCTAGTAAAATTCTCATCAAGGAAAATAATTGAATTATTAATGAATTTTATTAGTGCATGAAAATTCGATGTGAAATTTCTCATAGTCATTTTTTTTAATGTTGAGAACAGTTGATAGCCTTTCATCAGGTAGCCATAAAAAGCTTGTGTGTTAAATATCATTAATTGCGATTCACTCGAAACAAATGGTAATTATTTTTCTCCGTTTGATCTTATCAAATCGAGAATTTCATTTGTCAACAGTCTGAATGCATTATATTCATATTAGCGAAAACAAACTGACTAATCAATCATTTATTCTCTTCGAAGACAGTCAAGAAAACCAAAACAAGAAAAAAAAGGAAAGGAAAAAACGAATTCATTAACATGGGCTAGCCAAAAATTGTATATCGGCAAATAAATAAATAAATAAAGATAAATTTTCACTTTATCGATAGGATTATATTGCTTGTAAATAGATGACTGTTTCATATGAAATATTTCTGTCTTTATCTGCACATTAATCATCATTAATCCAAATTGACTTTGATCAAATGCTTTCGTTAAAAATGACAATGTCGATGGGATGTAGACTTATCCATGAAGAAAGACATTGAGCAGAGCACGCACATTCATTTTTTCTCTTCTTTTTTCCTACATTATAATTCTCTAAAGAGACTATCAGATATGACGAATATGTATATAAATACATAGTCGTGTGCATCACTTATCTATATATGTATAAATTCATTCGCTCATGTTGTCTATTGTTCTCATTGTTGCCACGGTTTCGGTTGGCTGAACACTCGGACACGATGAGTATGACCTTTAAAGGTATATATCTATATATCTATATATATATACGTACATATATATATATTCTTTCTACTTGTTGAGCTTTAACCGTGTCCATCTCTTGATTCATAGTCGAGAGTAGAGATAAAAAAGAGAAAAATAAATCTACCTTAACTCAATGGTATGATGTTATAGAAAATTATCACAAAATATTGAGAAGTAATCTGTTTGTTTTTTTTGTTGTTTCAAAAAACAACCGGTAGGAATAATTTTTATCAAATAATATCATATAAATTATTTCATATTTAGTTAAGAATAAATATGAATTTAGCAATGCAACATCCCGTGGCATATCCATTTTATATGGACTCACCTCGTCTTCGATTTTCTCTTCCCTGGCCCTCAAATCCTTTTCAATATCCATCTCATTCTCAACAATATTATTCTTCATCATATCAACTTTCACCGTCGTTGACACCTATATCTTATCCATTGCCATTTATTCTCTCTCACCCTTTGCGTGCTCCTAATCCACCTCCAAAACCTATGCAATCGTATTCATCATATACAAATACACGTTATAATCATTTAAAACAATCTACCAGTCATATGAACCGACATCGTTCTATGGATGCATCATTACATTCTCAACATCATTCCATTCCAAATCATCAATATCAGCATTCGAAAGCAAAATCAATCTCAGATTTGCAGCAGTTGTCTAATCAAAATTCAACACATTTACTGAAAGCACATTCATGGCATTCAATGAATCATATACATCAACCGAATAAAAATATAAATTTTGCAAAGGAAGTACCTTTAATTCATGACAAGCAACATAATCATTGCTATTCACCGAAACAAAAGAAAAAAATACATAAACTACCGTTACCGCCATTATCACCAATACAAAAGCAACTACATGAAACTGGTATTGTACGTATATCAACATTAGATGAAATGCCAATTATTCATAATCCAATATATAGAGAAAATATAGTTACATCTAATATTCATAATAATAATAATAAAAATAATAAAAATAAAAATAAATCTCATCAAAAACAAAATAATAATAAATCATCATCATCATCATCATCATCATCATCATCATCGCCAAGTACGAGTAGTAGTCATTCATCATTTCAAAAGCTTTTAAATGGTACACTACGACATGATCCATTACTTACTGCTGCTATGGAAGATTTTCGACAGCTACATCGAACGTCAAGTCAAAGTACACCATTAACGTATGTTATTCAGTTTCTTTTTGTCCTAGAGTCATTATGCTAAATATTCTTTTTCAGTCCTCATAATCGTGATTTAAGTCGGGACAGTCTTTGTTCTGGATCAACACGTCATTCATCATCTTCGTCCTCATCAACATCATCAATATCTCAATGCCGAAGTCAATCAAGTTTTACATCACTTGAACGTTTAGAAATTCGACGTTTAATAAAAAGCCTTAAAAAAAATGGTTTACAATCATTAACTGTTCCTATTCCAACATCATCAAAACATTTACCACCATCTAAACAACCTATAAGTAAAACTTTGTCGTCAAGTACAATACCATCAATATGTAAACCAGAAAAATCTTCAATTACCGAAGAATTAGAACGCAAATTTAATAAATTACGTTCATCTAATCCAAATCAAGAATTGATCTATGTTAAACCATCATCAATTACTAAACAAAAAGAAGACGGTGCATCATTACAAAACGATGAAAAAATTTTACCTAGAAAACAAATTGAAACTATCGATGTAAGTGATCTTTAAATTCATGTCATCAACATAACTATTTTGACTTTTGTGTTAAAAAAAAGATTTTAGCATTAAAACAAACCAATGATAATCCAACAATATCAATTCCTATATCACAAAGTATGCCAAAAACATCATCTGACATAATGCTCGAAGAAAAAAACCAATTAGAATCGAAATCTGAATATGCCGTACCAGTAAAGAAAACTCCTAATGTTAGTCTTCGTGAAACAAAAAAAGATGAACAAATGCGTAGTTTTAGTTTTTGTAAACCAATTCATGATATTGATAATGAAATACGCCCAACACGTCCATTATCAATGTTTAATTGGTTTCATTGTGGCGTAACAAATCCATTGCCAACGACATTTCAACCAAATAAATTAAAAAACAATGATATTGATAATGAATATGATAAAGCTTTAGTTAAAGAAAATATATATGCGTCTGATATTGATGTACATATACCAATATCGAACGACAAAGATTATCTTAATGATCAATCAATGATGACAGATTATTTTTCAGATTGTAAACAAACAACACATGGTTCTTCAATATTAAATGATTTTTCACGTTTATTTACACGTTTCGGTAATCATAAACATGAACAGAAAAGAAAATTAAAAAGAAAATTACACAAAAATAATAATCATAATAATGCACGTTGTTCCATTATGTAAAGAGAATGACTTTTCATTGATTTCTTTTCTTGTTGTTGTTTTTTTGTTTTGTTTTGGTTCATCTTATTTATTATAAATGTAGATTTTTTAGTATTTAGATTTTTCATTTTGATCTATTTCACAAGATAAAAGTTTTTCTCGAGTAAGTTTAGTTAAACGACAAAATATTCCACGATTATTTGTTGTTTGAAAATAACATCGACCACGTACAATACCATTTGTTTTACCTAACGATGAATCGTCAAGAATAACACCAGCCCAATCACCTGAGCCTAAAGTTGTTTCACCAATATATAATATAATACCTGACCATTGACCATTAACGTAAATTCGATCACCAATTTTTAACGAATCTGTATCATTATTAAGTATAGGTTCAAAACGAGACAATTCACTTGTTGTCGAACTTTTAGTAAAATTTGTACGACTAGAAATCGATCGAGAACGTATAGTTGTATTTATATGATTATTTGTAAGAATTTTTTGACAATCATGATGACTTCTACTATGTGGAAATCGTGATGTTGTTGCTGTTGTTGAACAAGAATTTTTCGGTTGAATAGACGTTAAATTAGATGATGTCGAACGTGGAAGAATAGTTGTTGCAGACTTTCGCATTTTCTGTTTTATATAATTATATATATATATATATAACTTTACATTAATTAAGATAAATGAATGATCATCACGTATCGCCTATAGAATTAGATTACTTTATAATAAACCGACTATTATGCCATACACTTTTGAAAAATAATCAATTCTAAAGAAGAAAGAAAACAAAATTGCAACAACTTGTAGACTCCCTTTGGCAATCACTGAACAGAGTTATTGTGACTATCTGATAAGAAATAAAAAATATCGATACAATACTGCTATTTGCATACATCAATCCCTATTGCGTAAACTTCGTCTTCGTCTTTGTCTTCTTTTTTTTTTCTTCTTTACATGAACTCACGCTTCAAATCAATTGAAAGAAAGAAATAGTTAACATACCTATCTACCCCCAACTGAGTCGATATGTTCTCTTGTCGTTCATCTAATTATTTGTCCGGAGATTAGTGTACTATACACGTAGAAATGAATTGCATTTTCTTTTTTGTTGGTGTTTCACTCAGTCTCCTCTCAACACTTTCACTTTTTCTCGTATGAACTTCCTGTGTCTTCACCTAACTGCTCAAATCCTAATGCGCTACGAAGATGAAAACAAATGACGCACATTTTTCTCCTCTCTTCTTTCCTCGATCTCATTCTCATTTTTTTTCTCGTCTGTCATTGAGCTGCATATATATATATATATCAAAGTGTGGTTCCCTTTTTTTTCTATTCCCATCATTTTTTCTCTTCATGTCGTCATCATCATTACTCATTTCCATAGAGCATTTCTCAGCAAGTAGAACATCTCTAGAGAGATCACGCATTAATCAGTATTTTATTAAAAAATAAAAGCGCAAGTGAAATAAAAATAAAAAATGCAAATATTTCAATGAAGATATGTATAAATTAATATATATGCATATTGCAAATAAAAGAAGAGATTCACGTCTCCATTTGTTCGTGTTTATTGTAAGTTATTAGTTAATATACTGTTTGAGTATCAGACTGATAAGATGTAAATTATTAATGTAAGATTCTGTTCGATTTAATGATGATGAAGATAATATACATTAGTTAATTTCGTCAATGGATTACTGTCTGTTGATTGTTGAAATGCCACACGTCTTCCATCAAGATTATTTACTGGATTAATAGTTCGCAATGATAATTGTTGTTGATTTAGTTCATTAGATGATGGTGATGAATTTCTTCGATGTATGTCCGTATTTGATAATAACCTAAATTTAATTATTTTTTTTTGTCGAAGACAAAAATAAAATCTCTTATATTACTGTTGTATTTGTTGCTCGACAGAAGCCAATTCATCTGTTACCTGCATAATTTTCAATAGCATAAGACTTCGCTGTTCATTTAATTCAAGTTTAGCTTGTACATCTTTTTGATGTTCACTTAACATATAGACTAAATCATATTCTAATTGACGTATACGACATTCAATAAATGGAGATTGTTGAGGTGAACGATTTGATTTTAATGCGCGAAGTTGTCGACTTTTTTGCTGTATTGTATCAAGTCTGATAAGAAAATAAAACAAAGAATAGTTTAAATCAATATTATATATGTATATTTATATTACTTCATACTAGCCAAATGAATTTCGCTACGTGTTGGTTCTAATGAAGCTAATCTGTCGAGTGAACTGAGGGCTTGTTTTAATGAATCAATATAGGCAAATAATTGTTCACGATGTTGACGCATTGTTAAAAGAAATTGTTGTTGTCGATGATCTTTTGCCATATCAACTACATGAGAAATAAATATACATATATATATATATGTGTGTGTGTGTGTGCGAATAATTAAATTATTTGAGAAATACATGAATTAGAAAATGCCAAAAACTAAAAGCAGCGCTTACCTCACCTGGATTTGTTGATAAATGATTAATTGGATTAACATTAGATAATAATAATGACGATGAGATTCCATTATTAAGCATTTGTCTAGAATTTTGTTGTTGGTGTTGTGATGATAAATACTTCGAAAAAGAAAACAGAAGTTAATAGAAAAAAAACCTCAGATGAAATATTTTACGTCTTGAATAAGTGGTGGCGTTATTGTTCTATCTATAATTCCTGTATTAATGGGTATCAGAAGATTATGATTTAAAAAATCTCCATTTGTCTTATTAATTGATGGCAGTATATAGGGCGGTGGTGGCGGTGGCGTTAGTTTTAAAATAGATTCATCACGTTTATTCTGCATTGTTTTTATTTCTTGACGTAAACGTTCAACACGTTCTTCAGCTTGTTCTAAATCTTGTCGTAGTTCATTAAAATTAAGTGAGGACAACGGTAATAGAGCTATATATAAATATATAAGAGATTCAAGAAATTATGTTTAATTATTAACCGTTAAATTGTGTTTACTTGATGTCGATGAATCAGATTCTGATTTCGAAGTTTTTCTAAGCGAAGAATTCGAATCAATATTTGTTACTTGTAAATATTGACGAATCATTGCTGCTTGTTTTTTTTGTCGATCGAATTCATTGAGATTGTCTACTGATATCTTATTCGTCGTCGTCATCGTCGTCGACATTTGTAAACTTTATTTACATAGAAATAAAAGCAAAGCGAGCTTGATCAATGCGAGAAAAACAAGAACAAGAAAAATGTCAATGCGAAACTAAAACGAAATTAATCTACTAGTTTACTGGTTGATAATGATCAATTTCTCTTTTTTTTATTATTATTAAGCCTGTCTGTTCGAGTTATGCACAGTAAATAAGATAAAATAATATTTTATTCTCACTTTGTGATATATTGATATGTATGTTTTTCATAGAGAAAAATGTACTTACCAAATATATTAAGTAAAAATCAATCGATGCACTTTTCTCTAATTATCCTGTATAGTCAACTCGTTTATGCATTTTGATTGATTAATAAAAACTTATAGATAGTACCAAACAAGAATCATTTCTAAGATTGCCACCTACTGCGAAACAATATCCCAGCTGTTTATTCCCGAGATATATTTTAGGAAAACTTTTCATAATTAATTAGTTGTGAACTTTCATGATATGAATGGTTTGTTATTGTTTCTATATACCACAATGATGAAACATACGTTAAGAATCATAATAATAATGAGTTTGATTCAAAAAATCGTTTTAATCAACAGAAATACGAAATTTCCCTAGAGTTTATTATATTTAGACTGAATCAAAACTTCTTCACTAAAGATTTTACCAAGTATATACATAATACGCATTTATATGATAATAAAATCTTTCGTATGCAGATATTGAATCTATAGCAACCCCACAGATGAAACTCCATGAGATGTAATAAATTATACGTTGAGCTAACTCGTGTATAATCACATCTTATCGACACTAGCGACAAAATCATTTTAATACAACATTCTGATTAGTATTTCTTTTTTTTTTTGAAAACTAATTAACACGAATTTGATAATAAAAAATATGTATTCTATTCCTTTTTGTTTATTAAACATCCGATATTACTAACAGCGTTTGCTTCACTGTGGCATACATTCAATCAGATCTAGACAGTCCCCCAAAAATATCTTTAGTTCTTGTTATTTTTGTTTTTGTAATAGTAGCAGAAAGAAAAATACAAAAGTCCTATAATGATTCATTGCCTCGACATACCTAAACTTCTATAAATAAAAAAATATAGTTGGTTATAATTGCAGCCATTTTCTCTTGGTGTATATTTTTATTATGAGAATAATTTCATTCGTGTTTTTTTTGACATGTTTGACATACGAATATTAATTTTAAAATATTCATGACTAATATCATTATTTCATAAATCTATGTAGAATGAATATGATTTCAGTTGCATCAGTTACATTTCTAAAATATTTAGCATACTTATGCACTTTATATTGAACAAAGACAACAATCAGTAATCTATGAAGAAAATAGGAGACAAGAAGAAAAGTTTGTTCACAGGCAACAAACAACAATTGTTGAACATAAAAAGAAATAAATAAAAAAAATTTTTGTCATGCTTTTTTGAACAAGAAGAATGAAAAAGTTTTTCTAGAAGCTTCTCAAACAGATCATAGAATCGTTGAATAATCTCTCTTGTTTATAGGTATATTCCAATGTAATCTTATGATTGCATTCACTGAACTTTTGTGCTTATTCTAGATTTCTTATTTCATTAAATTAAAACAAGAAGTCTAATGTCGATAGAATCAGTCGACACGTTTGAACGGTCTTCGTCAACACTGGTTTTCGGTGGTGGAGTATCTCAAACAAAACTTCAACAACAGCAATCAAGTAAAGATGTTGAAGAATTGGAAAAATCAGTAGCACCATCTGATGCGGTTATTAATGGACAAGCTGATTCAACAAAGAATAAAACTAATGGTACTACAACAGAGTCAGCTCAAGAACATCCTAGAAAAAATGGTACAACAAACGAACATGTTAATGGACAAAATAAATCAGCAACTGTTGATACAATTCCACTAGGTGAATCGTCGAGCAATGATAATCCAGCTGAAGAATCTATTGCAGCATCGGGAGGATCTGATTCAGTAGATAAATCAAGTCAAGAAGAATCAACTTCAGTATTAACAAATGAATCAACAACTAATGTTGCACCACCAGCAGCATCACCAAAAAATGATTTATCAGCACCAACTGAATCGGAAACTGCTTTATCAACATCAGTTGATGAAGTTAAAGAGGATGTTTTATCGACAGCAACAACAAATTCTGAGCACGCTCCACCAACTGGTCTTTCTGTTGCAACAACATCAGAAGATACTACTCCTGTAGCAGCTCCGCCTGCAGAGACAATTGTTCAAATCGATTCTACATCATCAGAACCCAAAGCCAGAGTAATAATTAATTAATTAAATTCTTCAATTCTTAATATTGTTTTCGACTGAAATAGACTCCTCGTGGTAAAGCTAAATCACCAGTAGTATCAACTCCGCCAACACGTCAATCAACACGTGCGAGAAAACCTGTTGCATCAACTAACGAAGACGAAACAGAAACAACTGAAGATATTACTCCTACAACGACAAGCCAAAAAACACCTACATCAGCACGTGGCAAACGTCAAGCAGCTACAACAACAAAGGATACTAAACAAACAACACCAATAGCAGGTAGTTGAATGCTTCATTTATTTTAATAAACTTTCTTTGTTGTATTTTTTGCTTTTTTAGGCAGTAGTTCAGCTGAAAAAGTTCAAAATAAACCTGAAAAAGAAACAGTTCGATCTGGTGTTGAAGATCATGGTGATTCAACAGAAGGTAAAACTAAAGCCCCGACCCCACGTAAAGGAACACGAACAACACCAGTAAGCACGGGACAAAAACGTGAAGCATCATCATCGCTATCACCAAGTGCCTCGAAAAAGCAAAAAGCAACACCAAAAGGTAGAAAATCTACTACAAAAGATGATAACGAACAAATGGATGTTGTTAATGAAAAAGGAAACAAAGCAGTAACAACAATTGAAACTGAACTTGCTCAAGCATCTCCGAAAAAATTACGAACAAGTGCAAATAAAACAACACCAACATCGAAAACACCAGAATCAAGTGAAGAATATATGCGAAAATTACGATCACGTAAATGAAAAATAGACAAAAAAGCCAAATCTAAATATATTTGGCTTTTCCTTTTCTTCATCTTCTTTTTTTTGTATATGTCGATTTCTTTTTTTTTCTTTTCTCTTTATTCTTGTGGCGCATCATTTCTTGTCAAAGTCAATTCTCTGACTTTTATCTTGAATTTAGTCAATGGAATTTATTAGTTCTCTTGAACGTACATTTCAAATACTTAATATGTTAGAAGAAAAACTATCTCCGTGTGTTTAGATGTTCTTCTTTGTCTTCTAGTTAGACACATATATGGGTGTTTCTACACGATGCACACAGACTCATTGTTTCACTGTATATGAGAAGTGAGAGGAAAAGAAAAAAATGTTATTGGATTGTTCTCTCTATCGATTGAAAAAAAAAGAACACAAGACAATCTATTGTACAACATATTTTTCTTGAAAAGCTAGAACAAGATTTTCAAATGGGCGATCTCCAAAACGCTGACGCCACATATACTCAGTCAGATGAGTTCCGAGAAGAGTTGCATGTTGCCCCATTTGGTTTTTCTTTTCTCTCTTCATGCACATCCATAAATTCTCAATATTTTGAGTATGTGTTGAAGTTGTTGGATCAACGAAATTTACGGAGTGATTGACTATTTGATTGTTGTACCGATGAGGACCGGTTCCATTAGCAATTCCGTTGTAAGCGGCCCATTGGTCACTGTAGATCGTAGTGCCAGCACGAACATATTGATGGATGATTGGAAGAAGTGTTGCAGCACCGCGTTGATCAACTAAAACTGCAAAACACTGACGCGTATCTCTGTCAATACCGTCAAAGACCCACTGATTCGACACAAGACGCCCCCGATTGTACTTTCTTTTTATTCACGTACTCTCATCAATTTCAAGAGTGTGCCACGGTCCTCCAATGACCACCGGATATCTCAAAAAGTGCTCGCCACAGCAATCTCGAGCAAAATTCTTCCAATCGACTACTGTTGATTCGCTTGCAAACTTATAATGACGTCTTAAAAATGCATGAGAATCGATTTGTTCCGCCCAGAAATACGTCAGATCAAGAACTTGACGAATTGCAAGTTTCGAATTAGAAAAAAATGTGCCGTGTCGAATAGTTCTTGTACTTTTGTCTTTTCCGCATCTCCATACAAATTCATCAGATGCTCGTCCACAAGAACCTGATTTCCAATGATTATGACCTTGTGCACATGGTTCATTTAGAGTGAAACCTATCAAACCAACGTTTTGACAAAAGTCGATACATTTTTTAGTGCTGCAAATTAATTCGCACCATTCACGAAAATCAATATTATCAAGAGATGTAAGTAATGCAATATCTATGTTAGAATGAAATTCCTTTTTTTTTTCAACATGTCTTTTATATCAATAGTTTCGATTAATTAATTGATTAGACTTTGAATGGTTTTCTTTTATTCTATTAGAATAGTATCGCTCTATTTTTTTCTATAACTTTTATCTTGCGTCATCTTTGATCGGAATATTTCAATTGATAGAGAGAATTAACCAATTACTTTTTTTTCTTTCCTTCTCGTATACGTTCAAACAGTGGGGGCGCGTGTATCGTGTAGAAGCTCCCATATATGAATATGTTCTCTGTTTTTTTTGTGTTTTCTCAGCTGCTAGATTGTTTTTCTTTATTTTTTAGTCATTGTGTTATTTGGAAGATAAACGCGTAGAAAAATCGTTCTTTGAAAAAAAATGTTTAGAGCTGAAGCGAAGAAAAGATTCAATTGTGTTTACAAAACTTTTCTTCTTCAGTTTGTTGTTTAACAAGAAATGTCTTTTTATTGTTTTTATTTCTTTGTATCTTCTATTCTCCATTTCAAAAACGTGATGCTGATTAAGATGAAAAAAAAACATAAATTTTTCATTTGTGTTTAATTTCAAGTTGCCACGCCGCATATTCTTTAGATTACCGGTAGTTGAAACATGGCGATGATTCATTGCCACGACGACCATCAAGTTGTCATTCTTGATCAAAATCTATTGTTGAGTCATACTTATGCATCTACAAAAGATTGGAGAAATACTACGGCAGCTGGCAGTAGACATAATTTGGCGTGGAGAAAAGATTTATTTCATGTTGAACGACCATTTCGGATGACAACAACAACAACAACTGTTGAACCAACGAAAAAGAAGAAGAAGAAAAATCCGGTATGCTAAATTCTCGTGAATGAGGAGTTTAGAGAAATCTGTGTGCAATCAGTTTTCAGAAAAGAAAAATCTGAAATACTTTATTCATATTAATTAATTAAAATAAGTAAAAGACAAATAATTACATATGAGAAACGGAAATTTTAATTTTTTTACATTCACGAAAATCTCAAGAAATATAATGTGAGAATTCGAGTCAAAATTAAGAATATAAATATTGTGTAGGAATGAGTCACTGTTTTGATTCCAACGCTAGAGCTGGTTAAATTGACATTTTTTTTTGTTTTCAGACCTGAACTCCACTGCTAATATTAATCAAATCAGTCGTCAATTTATCCTACTAATCGTTTCCGCGATGTAAAATTCGTTTTTTTTGCTAATTATTTCTATCGTGATACTAACACATTCCAAACAAATAATCTTCAGGATTTCATCTTCTACTAGTGAAATCATAAGTTATGTCTACTTTTAAAATATGACTCGTTTTGTCTGTAGTGCGAACCAATTCGTCGAGCTCAATCTAGCAATCTGTTCGTTTCTTATCGAGAAAAAAACATACTATTACTCTCATGAAACTATTTTCTTCTTGGTATTATCTGACTTTTAAACATCATACTACAGAATCGACTATTGAGATATATACGTATAATGATTGTCATAAACTTGAGTAAGGATTCATCGCATGAGAAAGAATGATAATTTGAAAATTACGATGCTGTGTTTTGAATAATATTATGCTATTTCTGATAAGGCATTGTTTGAATAGAATATTTATTCATTATTTCTTTATTTTATTCTGTAAGAAAAGTATGACTTGAATATAAAGTCTTCATCAATGCTTCTATTACTTATATTCTCAATAGAAACTTTCATTTTTTTTTGTGATTGAGCCAGATTTTCTCTAAAATTTATTTATACCTTTTAGAAACGAACATACGATGAAGCATTTAACGACATTCAAAATGATTTTTTAACACAAGTAAATTAATTTCTAAAAACAAAATTCTGTTTATCATAATTTTCATTCCTAGCTTACCAAAGCAATAGAGATTTGTAAAAGTAAACTATCACTAAAAAATGATACATCATTAATTCAAACTGAACATGCTTTTAATAGCATACCATTAGCTCACATTGCTACTGAACAATGTGATCATAAGCGACCCATCGCAAAAATTCTTTTAACAGGTAAGGATTTTTATTCAAAAATAAAAGAGTGTAAATCATCTTGATCAATGAATTTGTGTTTTTGAGATTACTTCCTTCGTGCATCAAAATTAGGCATACAAACAAATATTCTTTATTCTCATAATAAAGATCATCCAAGTATAATTGATACTGCTGTTTCAGGACGAACTGTTTTGCCAGCTAATTGCCGATTTTTATGGACTGATATGAAAAATTCAACATTACTTATTAGTGGTAAGTGTAGAATTTCGTTTTTTTTTCTACAGAAGAAAATACAATAAAAACAAATATTTGTCTTCCAAAGAAGGGACAAAATATTCATTTATTGTACTTGATCCACCATGGATGAATAAAAGTGTACGACGAAAACATCCGTATAATTGGTCAGATTTGAGTGATATAAAAAATTTACCGATTGAACATTTAATCAATCGCACACAATCATCCTTAGTCTGTTGTTGGTCAACAAATTGTGATAAAATTGAAGATTTTATTAAAAATGATTTATTCAACAAATGGAATTGTCAATATTTAACAACGTGGTATTGGTTAAAAGTTTGCTTTAATAGACAGTAAACCTTCAAATTCATATTATATTTATTTAGATAACTCAATCTGGCGAACCTATACTTGATTTAACATCATTAGATAAAAAGTCGTATGAAACATTAATACTTGGCTATACAGGTGATGATGATAGATTTAATTCATTAAAAGGCACGAGCAAAATTCTATGCAGCGTATGAATTTCTACGAATATTTTTTTTTGAAATTAAATTGTAATTATTTAGGTGCCTGCATTGATTCATTCGACAAAACCAGCATTACATCTATTGTTTCAAAATTTAATTAATTTTCCAAATCATGAAATAGATCGTTGTTTAGAATTGTATGCTAGGAATTTACTACCTAATTTTACATCGATAGGAAATGAAGTAAAAATAATTGATATATTTTCTTTTTGTTTGCAACAAAAATTATTTTTATTTTTTTGTAGGTTTTAAAACATCAGTCTATTGATTTATTTGAAGAGATAAATCTATAATTAATTTGAATATAACCTATCCTAATGGATATTTGAAAGAAAAACAAAATTCTATCTATCAATTGTAGTTAAACCAAATCTAGTGGCATTTTTCTACCTTTTGATAGACGAGATGTACGATGTCAAAGTTAATAGATCATTCTGAGAATTACGCTATTTTCGTTTAATACCTAAAATATCTGTTTTTTTTTACTTTCAAAAGCAAGACAAAAAGTGATTTCGCGTATTAGGTAGTTTTTTCCTTGTCATTTTGTTTTGAATTCTCAACATTAGCTCTATATAACTAAAACTTTGAAGTACCTTCTATCAACAATAAGATGAATGCTGATTGATTTGGTTGAACTACAGTAAAGATATAAAATTTTGTTTTCAGTTGATAATTTTGGGGGTATATTCTATGTCTATGTATACATATATATTTCAGATATTTTTTTTTTCAAAAAATGGCAAGTGCTGCTAATCCGACAATAAAAAAACCTTCAACAGGAACACAAACAATTGATTCCTTAGATGCTTTACTTAAGACAGATAATATATTTTTATTTATACCAAATATAATCGGTAAGATGAGTGTATGAATTTAGATTTTTCACTAAATTTCTATTTTATAGGTTATGTACGAGTTTTTTTATCGATTGCTTCATTTTATTTTATGCCATCGCATCCGAAAATAACAATATTCTGTTATTTAACAAGCGAATTACTTGATGCACTTGATGGTCATGCTGCTCGTGCCCTTGGTCAAAGTAAATTTTCTTTCTTTTATGATGGAAAATTCTTACGGAGTGGAGTTTAGGTACTAAGTTTGGAGCTATGTTTGATATGCTCGTTGATAGATGCTCCACAATGTGTTTATGTTTCGTTTTGGCGATGTTCTATCCAAAATGGGCACTTTTCTTTCAACTTTGGGCTGCGATTGATGTTGCTAGCCATTGGCTTCATTTACATGCGTAATATATACATTTATATTGATATATAAATTAATTTTAATCGATTTAAATATTTTTTTTTCTCAGAGCTACGGTTAAAGGTTCAGAAAGTCATAAGAAAATAGATCTTTCAGGCAATCCAATTCTTCGTCTTTACTATACATCACGTGTAAGAAAGTTCAGTAATATATAATCTATTCATTGATTTGTTCTATTTATAGAAAGTTCTTTTTACCATGTGTGCAGGAAATGAACTTTGGTTTTCAATGCTTTATATGCTTCATTTTGGTGAAGGTCCATCAAGTAGATATTAGAAGAAAATTGTTGATAGTTAAGGTTTATTCACATTAATTTTTAATTTTAGTAATCAAATTTGCTGGTTCTGCCATTGGTCTTTGGCGTTTTATTCTCTACGCAGTTACACCAATCATGATCTCAAAGCAAATCATAAGTTTAATTCATCTTTATACTGCTTCACTCGATATGGCTGCTATTGATGACGCTGAACGAGCAAGCAAAGCAAAAAAAAATTAAATCCAAAAAATGAATTTTTATTTCTCAATGATTATTCTTAATCCAACTATTGTCAGCTAGTCATTTGTTTTTGTATTTAAAAAAAAAGGCAAAATAAAATTATACGGAATATCGTTTATTACAGAAGGATATGTTCTGTTTAACCGTCGTTTTGTCTGTGCATGTGTGTGTGTGTGCGCTTATTTTACCTATTGTCTTATTTCATTATTATATAAATATATATCTATACATAAATAAATAAATATATATATATATATGTTGTTCTCTATGTATACTAGATGAGAATTTTATTTGGTAATCAAAAATTTTTCAATAGAAATTTACGATATGTATCCAGTAAAAGTATATCCTACAAAGATACACTCAATATGCCCAAAAGTAAATTTGCGAGTACAATGAAAAATCGAATTAAATGTGAAAATGACATCAGGCAGGTTTGTTGATTAGTTTTATTTCAAGTCATTTTCAAAATGTCATAATTGATTTATTTTCATTATTGTTTGCATCCGAAATATTCGCAATTAAAATAGATCGGTTTTTTTCTGAATGATATCGCTTTAGAAATTTCCTGTTAACCAATTATGGGAATGGCAAGCAAAACAGATACGGCGTCCATTATTTGTTCTTCATGATGGACCACCATTTGCTAATGGACCTCTTCATATAGGACATTTCCTAAATAAAGTTTGCCATTCAATCGTCTTTGTTTCGTTTCTTTTTTTTTAATGTATGAAATTTTATATTGTATAGATACAAAAAGATATTATTGTTCGTTATAAATTATTAAATGGGCATAGGCTAGATTTTCGTCCTGGCTGGGATTGTCATGGCTTACCAATTGAGTTAAAAGCATTACAAGAAAATAAACGAAATTCAAATGATAAAGATCGAATTATTGTTCGTAAACTTGGTAAAACATATTTTCGCTTCTTTAATATTGAGAAAAGAAAAATTCTTACTTCTTTTTATTCTATTTCAATAGCTCGTCAGTTTGCTACGGAAGCTTTGGAAAAACAAAAACAAGATTTTCAATCATGGGGTATACTAGCTGATTGGAATAATTGTTATAGAACATTTGATAAAGAATTTATTGTTGATCAACTTAGATTATTTTGGAGATTATATCAAAAAGTAATTCGTTCTATGCAGACCATATTTTTTTCAATATTCAATATTATTTATTTCTCAAGGGTTTTCTCTATCGTCAATATAAACCAGTGAATTGGTCACCTAGTGTTCAATCTGCTTTAGCTGAATCTGAACTCGAATATAATGATAAACATCGGAGGTATTTAGAAATCAATATTCTTTGTTGATTTCATTAGCGAAATTATATTACAGAAAAAAAGGTGGCCATCTAATTAATGCATTTCTATCTATGTTAGCGAAATTTCTTGTATTCAGATGTAGACATCATCAGCACATGAACGACGTGAAAGATACGTTGTTTTCTGCAATTGTTGTATCTGCAATCTTTGTGATAGATTATGATCATAAAGCCTTCTACTGTAAAGAAGCTTTAGAGATCTATGATTTAATAGAATTGTCTCAGAAATTGTGCTTTTCAACTTCTCTCGAATTCTAAGAGAAATCATAAAAGTCTCGCTCTATTCAATTAATACTATTCCATACTAATAAACCTTGTAGCTAGACATGATTTATTCTTTGTTCAATTTTTAGTACTGCTATTTATGTACGATTTCATTTACAAAACAACGAGTTACTATCAAAACTATTGTCTCGTGAGAATTTTCACAGAAAACATATTTTCCCATTTTATGTTTTTGTTTTCTATTTTAAGAAACTAATCTAGGAAATATTTATGTTTTAATTTGGACAACAACACCGTGGTCTTTACTGGGCAATCAAGCTGTAGCAGTTAATGAAAAATTAAAGTATGTATTTGTAAAGCTATCGTCCACCAATGATATATACATAGTTGCTGAGTCATTATTGAATAATATAAAAAAGTTTGCACCATTTTCAAATAATCAATTTGAAATCATAGGAAATTGTCTCGGTAAAAAGCATACTCCTCTTTAGTTTTCAACATGAAATTTTGATTTTTCGCAGGATCTGAATTATCTGGTCTTAGTTACAATCATCCAATTTATAATGATCAACAAAAATATCCTATTGTTATTAGTGATCATGTTACTGATGAATTAGGTACGGGTCTTGTTCATATTGCGCCAGCACATGGTTCCGACGACTTTCTTCTATCTATCAAACATAATCTTCAGTGTGTTAATGCTGTTAACTTAGCTGGTCATCTAAATTGTCCGTCCATTGAATCTCTTCATGGGCGAAATGCATTAGATACAAGCGATGGCATACAAGCAATTCTTAAACATTTAAATTCAGACGTTTTACATCATTATGAATTTATACATTCATATCCATATGATTGGCGAGCAAAAAAACCTGTTTTAATCTTAGGTAGTCAACAATGGTTTATTGACACCACACGTTTGCGTGATAATGCACGTAAATATATAGTAGACAACGTAACAATATTTCCTGAAGGTGCCGAAAAAAGTTTTCTATCGATGACAGCGCAACGGCCATATTGGTGTATATCACGACAACGCTGTTGGGGTGTGCCAATACCAGCTTTTTATACCAAAGATGACAGAAAAGAACTTGTGATTAATGAAGAAATAATTGAACATTTAATTAAATGTATTCAACAAAAAGATTCAATTGATTTTTGGTGGTCATCAGATGATATTAAAGAATTGTTACCTGCATCAATGCATAATCAAGCTGAAAATCTTGAACGTGGAAAAGATATATTTGATGTTTGGTTTGATAGTGGCTCCTCATTTAATTCAGTACTTAAAGGTATAAGAAACATTACATTGATTAAAACTAAAAATCTAAAACTTTTATTTCATTCTATTAAAGATTTCAATTGTCAAGCTGATCTCTATTGTGAAGGACATGATCAATTTAATGGTTGGTTTCTGTCATCGTTACTATTATCAACAGCAATACAATCACGAGCACCGTTTTCTAACATATTTGTTCATGGTTTTGTTGTTGATAAAAATAATCAAAAAATGTCAAAATCGATTGGTAATGTTATTCAACCATCAGAAATGATTTTTGGTGGTGGAAAAGAAAAATTTAGTGAGAACGGCTTTGATGTTTGCCGTGAGTGGGTAACAAGAGAAAGTTATAAACCTCAATGCAAAACAAGTAATGAAGATTTAAATAAAGCAAATAAACGAATTTATGATGTAAGTCAACATTCAATTTTAGTAAGTTTCTTCTGAGAAAAATGTCGTTTGTTTGTTTTTAGATTAGAAATGTATTCAAATTTTTAATTGGAAATCTTTATGATTTCGAACCTGATAAACATAGTATTTCAAATGAAAATTTAGCTGCTCTTGATCGATATATGGCTTATCGTTTACATCAAATTCTTACGACAGTATATGAAAATAATTGATCTTTGAATTATGAAATTTATTAATTTTAGTACCATACTGATTTTGATCAATATAAAATGTATCACGGTTTAATTGCAGTGGAAGATTTTCTCCAAGGTGATATATCAAGTTTTTATTGTTCAGTTACAAAAGATCGGTAGGTGAATATGTTTTGTTCGACGGAAAATAATGCATCTATACATTAAGTAGAGATTTCACGATTATCTATTCATAGATGTAGAAAATCTAAATCCCGTGAGTCATAGATGATTTTCGTAGAAGGAAATCATTCAGTACGCTGACTTACCCGAAGTAAGAGAACTAATAATGATTAGGACTAACGAAACATGCAGCGATAGTAAGAAGTAGGGGTGGCACTTTAACTTTAAATTGACCGTAAAGTGCAGAGTTTAAAGTTGTTTAAAGTCACAGTTAAATGCTTCTTTTCGACGTTTTATCTGTTGCAAAGAGTCTCACAAGCAAGACTAAATACGCCAATACAGTAAAAAGTATTAAAAAGAAGCGTTTAAAGGCGACTTTAAACACCTTTAAAATTTACGGTTAAAGTAAAATTAAAGTGCCAACCCTAGTAAGACGTGAAAAGCTATTTAAAAATTTCACACCTGAAGTAATCAAACAATTATTCTTCGCATTACAAATAAGGTGTCGGCAAGTCGAAATTTCTACAAAATTGTTTTTCGAAGATTTTTTCGCATGACTGGATACAGCTCATCGAGTTATCTATGTGAATGTAATAAAAAACATTTACACCAAGCTTTTCTTTAAAAAAAATTTGAAACACTTTTTTACCAAAAATTACCTTAAAATACAATAGTTTTAAAATGTGTGTGATATATTCTTATTTTATTAGATCTAGTGTGGTTCTTATTTTCCAAAAATAATTTTTTTCTAAGACTAGGAACAGTTTAGGTATCGAAGAACACAATTAAACCGACCGATAAGGTAAAATCGGGTTGATTATTTGTCAGTCTGATTCTGAATATGCTATTTATTTTACTCACAAACCAATATATGACAGTGACATTTCCGAAATAAAAACGATTTTTTCATGTTTTTTTTAAAGTATCGAGATTTATCTCGGGAAAATATGAATTTCTCGAGAAAGGAAAAACCTATTCTAAAATCGATGCATAGATTTTTTTGGTGCATCTGTGGCGCGTAGAAGCAGGAAAAAGCAATCACTCAAATGTTTTCTTGTGAGGAGTTGATGTGTTCGGAAGTTACCCCATTGGAGGCCAAAAAAGCTATCGATAGTGTTCTTCATGTGTGGCTGATAATCAACCCGATTTTACCTTATGGGTCGGCTTAATTGTGCTCTTCTATACCTAAACTGTTCCTAGTCTTAGAAAAAAATTATTTTTGGAAAATAAGAACCACACTAGATCTAATAAAATAACAATATATCACACACATTTTAAAACTATTGTATTTTAAGGCAATTCTTGGTAAAAACGTGTTTGAAATTTTTTTTAAAGAAAAACTCGGTGGAAATGTTTTTTTACTACATTCGCGTAGGTAACTCGACGAGCTGTATCCAACCATGCGAAAAAAAAATCTTCGAAAAAAATTTTGTAGAAATTTCGACTTGTCGGCACCTTATAATAAGACGGAAATCATATGAGATTGACATTTTAACAGTACAAGAGCTCTTTTGAAAAAAGCTTTCCTTAAAAGAAAATTTCTATTTTACTTATATTAGCCTTTATTGTGATCCATCGGATTCTTATCTTCGTCGATCCACACAAACGGTATTTTATTTACTATTAAAATGTCTCAACGAACGATTAGCACCAGTCATGCCATATCTTGCGCAAGAGTTACACAATGAATTAAGTGTTATAGGTTTGAAAACCATTTTTTTTTCGATAAATTCCCACTTCTTTTTTTATAAATATTTTCAGAAAATAAACAAAATAAGATAAATGATGTTTTTGAACATAAATTTACCATATTGAATAATGAATTATCTGAAATTCCACCCGAACTTGCATCAGCAATGTCAATTGTATTACATTTACGTGATACATACCATGGAATTCTTCAAAATCGACGACCTATTCTATTTGATATTCTACTTCATTTAAGTGATAGAGCAAAACTACAGGTTAAAACTATTAGCAGAAGCAATTTTGATTTATATTGAATTTGTTTTTTACTTTAATAGTTTAAACAACTTCAAGACGTTCTTGGAAAACATCCATCGGTAAGTTCAAGCTCGCACATGTTCCTAGAAATTATTGAAAAATTGAAGCAATTAAAATTTCAGCACACTTTGTATCTCAAGAAAATCACATTCACGGTTTTATTTTGAAGAGTTGAATTTTTGCTTGTTGACTATATGAAAATGAAAATATATTTGTTGATAATATATATATATATAGAGAAATTCAAAGATATCTTAGTTAATACATAAAAATAGTTGTGATTTCATTTTAATCATTCTTTCTATTTTTGAAAACTTTAGACAGCTAAATTAAATTTTTGGCGTCCATTAGAAGAACTTTTACGATGTTCACGTGTACATGAACGATCATTATCTGATCTAGAAACTGACTTAACAGAAGAAAACATTTCAAGTGTTGATTTACCCTTATTAGGTATATTAGATTTTTGTTTCTTTTTTGAAAAATATTTATCTTAAATTAATTTAATGAATTTTAGATGACAAATTTAATTATATAATGAAAATTCAATATAATTCTTTGCATTCTTGTCCTCGTTGTCGTTTACAAGTATCAGAAAAAGAAAATGAACTATGTGTTCGATGTTTTACTTATTCACAAAAGTCCTAGGATAGATAATTTTCGTTTTCGTTGGTTTTTTATTGTTTTCAGATGTATTTTTAAAAACAAAATAGAACAACAACAAAAAATGGCCTTATCATTTTCTACTGCCAATAAGTTTCTATTAAACAATCAACAAATATTAAGATCAGGTGAAATTTGAAAGAATTTTTTGTTTTGATAATAAAGAAAGCATCCTTAATCAATCATTATCATTTACTACTTTCTAGTCTTAATATCATCTGTTCGATATAAACAACGTGGACATATTCCTGATAATCTTGTAGAACATCATAGACAATCGCCATTAGGAAAATTAAAAGCTGGTGCAGCTGTTGGTGCTTTTCCACCTAAAAACGATACAGATAAAGATCTACGTAGTACACCACATGATTTTAAGTAAATATGAAACTAATTTTTAAAAAAACTTTTTATTGTCTTCTCATTCATAGATATGTTTTTCCTGATTTTTTACCAAATCCATTACCTTATTTACGAGATCGAATACTTGAAAGATTAGAACGAAGAGACATGTTTCGTCGAAGACAACAAATTGATATACCAGAATTTTACGTTGGTTAGTATTGAGTAAAAAAATCAATCTATTTTACCAAGTTAATTGTTTTCCTTATTAAAGGAAGTGTTCTTGCTGTAACATCAGCTGATCCATATGCACCGAATCGACGTCATAGATTTGTTGGTATTTGTCTTCAACGTGAAAGACATGGACTTAAACATCAATTTACTCTACGAAATATTGTTGATGGACTTGGTATAGTTTGATGGTTTTTTTTTCTATTTTAATTTCTATAGTTTATTTGTTTAGGTGTTGAAATTATTTATGAATTATATAATCCAACTATAACTAAAATTGAAGTTCTTAAACTTGAACGACGTTTAGATGACAATCTTGCTTATCTACGTGATGCACCACCTGAATACTGTACATTTCCATTTGATATGGAACCAGTTAAACTGCCGCCTGGCGCTGGAGTACCTTTGAATACAATTCAAGTAGGAGTTTTTGTTTCTATGAAAAAAACAACAACAACCAATCGTTTGCTATTAGGTACCAATCACTAGTACTCATTGGCAATATAAATGGGAACGTCATGATCTAAAAGGTGTTCTTCTACCATCATTACCGCGAAGTGTGCGAAAAGGAGCAAAACGTTATGCTGAACCATGGCGCCAATGGGATATCATGAGACAATATCGAAGTGAAATTCATGATGATGAAAAAGCTGAGATTTATGAAGATATTGAAAAACATAAAGGAGATTTAGCACAATATCGTATTGATAGTAAAGAGAATGTGAAGATTACACGGGCAAGACCAAAATCAGGTGCAAGAAAAGCAATCTTCAATGATTCAAAACAATCGAATACGTCTACTACCCAATAGAAATACATGTTATTCTATCTTGTTGTTGGAATAGTATGAGAACGATTAGCTGCAGTGTTTCTTTTTCACGTTGTTTATTTAAAAAAGTAAAGAAAATAAAATTTGAAAAAAATCGGCTCGTTAAGAAAAAAATAACAAACATTAATTGATGCTTTTGTTAATATTTCTTGTAAAAACTACAATATAACGATCATCATATTGCAATAGAAAAGTATATTGAAAATAGCTTTTAGAAAAATTCATATTTGACTTTGACATTTTATAGAACAAATCTTTTTAACAATTGAAATACTTAATTTTGAAAAAGTAAAACAAAAAGAACTGATCGATCTTTATTATGTTAATGTTCAGTAAAAACACTTATTCACTTTGTACTTAATAATTATTTTGCACTCGATCAAAAATTTATATTCATCTACATTTAGTCGTTGAAATGTAGTGTTGTCAGTAGACCAGTGAGTTTGCATTAAAATTAATTGATAGAACACATAATAGTAATAAATGGTACTTATCTCGGCTTTGACACTAGTAGTCATAATAACTCTGATAGAGATGGTTTAGTTGAAAATGAAGAATAATACACGTCTTGCTATGCAAAGACGCTTGGAAAAGCTTGCTACTGAATTATTTTACACTTTTATTGCAATTAAAACAAGATAAAACTAAACAGAATCGTGTGTGAGTGTGTTGACAAATAGCATCGACTTTACTCTATCAACAGTAATCAAGTGACATATATGATTGACATGATGCATCATCACATGTTCTCTATTGTAGACAAAAGAAAGTTGGCAGCGACACGTACAATAATCAACTATGTGTAAGTCAGAAGTCTAACCAAGTATTGTTGGTTATTTTTTGCATGATGTTTTTACTTTCATACAGAATTATGTATAAAAATATCGATTCTTTTCTTTTTCTTGGAAGAAATGGAAACCAATTTTTATAACTATGATAAGATCAATCATTGCTTGAAACTAAGATTTTTCGATATTATGTGATGCATCAAGGGACCATTATAGATTATGTACTAGCCAAAGAAAACAACTGTTATTTTGTCTGTAGTATTGATAACAAAGTATAAGCAAAGATCAAAATCAATACCAACGAGACATAGAGAGGTAGATCCAAATTCCATCACTGATTTTGAAAAGTTCCAGTAAAACCTCTATATTTCCGTTTCCTGAAGTCCATTTGAGCTGATTTTTAGATTCTAGAATAGACAAAACATTTTTCTATCGAATTGTATAATTTTCATCAAAATACGATTCGTTTTGAGTGAGCAGCAACAAAGACACAAACACCTATTTTCATTTTTGTCCCGTTCTGTCCACGTTTTAATTCCATCATTCAAGTCATTATTCTTTCCCAATTCCATCATTTCCAGCAAACATGTACAAATTTTGTTAAAAAACTTAGTTTTCGAGCGGAAGGTTGGCATCTTTACAAAAAATGTAGCTGAACTCAGTGGCTATCTGTTAACGAAAAGTCAGAGGATTTATACCTAAAATTGATTGAGTTTTTTAAAATAGAGGACCATGCGTTAATTTTTACTAGAATTTTGGCATGTAGCATTTTTCTATCTTTGAGCAGTAATCACAATGATTAATTAACGCGAAGTATGTAAAGTAATATTAAGTGTTCTAGTATCATTATAACTGTCTAATTTTTTACGTACGAGTTGATTCCTAGATCCAATAATAATCAATGTACATGTACATTTTACAAATTAGCTTATAATTAAGCCAATTTGTGTAATAGTGTTATCGAACGAATATTCTCTATTTATTTGACGCATTAGTATCATCATTTCTTTGCAATGAGCAATAATATCACTACACGATTAAAACTTCGTTTTTTGCGTTATTTTAATTTGCTGATGGATTTCTGAGAAAATCCTGTCTCATATGATGGGAATGTAAGCAAATCCATAAGACAAAATCCTCTGACTTTTCGTTAACAGATAGCCACTGAGTTCAGCTACATTTTTTGTAAAGATTGTTTAGTAAAATTATGTAGTTGATCTAGCCCCAATGTTTTTATTACTGATGATGAACAATTTTACATGTACTTCCTATTACATGATGAAATAAGGAAAGAGGAATAGCTGGTGTGATGGAATTAAGTTACACTACTTAATGGCATCACACGAAAAAGTTGATTGTTACGAGAAAAAAATATATAAAAGATATATTTATTCGTAATAAGAAACATATCAATCGATAGAGCTTGATCTCCTGAATCAAATGATGTAATTTTCCTTCGAAAAAATTATCATATTCTGACTGAAAACATGTTTTTTATGCCAATCCTATGCATTTTGGCTGGAATGATGTAATTAAGACATGGGCAGAACGGGACAAAAATCAAAGTAGGTGTTTGTATCTTTGTTGCTGTTCACTCAAAACGAATCGTATTTTGATGAAAATTATACAATTCGATAGAAAAATGTTTGTCTATTCCGGAATCTAAAAATCAGCTCAAACGGACTTCGGGAAGCGGAGATATTCGATATTTTTTATCAGATTTGAATATCGTGATGGAATTTGGAACAACCACTTTACTACTCTCTAATGTCATCCTAACCAATTTTTATCTTGCAAATATCAGTACACGAACTTGCTCGAAGTCTTTCTTCTTGTAACAAAGATAATATACGTATATATATATATTCTTAATGGTAACGTTGATAATTTTTGTTTTTGTTTTTTTAAGCCTTACATAAACAGTACCAGCGCATACTAGTTAATCATGAATACGTAAAGTGTACACGAGTTGAATTTTATATAGAATATTTTATATGTTAAGAACGTAGTTGCTATTACCAGGAAGATTCTATAACTTATTTTGACTTAAAAAGATTGGATTAGATCGGTTATTATTCGATTAAAGAAGATAACTATCAGATTATGGAAAATTCTGACATTAAATGGTAAAAACAAACTATCATAGGTAATCAGATATAAAAAAAGCACGAACAATAATAGAAAACAATAAGTAAAAAACTAAAAGATTGGACAGGAAACTAACGATGTATCATTTTCAAGCGATAGATTTACTTCTTTCGTCAAATGAATTTTACAGAGACTGTGCAAGACAAAAACTATTCTATATATTTTATTATAACCCACATGAACATTTTAAATATTATCAATTTTGTGTAACTAATGATAGTAACTGAAATATAAAATGCTAATGTCATAGACAAATCACCATCTGTACATAGCTTTTGTATAAATAACTTTAAAAAATACTTTTTTTTTGCATTGTCAAAGCTGATTCAAAGCTTTAATTCAATTATTTTTGATAAGGTCTTTTTCTGTGATAGATCAATCATTTTAATATCACACAAAACTCTCCGTCAAAATTAACAATGATTCATCGATAATGCTGGAAAAAACTAGCAATGGCAAACAATTGTGATTGAAGTCACAGAAGTATTTTTCGACTTTTGTAGCTCGTAGAAAACTATTCTGATCAAAGTCTTTTACATGAACTTTTTCATTAGACGCTTTTCTCGTACTAACAAAAGAAATGACGATGTGAGAACTGTATTGTGAATTGCAAAGTTGCATGAAAAACAAAATTCATATGGAAGCTTGACGGATGTCCGCTCTCAGCTATACAATTGATAATATGGCTATCTATATTTCTGTCTTTTTTTTTCGGTCTAATTATTATGTTTGAAAATAAGAATATATTTATACTTAGATAATGATTATCTGGTTGAATTATAGGCTTAGCATATGTGTATTTATTCGCGATATAAATATTGACAACAGAAAAACGTTTTGATTTCGTTTGATTAGGTAAAAAAGACACGAAAAATTCAATGCTGCTGAATCTAAAACGAAATTCTATAGTTTCATGAGTAGAAGGAATGAAACTGAAGACGCTGAAAGCGTTCTTCGTTTCCCCTCTTGAAAAAACACTCGATTTTGATGTATAGAGCGACAAAAAAACTATTTACATGGATTGATATTACTTTTTTCATTTATTTTACTTAGAAAATCGCTAGGTCTCGATTGTATTCCTATCAGAAAACAACGTAATTTTAGGTATCTTGTGATCAATTAATTACGCAAATGCTTCACGGTCTTATTCATTTTATTCGTTGAAAAATGTGTCATTATTTTTTTAGTATTGATCGATACACATATTTGCATAAAAAATATTTTCTCCATTGTGAAAATTGATTCTAAATACTCCTATATATATATATATCTTTTTTTTGTGCTCATTTAATGGCAGGATGACTCATTATGTAAATGAACATTAGGTGTATGGCATTCATCATAGCTAGTTATAAAATCTGCAGCCTTTTTATTCTTTCTGCGAACAGTTTTCATACCCTTTTTTCCTCATCCAATAATCATTAATCACTCAGTTACTTTTGCTAGGAAATCATGCAGCCAGCCTCGTGTAATTTTATTATTTACGATAGTTACACTTCATCGTTTTTTTTTCCCGAAAGAACAAAAATATCACGATGCGACAGAAGAAAAGGTAAATGCAAAAAACAGATTTTTTTGTGCTTATTTTGTTTTTTCTAAACCGTTTTATCATTATTACCATACGCAAGTGACATAGCTAGTGTGTTTTTATACATATAATAATTTTTATAAGAATCGATCTACTATAGTCAGATGTTACAGTTGGCAATAGTAGAAACATATGCAACAAAATAGAAACAATGTTTAATATTTACCACGCGTATATTATATTTACTAGATTAGAATAATGTCACAATCGACACCATCGCAGACATCATCAACAACACCACCAACAACATTGAAAACAGCAGCAACGACAACAACAACCAAAAAGAAACTTAGACTTAGAGCTATGGTGAATCAAGTCTATAAATTATTTGTATCTTCAACTAATGCTCAACAAGCAAATGAAAAAGCTAAAAAAGGTAGGCATCTAAAACTTTATTGCTAGTTTTTCTTGAATACAAACTGCGTTCGTTTGTAAATATTTAGGTCTTGTATTACCATCAATTTCTGTAACGTCTCCTGATGGAGAAACTACTGCCGTTGAATAAAATATGTTTATACAACTTCTTGTAATTAGAGAAAAATAATGTTAAATTACCAATAACTTTTCATAAAATTTTATGATAACTATTTACTTTAATAAAGTTATGCATCTATACATATACGTATTTATTTACGGTAAAAAGACAAAAAACAATTTCATATACAATATTAAAAAAGTAACTACTGTTCTTAGAAAACATGGTTTCAATGATGAGCTATTACCACTTATTTGGGATATTAGACGACGTGATTTACTACCGCCAGGATCTAAGAAAAAAGGAAGATTTATGTTTTGAAAATAATCTAAAAAAAAAAAGAAACAAACATACATTGATAAATAGCAACATGAGATGTTGCAGTTAACATGTGACCATATCGACATGTATATATTCCAGTATCAGTTTTTCGTGCTTTTCGAATGATTAATATTTCATACAGAGTACCATCAATAGATGAATAATTGGAAAAACATTCAGCTATATTTAATATGGGATAATCATTACGTGTCCATTGTACACGTATATTTTGTTCATTAAATGCATCTGTTGAACGTATATGACACACAAGACGAATTAGGTCATTGATGTTTACATGTAAACTATTAGGTATTATACTAATACATGTGTTGGCTATAAGAAGAAAAAGAAAATAAATAATTAGTTCTAGATGAAAATCATCTTTTCTTTGGATGAAATATCATACTTGTAATTGTTAAATTATAACTTGATCGAATTGTATTTCCTCTTTTACAAATATAATAACCTTGATCATCTATTCTTGCACCGATTATTTCCAGATGACGATCATTATTTAGCGTACGCAGCATAAAACGTTGATCATCAATTAATTGACGATCACCAAGTATTAGTGGTTGTGGATAAGCATTTTCATACAGACGAAACCACATAGCTGGCATCTTTATTTTACAATAAAAAGAAGAAAAAAAAGTCAATTCTATTCATGATCTATGCTTACTGTGGATGATAATGAAACATGATCAGTACTTGATTCTTCAGGACAAGAAAGTGATACTGTATCACCGCAATTAGCATGAATTACATGTGCATCTGGATAATCATTATGAAAATTTGTCAAGTAATACATAGAACATAAGGTGTTAACAGTAGATATTGAAATCAAAAGAACTATTCAAAGGCAAAATAAAAATTTAAATGAAATAAAATTATTAATTATTATTATTATTAATCAATATTATACCTTTTAGAAGTAACATATTAGCTGATCCATGTTTTTTTCAACATAGTTACGCCGATTTTCGATACAATTTCGCATAATTTATATATATATATATATATGTGTGTGTGTGTGTGTGTGTGTATCTGAAATAAAGGATATCCTATTTTCTCTGTTTTAATTTCTTAAATATAAGCTATTGACTATAAAATAAGCAAGTGTAAATAACCCAACTTGCCATAAAAAATGCTAATGATGACAAACACAACGAAAGAAATTCGGCAAATATCGGAAGAATCAACACAAGCACAGCTTGAATATACTCTGCATGCCAAATTATAAAATTATGTCATTTCATCAGTGTTTGATAGACCAATTCAAAAATTAGCATCATAGGGTGCTCAAGGCAATGTCAAATTCTTGACTTGCAAGAGAAACTATGAAGGACGATTCAAAAAGAAACTGAAACAAATTAAGCTAAAAACTTGTTCAGTAGGAACAGAAAGAAAGAAAGAAAGAAAAAGTAGAGCTTTATTTTAATTTGGCTTGTGTTCTTTTCTTCCTCATTCTTATTCGATAGATGGTCTCAATTTATTCAGCTACACAATTTAATTTATATAAATGATTCACATTTACCTATTATACTTCATTCATTGATGAAGCAGCCTGCATTATTCTTCTAAAAGTGACAATAAGAGGAGATGAGAGTCGTTTTTCTCTCAAATCGCGTAATGCGCTGAAGAGTGAAGGAACTTCCGGCAAGTAATGCAAATGCTACTAGTACTACCTCTTCTTATTCTACAATAGTAACATCAAGTTTGCTTTTCTTTTCCGTTTTTCTTTTGAATCACTACTCCGCCCTTACAACAACTCAAGGCGTCGGAAGTCTGTTTCTTTCTATCATCTCTCTTGGTTCGTCTTCATCTTGCTGTTCTTTCAATGTCCTATCATGCGAACAGTGTCGACATCATCGAAGGAAAAGAAACGGCGTTGATTTGATGTCTATCACTCATACTCACTCTTAAGACTGTCTGTGCATACATTGGATGTAGAAAACTCATTGACACTTATCGTCGCCGGGCAATGATCATTTTTTTTTAAATAGAACTACTTGAAACAATACATACAAAAAAAGCTAATTGCGGATGTGTATGTATATGATTCATTGACACTCGAGTAACGAGAACGACGATTGTCAATCTTTGCTTTTTTTTGGCATCAATTAGTACAGATATAAATGGAGTTGTTGATAAGTACTACACAGAAGATGACAACAGAAATCTTCTTCGGATTTTCTCTTTCATTTATTTGTATTTTTCTTGATCGAAGGATATCATCTTCAAAGCAGTTGTCCTTATCATCACTTATGGATAATCCATAATAGAGTAGAGTAATAGAAACAAATCGTTCGATTTGTCATTATGATTATGATGAATTTTTTGATTTGTTAATATAAATGATTGTAATTATCGAGCATCATTCATCGAGATATCATTGTCTTGTAATAGTTGATTGTTTACTACCATTTTTTGGTCTGTAAGGTATACTGTTGTAAATGTTCAAGATTAACAATTATAGGATAGTTTTATCATTAGCATAAACTAGATCATGTTCTAAGAGTAAAATATATTTTATGTATTGATATTTCAGATCAATAACTGAATGAAATTGATAGAACATGTTGGATTTCATAACTAGCAGAAAATAATTTCATTCGAGAAACGAAAAGCAACACTATTAAATATATTATAGCTATCAAAAATAATTTAAATCAACTGTAGCTTGAACCTTTCGGAATAATATAGAAAGTCCACGAATCATGCTTATTGATTTGAGAAATCGTGTAAACATTATATTCATCTAATCTAAATAATATACATACGTATATTTGATGGATGATGACAGCTCATTTAACCCAGCCAGGCAAGCGTTGAAAACAGCGGTGTTTTTACGCGTAAAAAGCACGCACTTTAACGTTTCGCAAAATTTGAGTTTTTTTCGGAAAATACAGGAAACTTGCGAATGACAACAATGAGAAAATCATTTGATTCAAAACAAAAAAACGCGTTTTAACGGATCAAAATGTGCGCTTCTTACGCGTAAAAACGCCGTTTTTCTCAACGCTTGTCAAACTGGGTTGTAATTAATAAATAAATTTATGGACAAATAATATAAAATTCCACGGGTTCTTCGGAAAACTCTTCATATCTTCTTGTAATATGAATACATTTAAAAATATTGACCAAATTAATCATTCTCTACATATTATTACGATAGCATTGCTCGAGTTGACCATGATCATGATAATATTATCGAAGTATACCATTGATGTAACATGAGTAATTATTGTGAAGTTTACATGATGTTTCTGTTATGTATCAGATAATTTCTAATACAGAAGCGATAGATGAAATAATCATTATCAGAATCATCCAACTAAGTTAGTTTGATTATGAATAATATGGTAAAAGCGGACACTATGCCAAAAGATTTGTAAATCGATCATCTCATACACAATGTTATTGTTTGAATAAAATAGTGGTTGAATTCATTAGCATACGAAAGGAAAATAAATATTCATGTCTTATAAATAGTAATATAGCTGAGAATTTAAAATGTATTTTATCGTTGAATGGTAATAGTCACCGAGGTTCTTCTCTGCATTAATTTTTTATACATATCTTTTGAACAAATCTCCGACATCAAGAAAGAAACAATGCTAGACACACATATGCATGTCAAATAATCATTTAAAACCAGTGGACATTCGCACACGCGTAGGAGGATGCGTGTTCAAAACGATTCATACGTCAATCTTCAAGATAGAAGAAGAAAGAGAACACGAAAGGCGAGAGGTCATCAATAAGTGTTGATAAACGTCAAAGTATCCTATCGACAACAGCGACGACAACGGCTGAATGTGTAATGAAATCAATTCAACAGTTTCTCGTAGTCTGTCGAATGATCGATCTTTTCTGACTGTTACTTTCCAATCAACATCATTAGTGGTGCACACATCAAAGGCAATAACCCGATGAATACAGCTCCTCCTTCAACAACTCGCTATTAACAATAAAATCATGTATTTATACACATTGTAAACGACGAAAAGGATCAAATCAGTAGCTAGTCTACTTACCATTAACAACTGCTTTGATCAATGTTTATTCCATAAACTAAAAAAAAAAGAGAATGATTGTGACAGAACGCTATGGTGCCAGATTATGTAGTAAGAGAACAAAAAAGAAATAGAACACAGTAAAATTTTCTTTCTAATTGTGTGTGTGGGTGTGTGTTCATATAGGAAGCGAGGGAAACTTATAAGATGTATATATCGATGTGCCAAGTGCGTGTTATAGTACGCACAAATGCATACGACAAGAACTGATAGTGATTGAATTGGAGAGTTCACACGCACGCAAGGACATAAAATATAAAAAAGAAAAACGTATACGATTCATGGCCGAATATAAAAATGTCACCCTTAATTACAACTGATACAGTAGCTATGAGATGGGCGGACAAACAATCAATCGGCATATTATACTAGTACTTCCACAGTTGAAAAAAAGAAGAGGAAAAGCGAGATTCTAAAGAAACTTTTGAATTTGTCATTCCACACACAGTCAGGCTATTTCTCTCTCACTCATTTCTGTTCTTCCGTTTCATCTGTTAGAGCCGACCTTATGTCGATGATTAAGTCGTCAGAAAAGAATTGCATCACACATCACATCCCGTTCGTAGTCCATTAAACAGAGCTATAGTAGGAGCAGTAACAACAGCCGTATTTTTATATGAATACGTTCTACTGCATCTGTGCTCAGTTATTGAGCAGTCAATCAGTCAACTTTGGCATCATCAATAGCAAATGATGATCGATTCTCTTCTCAATATCTGCTCTTCTTCCTCATCTGTTTTCTCTGTTTTCTTAGCCATTAAGCATCTTATTTGACTTGTATCTATACATTCTAGCTATTTGTATTGTTCATTCTCTTAAGTTGTTCCTCCTGCTGAGAATGAGCTAACCATTTGGTTTGCTTGAAAAACAAGTGAATTTTTCACATAAATGAATTACTCACCTTATTAATATGTTTTATACGTCAATGTCAAAAATTATATGCCGAAGCAGGAGAAAAAATAAGAAGCAGAACCAAATGATGGAAAACGTCCAGGCACTGCAATGCTGGTCAACATACTACACTGACCATCTGCCTCTAAAACACACACACACACACACGAACAGGTAGCTTATGTATGTATATAAGTCAGATAGTCGGCAAAGCGGTCCTTTTATTCTCTCTCTCATCTTGAATATTGCGAACGAACGAACGGATGCTTGTGATTGTTTGGCACCAAAAGAGACCAATTGGCAATTATTCTTCGACTAGGTCGATTAATCAACTACAACATCTTTATAGTTTCAACTGTCTCTCGCTTTTTTTTTCTTTTGAAGTATTGGTGTTATTCGTTTTAACTGCATGTATAATAAGTAGTACACCGGAACACCTCAGTAAAAAAAGAATTCATTAACAATTAGGCCATCTGCTCAATAAGCATTGTTTCCAGACAAAGGTTACCTACCTTTATTATTGATAAATTCTTAAAATTTTGAAAGACCATCTGAACGATGATGATAATGATGATGATGACGTTTTTATGTTTCAAAAAGACCTTGTGAGTAGCAGTTCTAGAAAATGAATGTACACCGCAATCGTTATTAGATGAAGAGAAGGGCACAGGAAAAGGGAGAATAAAGCATGAGAACAGAGAGAAACGAAGAGAACATGGTTCAATCATGGCCGCGTTGTCGTCAGAAGAGGAAAAAGGATAATCATTATCGTTTCTCAGAAGCCTGAAATTACTCAATCACTGTTCTGATCGTGAACAGAAAATAACAACAACAACAATGACGACGACGACGACGACGAAGACGAAGACGACGATAGCAACATTAATAATAGCGAAGGATTGACCTTGTTACATGAAACATACATATAGACCCTACGCAGTTCAATGATTTGAAGCCAGAAATAGAGACCAACTGACATAGAATGACATGCAGTGAGCTACACAACAAATATATAATAATTCATATAGAGAATCAACGTCTAATTCCAAGGTCAAAATTTACTTTTATTAATCAAGTAACTCTTCCAGCATGCTTAGAGTTGTATTGTTACTAATACTGGAAGGCTCTTCTTGCTGTATTCTGGCTATAAAAATCAACAAATACAAGCAAATATGATGAACAAAAAAAGCTTAGTTGAACATTGTATAAGCATCAGTTAGACGCATTTAAATAATACGAATGCTCGAGGCACAAATACAATATACCGGGGAAATAAATGTTTTACGTTTATATACATAATCATCGTTCGAGGTTAAGATTAAAGCAGAAGATTATAAAGCAATGTTTCCTTTTGCTTTTATTGTATTTATTTATTTTTATTAAGTTAGATAAGTACGTTTTCTATAGAGTTGTCGTTGTCACTATCATTTTAGTTTATTACTAACAAGAAAACATCAATAATCTAATTTCAATTGTTCTTATAGGCCTTCTTCTTCTTTGTTTCGTCAAAAAAAAAAAGAAACTGACATGATCTGAAGCCATAGTACTATCAATTGCGTAATTCTCTTTAGAAGTACTTTTCCTCCTGTTAGGATAGTAATTTGTCGCGTTGCATGTCTGTTACTGATAGATAGATAGATAGGTAGATAGATACGTTTGTATTATTTTCTTTTTAGCTCTTTTTTCCAGTGAACATAACATACCATTGTAATGATGACCTCGAAATATAATATATAAACACAAAGGAATCGTATGTGTGTGTGTGTGTGTGTGTGCAATAGGAAAAAATTTAATCTACAAAACACACATTCCTCTAGTTTTGTTCTTTTTATTATTATTCCATTTAATCTTCGTTTAATATCGATTCGACAGTCTCCTATGAGTATATATGTCGCGCGTGTATATTTATTGGGACCAGCTGCATGGGAACATGATCGCATACATGTAAAGAAAATCATTCAACGATTCAAAGAGTCTGCTTGACATGGTAATAGAATCAGACTGCTTTGGTGATGCCAAATTTAATTTATTAAATTTGCAATGATCAGTTTATTTTTATTCAAGACTCGTCATATTGAATTAGTTTATCCTTGAGTTTAGATAAATATGTTAAAGATGATAAATTACTATCATGACAAATAAGATTTCTATCATTTTCTTGATTGCCTATCATCGAATTTTCTGCTTATATCATGGGTGCGTGTGTGTGAATAGGTCGAGAGATTTCCTTCTTTTTGAACATGATTTAATGGTACTCTCTCATCAACAGTACATGAATTAGTATATACATCTCATTGATAAGATGTAAAAAGACGTTGATCATATTCGGGAAAACGATATCTTGCTGCGGTTGTTGTTTCTCTATACGCTTAATTACTGAACGTTTGACTTCGGTTTTCTGTTGTTCATGAATAAAGCATTGTTAATGATCTAATTCAATTGATGTGAATGTATCTATCATTGGTTTCTTGATCAATCAATTTTTGACATGTCCTATTACGTGACCAGTATGATTAAATAGTCTACAATTTACAAAATGATAATTGTTTTTAAAAGAAGAAAAAAATTAAAGGAAGTTTATTTGAGTCTATAATCAAAATAATGAACATTGTTGATTTGCTTGTACAAGAAAAGAAAATCCAACAAATTAACTTTGATTGACACACTGACCTTTGGCTATACGGTACTATCACGCGATCGGAAGTAATCTATTTCCGATTAAATGTAGGTGTACGTCACAAAGGAATGATTATTTTTCTTTCGTAATTACATCAGGGAACTTTTGGAAAAGAAATAACGATTGCTTATTTATTTTTTTAATCCTATCAATGCAGTTTACTTTTATTCCCACAATTGTAAGTTTACAAATGAAAATCTAACTTAACAGTGATGAATTCACAAATAACTATCATGAGATAAATTATTGAACGATTTTGGCAAGTTGATTTGATCTGTACCGATTGCGATTTGACGTTCTACAATAAGATTGTTTGTCAAAATGTTAATTTAAGTTCATAGTTTTCTTTAAATATTTTAAGCAAAACTGAAGTCATAGTCCAATATGTTTATATTTATATTACATAATATCTCATCATAAGTTTCTGCAATAATAAGATCTATGTCGATACGAATTAAAGAAATTTAAAGTCCTACATAACAAGAATTTTTTTAAACTATACAAGACAATTGTCATTAAAGAAAGTCAAAATTGAAAGATGATAGATCAAACATATTAATTATCATAATTACTATTATTTTCATAAACATGATCAGCATGCAATATGTCTGTAACATCAATAATTTGAAAAAAGGCCATACGGTGAGTCACATTTTTGTATTATGAATCATCCTAATTAATAATTCTTGTTTCCTCATAATTGATTCGTCATATTTAATAGAAAAATTTAGTAATCCATACTTCTTGCAACGATCAAGAAATGTAATATAAGGTATATAGATTCTTCTTGACAGTTGATGGATATACGTGCGAGTCAAGAATGGCGAACACAAAAAAAGGAATCATTTAGCAAAAGAATTGAATTTAGAATCAAAATGGTATTTATTTTCTTATATCATAGAATATTGACTCATCTCATATCACTAAAACAACATAGAAGTAAACGATTTGATCGTATCAAATAGCTAACATTAAAAAGAAATACAAAGTAATCCGCATTGAAAGGCGTAGAATGATGTTTTTGATTTTATTTTCCATTTTCATTATTGTTCATGGGCAATTATCTAATGATGAATTGTTCACTTTTAATTCAAAATATTCGTCAACGGGTGACTGTAATAATTTTCAATATAAATTTAAAAATTTCGGCATCAATTCAAATGAATATAATCAACTTATTTTGAATTGTAATTCATCAACTATTATTTTTCGAAATAACAATCGTATATCTTCATCATTTTGTCCGGACGATGAAGATTATTTTCGAAATTTTCTCGTGCGTTTTCCTGATTTATCACAAACATCCATTCAAGTAAATCAACTTCATTTATATGGTATTGAACTTTGTTCACTTGATGATCTTATTCGAAGTGTTTATGGTGAATATTCATATTATCGTTCAAAATCGGCTCTATTGATCAATTTAGAAAATTCTAATAGTCAAGAAAAACATCATTTAGCAATAGCTACAAATGATGAAATGACATTTATTTTAACTCTATTATCAACAGATTCGAATAGAACATTAATTGAAAATAAAATCGAGCTAATTTTTCCAAATGAAAATATTTTTCAATTTAAGCGATCATCGATTAATGTTTGGCAAATTGATCAAGGTTATGCACGTACTCCTAGATCTGTATCCAGCCCTATTAATTATCAACTATCAAAATTAAAATTTACTCTGTTCAATAACGAAACCTTTTTTCTTTATGGCACACAAATATCTTATCCAAGTCGTTTTCTTGTGTGGGTTGATGAAACGCTAGTTTCATGTAATTACGATCATATACTTCGATGCATATTTCCAATTTTACCTTTGAATCTACTTGATATACATCAACCTATGTTAAAAATTAAGTATAATGGCGTTTATATTTTTAATACTACTTTAACATTGATTCCACGTACACGTCTTCAAAAAGTTCCATTCAATCATAGTGTAAGAAGTATCGGAACATTTCAAGCCAACATTAGTGAAAACACTTGCACGTAAGATAAAATTAGGTTTTGCAAAAACAAGGTGTTGATTAGCATGAAACTTTTCTTTTCTAGAAATGATTCGCTGAAATCATTGTTCAGTTTCATTGTTCATCTATGGAAAGAAGATGGAAATGGAAGAATAAGTTATCAAAAAATTATCAAGAATGACATAGGACCTATTGATTGTGATCAACCTGCTAAAATCGGTCAATATATTGAACAAGCGATTCATCCTACGTCCAGCAATGATATTATTTCGATGAATGTGGATCTTACACATCAATGGTATTATCATCGAAATTGTCGAACAGAACGAACAAGAATTATGTTTAATTAAAAATTTACATACTCATGAATATTTTATTTGAAAATAAAATAAGTTCTTATGTTTAATCATAGACTCTGTTTTGTGTAACTTGCAATAGTAGATTTTTTTTCTAATCAATCATTTTATTTAAATCAAATTTTCAAATGTTCCATTGAAAGACTTTTGAACAACAGTGCGATATCATATTCATTATAGAAACTAGAGATATTAACTGAATCTTATAAATACTGAAGGGTGAGTGTGTAGATATGATTAGACCAATGGCAGACTTACATGTAAATGAGATCAAATTATAGTTCAGGATACTATTACGTATATTGATTATTGCTTCTATAGTCGAAAATCTGAAAATGCCTACGTTGACTAAGGATGAATTCCGAGGCGAAAAATCTTGATGAAATTGGGAAACTTCTGTATTTAGATATATTCATTGAGCGTATGTTACATCTTTGATTGTAAAATTAATTTTTGACAATCATCTACTGACCGTTCATACATTATCAGATGCTGCTTTCATAGTTTCCCAGAATCGGAATTTAGTTATTTTCGTGTTTACACCAACTTTTTACTTTTGAACCATGAAATTTTGTCGTGTAATACGAATCTTTTACCTTATATTTATCTCTTGATAAAATGGGTAGTAAGTATCGGATCTCGCCTATCAATGAAAATAGCAATTTTGATGGCAACAGCGAAAGAGTCATCATCGGTTAGCAATCACAATCTTGTATCTGAGATGGTCAATTTAAACTCAAGTATGTACACCAAATTAGGTATTGAACTAAGCACTGATATAGCCGTCAGTGAGTTCCGACTTTTCGATTCAACTTATCAAATATTGAGTGAATGTGTCTCTGCTAGTAAGTATCATTACTGATAGAAACTCTTCGTATGAAATCGATTTACTATTTGAGAAGCATAACAATAGCTGTTTTAGTTTTGTAAATTTGCCACCAATCTAGAGATGACTAGAATTTGTTTTAGAACAGGGAATTCTATAGACGTCTATCGAACTGCGATGCTTTAGATATTTTCAAATCAAACGATTCCTTGTTACTATTTTTCATATCAAGGAAAGAATGTATTGCGCAAATACAATACAATAAAACATTTACAACAATAGCCTATTGTGAAGTACAGATAAACGATTAGCAAATTGTTGTGATACATCAATATTTTTGTCATGACAAGTCGTGCCATCAAAGTCTACTCTAATTGATTCGAATTTTATTTATCACGGCCAATTTACGATTAAACATGTGGGGAAAGTTTTACAATGAAACGAAATTCATATATATTGTCAGATGAGGCTATAGTATTGTAATATACGTAGAGAACTAAAATTCTTAGGTACCATTAATTTTCCATCGAAAAATATCCTAGACTGGTGAAATTGTTCTTCTAAATGTTGATAATCTTTTTGAACAATCAAGTTCTTCGACACAAAACAAACGATTTTACTTATGTTTAGTTTTAATACATAATAATGAGAAAAAATTATATTTATCAAGTGAAATTCAGCAGTTTTGTTCGAAAAATAATGCCTGTATATTATTTCGTATATATTTTGAGAGGGTAAGCCTGCTATTTTCTTTATTCAAAATACCTAAATATACATACAGAGTCATTGGTATGAATGTCCAACATCAATGAATCATTTCAGTTATAAATATATTTTTGTTAGAAAACATAAATCGAAGTACTTCGTTTTTGTGTACTCAAAAAAAAAAGAGTACACTATAGAATCGGTCAGTGTGTCCGGCCGTCCGTTTATTCGATAACTCTTCACAATTACATTCGATTGAGCTGAAATTTTGTGCACAGAATTGTCTTATCAATATCTAGGTCGAGTTCGAAGATGAGAAGGATCCGTCAAGAAATGGCTGAGTTGTCGAAAAAATTGTCATTTTTGATCAGACCATCCCTGAGGGGGAGTACAGGGATTTTTCAAAAAAAAAATTTTCTCAGAATTATTCACAACATATATAAATCGACTCAGTTTTTAACGCTGATTCTAAATCTGATATTAGTTTTGAACTAAGTCATAGCTTTCTAACGAAACATCACCTGAAAAACGTCTCAAAATTCACAAAAACTCCATCCAGAAATCAAATTGTCTAGTTTCTCATGATAATTTTCGTGTTCAGGCATTCTAGAATGACTCATATGTCGCATGCAATTTTTGCAGTACACATAACTCTCGGATGAAATCCGAAGTTTCCACATTTATTTTTATTAGTTAATAATAATCGATAAATAAGTTCTTTTTTTCGCATAAAAAGGATTCTGATTATAAATGTAATTAACAAAACAATGTTCAATAACAGCTTTTATGTCTTCAAGATAGTTCTTCTTGTCATCTGGTGGAAGAGAACAATAATTCAAAGTCAATGGAACATTGCCAGTGAAACCAATTTGTTTGAGTAAATCTTGAAACATTTTGAATTTCTCTTGTTGATTAATTTGTTGTTGTTCGTCTTGTTGATGATTATTCATTTTCTCTGATTCAAGTTGAAAGAGATTAACTCAGAAAATGATATATTTTTCGATTGTTAAAGTATGAGCCAAGTTTTTTCGAAAGATTAGTTGCAAGAATGAAAAGTGAGGATTTCTCAGATAGGTACAGAATAGATATATGTATGAATCATAATCAATGAATCGACAGATGCCAAATTATAAAACTCTCATTTCCATTATCTGAAATAGTTTAATTCCTAAACCATTTTTTTAATATAAATAAAAACATCATAGAACCATTTTATAAAAAAAAAAAAAAAACGAGGCAGTATTCATTGATTGGTAGTATACTTGATTTTATATAAAACAATTTTTCTCATTATCGAATCATTTTTATACAGCCATTTCATCATTATCATCATGTCCACGCAATGCATATCAAAATATGCACATGCAAGTTGTTTCTCAGATGCACATCGGAAGAAGACATAATGAAAAATAAAATAACAATTCAATATTAGCAAGTCTTGAAAGATAAAAAAGAGTATTGCTAAAATCTTGGTTGGATTGAATATAAATACAATAAAGAAACTTAATAAAATGTACAAAATAGAGAGAGAACGAAAATAATATGAACCTCTTTTTTTATGCACTCAATAGGTACTTACACATATGTCAATTGCTAAATCTGTCCGTATAACTTTCTCAGAATAACCAATAAGTTTTCGGTTTAGGGATATATTTTCGATTAACTGTTTCCACAAATGACCGTTAGTAAAAATAGATAAAAAAACACCCTCAACAACTAGTGAGCCTCGGTCTAGTCACAAAAGAAGTGACTCATATTGGTCACTGATAGATAGCCATCAGATATAGATTGTTGCGAATGAGCACACTAGAGACATCCACACTCCATGCATGTCTACAATCGTGCAGTAGATATAGACTTTCATGCAAATTGTACTTTACCTTGAAATCAATAATAGCTATACTGAACAAGTTATCTGATTTCTTGTTTCCGAAATATCATCTTATTTATGTTAGCTTAAAATCCATTCATTTAATCGATACTTGACTTTTCATAATTTGATTCATTCATAAATAAAGTATTAATCTATGCTTTTAACGAATTCGATCTTTCTGATAAACAAAAATTCTAGTTGAGAAAATTCAATGTTTTTCCCATAGTTGTTAAAAAAAAGACATCTCTGTACATACCGCCATTTATGGTTGCATTGAAGCATAAATGATTTCTTTTCTTTTTGACTTTCAAATCAGATTTCGAGTTAATTATAATAGACGTAATCGATCACCGTATATACGTCTCGCCTTTTTTTTAATCACAGCAGGGCAAATGATCATAACGCTTAGGTTTGTTCTTCAATATCTACCGTTCATTGAAAATAATGATCATTTCTGATGACAAACACTGATAGTTCTTTATTTTCTATCTATTGCTTGTATCAAGTAAAAAAAAGAAGAAGAAAATATTAGACTAATCAATATCGAATATTTTTTTTGAATCATTTTATTGCCAACAAGAAGAAGGATGTCACTGTTCAGGGCAAAAACTAGAAAATAAAGACTCGCATCAGTAGAAATATTATACACGCACACACAACAATAACACGAAAAGAAAACAACAGTCGTCATATTCTTTTTCTTTTTAAAGTTTAAGATAAGGCCCATTCGAATTATTTGTTGCCATAGATTGTTGTTGTCGAATATGATTTATTGGAAAAGTGTCTTTACGTGAATGATGATTTAAAGTATTGTTGTTATTATTATTGATGTTATTGTTTGTAGTGGTATTGGTATTATTATTATTATTATTGTTGTTGTTTCGTGAATTTGTCGTTGTCAAAGCTAATGGCTGTTGACAATAAGTTGGTGATTGTGCTGATTGAATTCCAGGTGATAAGTCTGATGTTGAACTATTACTATTACTGCTTGCTGCTGAAGTCAATGCTGTTGGGCATACAGCAAGATGTTGTGATGTTGTTAATGAATGATCATTAATTGTTGATGTTTCTTGACCAACACTACTCGATGAAGAACTTGAACCAGCACCTGGCGTCGATGAACCGGTTGCTGTACTTTCACCATCCGTTCGCTGAGATTTATCAAGAGCTTCACGACGACCTGAATGCATACATAAATATTAAAATCAAATAAATTAATGGAAAAAAAATGAAATTCTTACATCTTTCAGTTGCTTCACGTTTTTGTTTTCTAAAAGAATGACAGTTCATCAATTAATTATTTGAGAAATTAAATTCTAACTTACCGATATTTTGCTCGACGATTTTTAAACCAAACCTAAGAACAAGAAGAAAAGAAAATATAGGAAAAGCGAAAATTATTTTCCATTCCAACCAATTAATTGTCTTCTAAGAGCTGCTAGAATTGCAGGTGTAACCGATCAATATTCTCTATGCCTTCTATTGGTTATAATGTCTTACGGTATGTTCATTTATGTTCGTTATACATTGTTTTCTCTTTTTTTTCTCTTTCATGTGTGATCATGCATAAAAATGAATCAAGTCAAATTATCCATCTAGAACATCATTTATATACATGAATCGATAACATATCAAGCTAAAATTGACTACTTTCCGGAAGTGTACAAATGATTTATATTTATATACATATACATATACATTCATTTGATCACATATAAACATTGAGATCTAACTGGTATTGACGGTGGCACCATCATGTATTTATGTGAGTTATTAGCCTATTAGCGGCAATAGACAAGAAGAAGAAACGCATCATTGAACAATACCAAAACAAAATAACAGCAAATAGAAATTATTATTAATATATCGTAGAAAATATATAGATCTATTTGTGTAACAAAGAAAAGAGCAATCGGATGTAGTGGAATACAAAGCCTAGAAACGAATTGGCGGCATTAAAAGGAAATGGAAAAAAATCTCTTGAAATAAGAGTGAGAACATGGAATGCATACTGGATTTGTCTTTGGATGATCCCGACTTCGCACTTATTTTCTCTCTCTCTCTCTCTCTTGTTCTCTCTTTTGTCATCACTTTCCAATCTGAGTAGCTGATCCTCTTTTGCTTTCATTTGGTTTCAATCAAGTTTATTTAGTCAGCAATCAGCGGATAATTGGCAAACGATGAACTAAATCGGGCAATTGCTTCTGTCAATAAAAGTCAATTCATATATGATTCTTTCAGACAAGAAGCTATACTAACAATATACCAGAAAAGTCGTCATGTCAACAACAACAATCGATCGATTGCTCGTTCGTTCGATTGTATTGTGTCACCCAGAGGCAATGTGAGAAATCAACTTCGCTTCTTTTTTTTTCTTTTTGATACAAGATAGGAAAGAAAATGAATACAAATTTTTAAACTACTCGACATTGTGACCAAGTGCTTTCTGCCATTAACCTTGCATACTGATAAAAGCTTCTCACGGTCTCTAATAAGCCCAATAGGCAATGTTCATTACTTCATCTCATTTTCGAAAGTCAATTATTAACACAGTAAGAGAAAAATCTCATCGATATTCGTATCATCTAATTTTTAAATTTAAGTATTTACCTCAACACGTTCTTCTTTAAGATCAATTTTCATTGCTAAATCTAAAAGAAAATTTCATGTTAAATTTATCAACATTGTTTTCTTTTCATCTTATTACCTTCTCTCATCATAACATCAGGATAATGTGTTCGATTGAAAGCTTCTTCCAATTGTTCAAGTTGTTCTTCAGAAAAAATAGTTCGATGTCTTCGTTTTCGTTTATGATTTTGAGCCATTGTAGCAGCAAAAAAATTTTGTAATGCAGGATATGCTTAAAAAAAATAGAATCAATGAATTATTTATTTATTTATCTTAATTCTTAAACAATGTTTCTTTTTCAAAGAATACTTTATAATTAACTTCTACTCTTTATAGTGTGCCCAAAAGCATAATATCATTGTATATTTATATGAACAATTACTTTTATTTTTCGCTTTGAACTTTCTGTCCTATTGAATATAATAACATCAATAACTTGACGTTATTACTGAAACAGGTGACGATTCGGAAATAAACATCTAGTTATAAATGTGAATCACTGACCATACCAACAATTAAACACGTTTATCATAAGCAAATATACAAAACAAAACCGATAAAGTATATATATATACATATTATAAACTTTCGCTCTAACACCTTTGACGTTCAATTGATAATATGAGATATAGAAACAAGACAACAAAAGTAGCTTGTTTTACTCAATGTACTTACAATAAAAGTCGGCAGCCGCCTGAGCAGTACTTGCTGATGTTGCACCATAGTAAGAAGATAATGGTACGGATAAACGTGGACGTGGTGCAAGAATATTATCGATCGAAAATGGATTATTGTGCGAAACAACAGCAGCAGCGGCTGCAGCTGCTGCAGCTAATGAATGATGACCACCGGCCGAACTCATTGGATTTCCACTATTTGCATTGCCAATACCACCGGAACCAGCGCCAGTAGAAAAATATGCTGTGAGTGCAGCTGATGGAAATTGTTTGAGCGCATCAGAATAATGCGGAAGTTGATACATTGTTGTATTGTTATGCAGCTTTCACTTTCAGTTACTTTCGCTTTCTTTTGACAGTCTGTAGTCAATAATGTAGTCGCTAATCGATCGTGTTCGTCTTTTTCTCTCTTCTCTCCCTCTGTATGTCTCTGCTTCTTTTTTTTAATATTTTTCCCTTTCGCTGTCTCTCTCTCTCTCTCTCTTCTTTTATTCCGCCAATCGGTGACGATTTCTATACTCGATGATTGCCGATTTTCTTGTGTGATAATTGTTTTGCAAATATTTAATAGAAAAAAGCGAACGAGGCACATACACGCGAGCAACCGAAAATGTATGTGTTTATGCTTGTGACTAGGTGACAGTAATGTTAAGAGAAAAGAGGTTGTTTTTAATAATCATAAACGATTTTTTTCTTTTCTCTCTTGCTTGTTTTCTCTTTAAATTTGTAAGTATATGTATTAAATAAGCCAATCATTGTGAAGAGAAAATGTACAATAGTTGAATACGAAAAGCGAGCCCAAAAAGAAATTGATTGATCGGGGATGATACGTTGTTCGTATGTATAAATGAAATGCAAGATATTTAATCATAGATAAATTAGCAATGATACTACGACATTACTAAACGAGAAGATATTGATATTGAAAGCAAAATAGGATAGACTCGAAAAAAGAAATATCCATAATACGAAAAGATTTAATCTAAGTTAACAAATAAAGCAATTGAATGGATTCTTTCTATTTCAAATATTTCAAAAAAAAAATCAAAATCAATCATTGAATATAATATTTTATTTTTGATATTTATTTTTTTGCCTCTAGGATTTGTATATTTTAGTCTAAATTAATATCACACTGTAAATAACAATTAAAATCAAATATACATAATGACACATTTGCATTCTCTAGTAATTATTCATCGCCTACGTTCGATCAATAGTAAAGAATAAATTCTAATTTGAACTAGAGAAAAACTATAATAACTACGAAGAATAATCTCAAGGATATATCAAATCTAATAAATTCTCGATATAGCTCCTCGGTGTTTTTTTTTTGCTGTTTCTATCTATTAAATTGCTGAGAAATGTATTGACAAGAGCAGATATTTTCATATGACTTCTACTATTTTACATCGTACATTCACGTTGAATAACCTACTATTGCAATGCTCGTTGTAATTTTTTTAATGAACTATTCGTGTGTAACAAGTAGGTGACTCTATACATGTATGTGTCTGACGATTCTATGCATCTTCTTTTTAATTTATTTCTTTTCCCATTCATTACGAAGGTTAACAGTATGATATACAAATTTAGATTTCACCGTGACAAAAATGTCTTTTATTATAATTATAAAACGAAATGATTTCTTTGGAAATTATTTTTTAAACTAAACAATAATAAAATGATACAATGCATAGCACAACATACGATTTGTATGTAAAAAACGAAAAGAACTTATTATACGGTTCTGCCAGTAACTGCTGCCGGGTGGAATGATGATGATTAATCAACAAACATTATACATCGTAGTGATTGAAAACTACTTTTGTTTGCCGACTTGTTCTCTTTCTCTTTGTCTTGTTATAAAGTTGAAAAACACTTGATCAAGTAGTCGAATACATTATCGAACACATTTTAATAGATGTTCATATAACTGTTGTTAAATGAAGACGAAAGAGAATGTTGAAGAATTTACGTGTAGAGCAAGACAAAGAAATGAATTAAGGAGAAGTATAAAATCGGCGAACCTACACAATTGATGAAAGATGTACAATGCCAAAGTATTCCTTTTTTTTCATGAAGAAAAGAAATCATCATTGCTTATTGTTTACTAGTAAAGTCACACTTGATGTTGAATTGTTCATGTCATTAGTTTTAACTAATTTTCAACCGGAAAAGAATAATATTTATATAGGTGTTTAAATGAATACTAATGAACAAACTTGTCTATACGATGAATAGATATACAAAAGAAAGACAATTAAAATATAACTAAGGTTATTGTGCATGTCGATACGCACGATATTGTTCGTTCCTATGAATGAAATAAAATTTTTAAGGCAGTTTCATTCAAGTAAATAATTGCATAACTAAGATTGTAATAATCTTTTGTTTATTTAATTAGTTGAACTTAATATTTATAAGATTTTTCTAATTTTAAAATACTAACTATTAACATAACAGCAAGAGATTTCCTCTAAGAAAAAGGTGCGAAACTCAACTGGGGAGCTTTTCAGACTGAGAATTTTACACTTTTTATGACATTATTTTTCAGAATCTAAGATACGGAGACATTTCTAGTTTCTAATGGCGCTCGCATAGGCGAGACAAATCCAATGGTTTTCAATTGTAGGATTTTAAGAGAGCTTCCACGAGCCGCGACCGAGGATCGCTCCAGTGTATCGAGCACTCGATAAAATTTATTTTTGTTTTTTTATGCTCATTTGAAAGATCAAGGTTTAAAACTACTAACTTGAAAATTTTAGCTTCTAATACTTTTCTTTCGAAAAGTTAGTCAAAGACGACTTTTCCCACCTTCACAAATTTTCAATATAAAAAATAGCAAAAATTTCTCGATCAAGCAACCCTGTCTCATGCCTCAGAAGATTGTTCAAATCTTTAGACGAATACTCTGAAAGATAGTCCATAGATAGGTGAATAATACTGGATATTTAAAGTATTGGATAGTATTCTTTTTTCGAGGCTACAAGCATCAACAAGTATGGCATGTGGCATCATTTTTTATTTTTTTCTAGTCTATTTTTCACAGTATATTTGATCTAATCTTTTCAAATAAGGAGACCCCAAGCTGAATCTCGGATATGTCATGTAACTTTTAATTCTATAAAAATTGCAAACAACCTTTTGAAAAAGAATGGAATGTTCAATCCGAAAAGTAGCTAACATTATCAATATGATAGTGAAAATCATGAAAATAAACCATATGTGACCAATACTAGATATCATCGATTCACAAAAACTTTAGTGTATAAAAAATAAGATTAGTATACTAAACCGTTTAGGAAAGTTAGTTCGTTCTTAAACGAAGAAAAAAAATTTTTTGATCTCCTCCGACCTCCTGGGGCAGTACAGGAATCTGTGGAAAATTTCGAAAAATATTTTTTGTCATTGAATCGAATGATAATAGTTTCACATGAAAGAGCTTGAAAAACTGATTACAACTGTGTATGGAAGGGTGTGCTTTAGGTGCAATTTTACCATGGATGAACCACTAGTAAAATTCCTATCTAAAGGCGTATTAGTTGGAAATGTGAAACTTAAATACTCCGCCTTCAAAAATATCACCTTTGAGGTTCAGCTCTTAGTACTCGATTTTGATTAGTTTCTCAAGCTCTTTCATCTGAAACCATAATCATTCGATTCTATGACAAAAAATATTTTTCGAAATTTTCAACAGATCCGTGTACTGTCCCAGGAGGTCGGAGGAGATCGAAAATTTTTTTCTCTTCGTTTAAGAACGAACTAACTTTGCTAAACAGTTTAGTATACTAATCTTATTTTTTATACACTAAAATGTTTGTGAATCGATGATATCTAGTATTGGTCACATGTGGTTTATTTTCATGATTTTCACTATCATATTGATAATGTTAGCTACTTTTCGGATTGAACATTCCATTCTTTTTCAAAAGGTTGTTTGCAATTTTTATAGAATTAAAAGTTACATGACATATCCGAGATTCAGCTTGGGGTCTCCTTATTTGAAAAGATTAGATCAAATATACTGTGAAAAATAGACTAGAAAAAAATAAAAAATGATGCCACATGCCATACTTGTTGATGCTTGTAGCCTCGAAAAAAGAATACTATCCAATACTTTAAATATCCAGTATTATTCACCTATCTATGGACTATCTTTCAGAGTATTCGTCTAAAGATTTGAACAATCTTCTGAGGCATGAGACAGGGTTGCTTGATCGAGAAATTTTTGCTATTTTTTATATTGAAAATTTGTGAAGGTGGGAAAAGTCGTCTTTGACTAACTTTTCGAAAGAAAAGTATTAGAAGCTAAAATTTTCAAGTTAGTAGTTTTAAACCTTGATCTTTCAAATGAGCATAAAAAAAACAAAAATAAATTTTATCGAGTGCTTCGATTCCTCAGTGCTGTCATAGATGCTCTCTTAATAATTTTATATTTCTTTAAAAGTAGTAATCATTTCAAAACAAAAAACAAGGATGAAATATTCCGGTACGCTTGCCAATTAGTAAAATTCATTTTGAAAATAATATTTCTGTAGTGAATAAATTAAATAATAACTAATATATTCTTTTGTTTCACAAGATTATCTTCAACTACATACACACAAAGATATATGTTTCGAAAAAAAGAAAAGAAAACAAACGGACATTGCTGTGTGCACAAAAGACCAAAGAAAAATAATAGCAGAAGCAAATGAACAGGAAAAAAGAAAATTTTTCCAAATATAAAGTTTCGACTTGATTTTTTTTTGTTTTATTTTGTTTTCCATTAGTGTAGATTATCTTATAATAATCAATAAATTCACTTTTATATGTTTGAAAGAAAATGAAAAAAAAAACAGACGCATAAACTAAGGAAAAAAATGAAAGAAAAAGTACATTTTTATTTAAGCTTCATATGGTAGACGTTGTTTCCATGCTAGAAATTTTAACTTGATATTATCTCGTAATTGAGCACGTTTTATATCAAAATTTTTATTGAGCATGAAAAATCGATGAAGATCGTTATCGGATATAAAAATTTGACTATCTAAACCGATTGGCGTATTTTCATCCTAGAAGAAATACGAAAACTATTAGTTTTTTTATCGATTAACAAAATTAATTTTACCCAAGCTTGCTTCAGATCCATATGAAAAAATGGATATTCTTGAGATAATTGTAGCTAGAAGAAAATATTAACATGTATATGAATATACAATAGTGAATGAAAAAGTCGCTAACATATTCAATTTGTTTTTATTCAAGTATTTAGGTAGAATGGAATGTTTCATTCTTTACTATAATATGAATTTAAAAAATTAAATCAAATATTTACTTACTTTAAGGGTATGTTTTCCAGTAGTATCACATAATTCAATTGTTTTTTTTAAATCTAAAAAATAAATATCCTTTTTTTTATCGAAAATTGATTATAATGATAAACACTTACCTATTAATGTATTATGAACACAACAATTATGACTATAGATACCACTGGACAAAACAGAATTACATGGTGAAACAGATTCGCCATGTTCATCACTATTCTCATCTTCTTCGTGTAATGGACAACAATGTGGTACTGGAAGAAAAAAGCAAAAAAATGCCATATATGAATGATGATTATCGGCAAAAAAGTTTATGCTTACGTTCAGTTAAACATCCATCACATAGTAGTGAACATTCACAAGGACCAAACGAACAAGTTTCATCTTGCCCTAAATAAAGCAAAACAACAGTAGCTTTTTTTTTCAGTACATCAGGTTTTTATTCTGTTTTTGTGATAAGTGAATATTTACATGCCGTTTGTGGAATGTAAATAATAATAACTTGCATAGTTATTAAATGATAAGACTAAAAAATCTATTTATATTTTCTAGAAAGAACAAAAATATTGTTCGCAATAGAAATAATCCTATAAAATTTTTCTCTTTTTCATGAAATTGGCTCTCAGTGAGTTCATTACTCTCTGCTAAACTTAGCCGAATCTCCCATTTATGGTTTAATAATATGCAGATAATATAGAGAACCCTACAAACTATGAATACATCATTTGGAGCGTGCTTTCGTTCGTTTTGTTTGTCTACGTACATATATAGACATTATTTTAAATCACTTTTTCTTATTTGATCGACGATTCTCAAGCTACAATATTGTCTTTGTATCGAAAGTATCTATTTCGTTTCTTTTGTTTTTATTTGTTAGAAGTTCCCAATAGACTTTTCAAGTATAGAATAGCCTCGCTGATAATTTAGTCTCTATAACAACATTAAATAGATTTGTATCGTTTGCGAATAATATGTTAGAAACAATGGTTGATTGTTATCTGGCAGTAAATGAATTTACCTGAGGAATAACCAAGATCAGTTCGTGTACTTAAACAGCGGATACATGACAACGATGATGATGTTGGACATTCGTCACAGGACACTTGCTGTTTTTCTTGAAAACAAAAATTTCCAGATGATTGTATGAAAATAAAATTCATTTTTATTTACCTAAATTTCTACCGTGACAAGCGCATTCCCTTGTTGAAACAGATGAAAAAAGAGTTTCAAGTGAACTTGATAATGGCATTTTTTGTTTATTATTAACTTCAAGTGATTGTTTTGGTGTACATTCAGATGTGAAAAGTAATGAGGATGGACACGATTGTGACTTCACTAATGATGCGGATGGCAGTGTTGTATGACTAATCGACAGCGACTTTGATCGTTCATCACAGGAATGACATAGACAAGAACAACAGCTACTTGTTCGACGGCGAGTTATTGTTTTTTGTTTATTATCATTAGAATTAGATCGTGAAGTTGGTTTTTCATCGATTTCTTCTCTTATTTTATTTGCTTTCCTCTAAAAGAAAAACAAATATATACACAAGTCTGTTTGTCACAAAGAAAATATTACCTTATTATTTTCATTCGTTTTCATTTGACGACGAGCTTTACGCTTTGAACGTTTTTGTTGCTTTTTCTGTACTTTTAGCTCGTCTGCTTCACGAAATTCATCACATAAAATTTGTAATGTCCTACTAAAATCTTGTTTGCCATCAACAGCCTTTTCAAAGTCTAAATGAATGCGTTTCTTTTTATAAACAAAAACCAGGCATCGCCTATGAAAACAATTTACTTAATCTTAAACAATCAATTCCAATATAAAATAGCAGTTGCCATGTTTGTTCTTCAGATCGCATTGTACGATAGATTTTATCAAATCGTTCAAATAAATAAATACCAATACAAGTTAGAATTTCTTCTTGAGCTATATCTAATGTTTTAGCATGACGTTCACGTCGACTATCTTGAATTTCGGATTCTGCTCGTGCAATTAAATTACCAATAAATACTTTGTTGGAATCAATATGAATATGTTTATCATTAGTACATGATCGTAAACCTAGAAATAAACAAATTATTTAAAGAAAATTTCTATATAATAGTTATAGAGACATCATTGCAGCTGATATGTAATATTGAAATTCACATTGAGTGTGAAAAACGACATTCATGAGATTCAAATAAGTGTAAAAAGAGGTTCGGTTGATTTCAAGGTCTCAGAATATTTTTGACGGTGATTTAATTTTCCTGTGGGAAAAGTTTTATCTCAAAAATTCCATTAAGACGATTGTAACTTGACTTAGCAGGCTTATGAAGAAAAAAAACTCGTTTAGACTTTTGTAGTCTTACTGAAATCTTCCTGTAGGCGTAGAATGTGCTTGCATCTCAGGGGCCATGATTAGATGAAATCTTTTCACAAACAAAATTCATCATTTAGAAATAATCGTTCATCGGATTATCATTTTTTTAAAATTTCTCTCAAGCTAAAACTCATTATAAGTATTTGATTTTCTACAGTAAATATAAAATAAATCGAAATTTAGTTTTTTCACAATCTTTAAAAGAAACTGATTACCCATTTCGAATTAATCTATTCTTGATTTCCATAATCTTACCTTCATATAATGCAGGGCAATATCCTTTCTTATCTCGATGTTTATTATCTCCATTGTCCAGTAAAATATCATAGGCCTCTAATACTTTAAGTTTACATTCCGAACAGAATCTATTAAAAAACAAATACATTAATAAACAAACGAAATGAATATTCATTGAGTTTTAAAATTATACTTATGCTTATGTAAATAATTTTCTAATGTATCAAGTAAACAATCGGCTTCGATTAATGTAATTGTATCACGGCATTCTTCATTCATTGAATCCCAAACAAGTTCCCAATCGCTAAAAGATAAAGCGAGAAAAAATAAAATTTGACAAAAGGATAATTACAACACTGATTGTTTTACTTAATAGATTTAGATTTATCTAATGAATGAATAATACATCGACGATTCTTTTTCGACTTCGGAATACTTTCAATAAATGAATTTAATTTCGATCTATGAAAGAAAAATAATAATCAATGCAATGAAATCTTTCAATGTTTGTTTTTTGTACCCATGAACATAAAACAGTGTATAAATATTATCAGGATTAGAGCTATAAATTTTCGTTACAGTTATGGACGCTTTTTCATTCATAATGAGTGGTTCTAATCCTGAATGATGATGTTCTAATAATGATTTGATAAAATTTTCAATACTAATGCAATAAAATTAATTAATTTAAAATAAAACGAATAATCATTTTATCAAACCTTGTTCGACAACCAATGCAGGGTACACTATGAAGAATATATTCTTTTATTTGAGTACTGGGTACACATAGAGCGTCATTTAATTCTTCCATAGTTAATTTTTTATATCCATTAATAAACGTTTCATACTTTTTCGTTTTTTTATTACAACAATGATGATCACCTGTTATGCATGCATCATCAACTTGAAGTTTCATCTAATTATAAAATTCAATATAAGCATATGTCTTTTCATTTTTAAATCGAGAAAAAGATAATTTACAATAAGGTTTTCATCAATATTGATTGGTATTTGACGTTTATCAAATGATGACACTTGTTCTTTTTGACATACAGCTACAAGTCGAGCTGTAGGTTTTATTGGAGACATACAAGTACTTGGATCACAGCTATCCATTGATCATCTAGAATCAGTATATGTTTATATTCGACATCGACAGTATACATAACATACAATTTTATGATTGGATAAATCTAACCATTCAGCAATCTCTTGGAACTCTATAAAGAAGTATGTTATAGTGATGTCGTCGTTTCTCTGAGACTGAATCATTGATCTACTGACTGATGTGAATGGATCAGTGCATTATTTCTAAAAGGAATTCACTTATGCACTTTTGTATTCTGTTTTTAAATCTGGGTAAAATAAAAAACTAATTTCACACAAAAATTAGTCATAGTTTGAAATATTTTTGTATAATATTTTCGTTCTGGCGCTTTTCACTTTATGCAGTCTGTTCATATTATACACTGACGGCATCATAGATATTATTCGTTTCATTGGTTCTTTTACCATTAAGCGGCTAAGCAACATGAGCAAGCAGACCGATAAACGAAGCAGTTTTATTCACAACAGTTCTGTATTTATATACATTTTAGCTGTTCAATAAATAATTATTATACGATATTATTAGATACAAGTGTGTTTTGTTTTCGATGCTCATAAATGTATTTCGATGTTGATATTAGCTCTTGACTGTAAAGTTTGTATTTCAGATTTCTCTGTAATTCTACCATGCCAAAAGCTAGAGAACGAGTATGCTCGATATGCGGAATCGGCTCAAGATTAACTCGGAATAAGTTCAAAGTTATTACAACAGTAGCCGTTGAAAAACTATTAATATCTGCCTATCAATCCAGATATGGTTTCGATTTATCTGTTCCGTTGCTTGGTTCATCGGTGCATGAAACATGCTACAACAGCTTGTATGGATGGTATCGTTATCAGAATCAAGTGAAAGAAGTACCTGCTAATAATACTTGTTTAAATCCCATAAGTAATAATATGCAAACAGTTCATCAGTGTGAACATCAATCATCACTGGATGCAGTATTGGGTGAGTCGCTTCTTGGTAGCAACATAATTTCATACTGTATATATATGTATAATATATCTATTAGACTGCAATACGAATACAGATATTGAAATGGATATTTCTCCTTCGTCAATGCTCAAAGAAGATTCACTGAGTGAAAATACAGTGTTTACAACAACGACCAAAAATGACGACCAAATTGTTTGCCCAATTAGAATGAATCAAAATGAAAAACCTGACAATGAACCATTACTGTGTATTTCTCCGATATCCTCATTGTCTCCTACTTGTTTATCGAATAATCCGTGGATGGTCCATGCAAGCACTGATTGTTTCGAAAGTAATCAAGTTATGTTTATCGAATTTTGTTTGATCAATTTTATTCTTTCCTTTAATTATTTATAGACTCGAACAAAAATCATTTTCTTTCATCAACTATCAATTTATCTATCAATGATCTGGAAGCATCATTTAATCTAGATGAGCCGCTTGATAAAGAACTAAATTCATTAATAACTCGAGAATTTGCAGGTTTCTATTGAATAAACTGATCCATATAGTACAGAAGATTGAATTTTTATATTTTAGAAACTAGCATTTTATCAAATATTGAAAATATCAGCAGTCTTCAACGATCTAGTTTATTAAATTTTAACAAAAAGACTAACGATCATATTGAAAAGACAGTTACTGAATTACTTTCCTTGATGACCCAAATTGTCACCAAAACAATAAATATTAGTATGTATCACATATTGCTGTGTATCGTATTCATATTTGCTCGTTTTAGGCTCAAAATGTTCATTAATCTTACCCAAATTGTTCAATAATGATAGCTTTTTATCAACATGTTCAGTGCAAACAACTTTTGAATCTTTAATCAGCACTAATAATCTTTTTATTCCAGAAATTGAAAATCAACATGATCCAACATCTAGTAAGATTTCATTGGAGTCTTTTTTTTAGCATCACATAGATTTCTAATAGATCTTAATGTACCACTTTTCGTTGATACTACATTTAATGATATTTTTCACTCATCGATATGCCCGACCGATGATGTGAATGAAGAAGCATCCATTATTTCGTCTGATCCAGATATGTTGATGAGTAACAGTTATCAAGAAGAGACGTATGCACATTGTTTCAATGATATACCACCGGAATCATCTATCTTTGACGAAGATAACGTAACTGGTAATTGGGAAGATCTTAATAATGAATGTACTATCGATGAAGATTCATTTTTTTTGTCAACTGCTCGTTCCATATCATCACCTATGTTTTAAAATGATACGGAAAGGTTGAGCGATGGATTGAATCGAACAGATACTGATAAACCGAAATTGAGACGTTCAAGAAAGGTTAATTCACGATCTTATTACTATAAGCGGAAGGTTAGCTATTATTTCAATCAATAAAACACATGTAACTATATTAATTTCATTAGATTACTAATGCTATTCGAAAAAGATTATCAACGTTATCTCATCGTAGTCAATCTGAAGCTGAAAGTCCTGGTTCAGCATGTCGTGAAGATGCTTATAAATCACCAATGGATGAACTAATTACTTGGGTTACAGAACAAGTACAAGATAAACTTATTTCTTTGAATGAGATCAAAGATAAGTTGAGAAGTATTATATGTACCCAACACCAGGAAAAATTAGATGATATACAATTGAGAAATGATTGGGTACAACGACAGATGCAAGAGCATTCACCTGGGAAGTTTTGGTTCGGCAAGATTGCTAAGCGTCTTGGAACATATATTGGTCTAAATAACATCGGTGGTCATTTACAAAATATTTTGTCATCGTCCTTTTCTTACAATTTATCGCAATCCAATGTTACGGCTACTACTGATCAAGATGATTCAATACAAAGTAACGGAAAGAAACAATTATGTCTAGCACTATTTACAGCAATTACCACGTTGCGTGAACAAATCCGAGAGAATATTTATCTGATTCAAGTCTTCCATAAAGAACCTGAGAAGATTACTAATATGACGTCTGGCATATTGAATAGTCTTGTTCCAATGTTGCTGAGAAATTTTATTGGTATGTTAACAGCAAGCAATCGCAAGTTTTCTAAAATAAAAAGTGAATATGCGTAAGATACATATATATTCAAGCCATTACACTAAGTATGAATGTGTGGTTTTCTGTTTTTAGATATTTAGATGCATTTGATATTGATTTGTTTCGTACTAGTGAAAACTGGCTCAAAAATATTTCTATTTGCTATGATATCATTAATATTAAAAATGACCGAATTGTGTCACCTAAACATATTTTATTGGCGAATGAAGTCTTTCGGCACGCACATTCATATGAGCTACTGACAGTGCTTAATAGATTTGGTGTTGTATGTTCACATAGAAACCTTTCACGCCTTTATCATCGTATTGCAAAAAATAATGATACAAGTGGATCTGGATTACCTTCAAATATTCGTGCCAATAGTTTTATGATTGAAGTACATGATAACTTTAATATGAACAAAGAAACGTTAAGAGGTGAAGGTAGTTTACATGTTGTTAATAGAATTATTTTACAAAGTGATGAAAACGATGGAAAACTTACGAACTTTTCTTCGTCTACTTCACCAAACAATTCACTTTCGTCTTTACTTCCGGTTACTTCAGCAAACACAACTAATGCATCAGGTATTTCCTCTGTCTGTCATAAGATTCAGCTACTTTTGTCTTTTTATTTCCAGATACGAGAAAAAATCATTTGAATATTCAACCAAGTCTTTATCAAGGATTTACATGTTCGAATCATGATATATCTTTATTCTGTTTCAATCTCATCAAGTGTTGGTTTGGTACAAAGCATTTAGATTCAGCTTTTTCCATAACACGGCCCTGCATACTTATTCCACTAACATCAGGCTTTTTTGCCTCTTATGTTTCGTCATCGCCGCGTCCTATACATCATGTTGCATTCCTTCCACCAGTTCACAGTGATCCAAATAAAATCTCGACTACTTACGAATGTATGGAATCAACGAAGCAACGATTGTTGGACAACGGTTTGCAAGAAGCGGCTGTAGTCGTGGTCGATGAAAAAATTTACAGAAACTGCATTCAAGTAAATAGTAGCACACATTTTACGTGATCGATTTTGTTTTTGCTTTTTTAATTAAGGTAAAAGACAATCATAAAGTGCTATTTGACAAATTATTACCGTATCCAGGTGAATTTCACATAATGAAGAATTATATGATTGCTGTATGGGACATATTGGAATATTCTGGTATTGATACAGCATTAGGTGAATTATATAGAGGAGCAAGTTTTCGATCAATTATGAATTGTTCTCATTTCAATAAATCCTTACGTGCTATGAAATTATTGCATTCTACTTTGGCCACATTACTAATTCATCAATTTTTGAACGACATGCCTATTGAAATTGTCAACGATCTTGAAGCTCTCTTGAAGACCATACCGTATGATGTTACTTCCAATACATTGAAAATAGAATGGTTTGTGCTGTTTTCATTCTTTTCTTTTTTTGTTAAATTCATTAGTTTTTCTATTGAAAGGTTCAAAAAATTTCAGGATACAGTACAACAACATCAGTTATTTATAGTGTTTAATGAATGGATTGCTGATAAGAACAATCAAAACAAGAAATTTAAATTTTGGCATTTTGTTTTTAATGATCTCATTGGTCCTTTAATTGATATGTATATAGCCATTCGATCGGCTGATTTTGATGCTCGTAATGCAGCATTAAGTCGTATGGCACCGTTATTCTTCACAACAAATCATCAAAATTATGGTGCGTATTTCTTTTTTATGTACAAGCAGATATTGAGAAAAATGCCATTTAGTATTCAAAATAGAAAATGAAAGTTTTCTTACTTTATAAAGTCAATATTCAAATGTCTATTTTAGCGCGACTATGTGCAAGACACATTACTGATCTTCGCTCATGTTCTGATGAATTGTTCAACGTTCTTGCGAATGCATTTGCAGTACAACGTACGCCACGTCCTTTTTCATCTATAGCTATGGATCAGACAATTGAAGTAACAATTAATAAAGCTGGTAAAGGTCAAGGAGGTATATCTGGTCGATATGATAAAGATATGATCGATATTTGGTGCAAATCATTTTCTTATCGATCTTTATTATCCACTATTACATGTGAACTAGCTGAATACGAGACCGAAAACAATAATATTGATGCTCATATTGAATGCACTCCGTCAAGACTTGAAGCTGATGAGCACGATTTCGGCACATTACTTATGATCCTCGTCAAAGAACGTTTATTTACATGTGATGAGGAAACTGTTACACAGCTTTTTTCTGGACAACAGTTTAAATCGATAATTATTGATGATATTTTGGGTTACATTCTACGCGGACAAGTTGCCATAGAAGAATTCGTAAGTATAATTAATTGTGGAAAAATATTCTTTTTTTTTCTGTAAGGTAAAAGAACGTCTTGTGAATTGTTCAACACCTTGTCAAGCAACTTTGAAAAAAATGAAGTTATTAAAGCTGATTGATAATGATCAAGTTGATCAACAATCAGGAATAGTTAAACGTGTGGCAAAAAAATCAATACAAAATATAAAAGAAATTGATGAAACTATTATAAAAGCACTGATGCTTAGTCGATATCGGCCAAAAATGAATCTGGTTGAATTCTTTGGACACGAATTTTCATCATGGCCACTTTCATTATGCGATCGGAATAATCAAGATTTTTTGTATCAACAAAGCAAGTCGAAAGTTATAAACTTTTTAAAAGAAAAGGTTCCCGATAGTTTTGGTACAATCAATCCATTTACTATATCATCAACAAACACTCATGAATCGGCTTTACTTATCGACGGTGGTGCTCTTTTACAAACACGTCCTATGCATGGTCATACTGCATTAGATTATGCAATTTATCTACTTGAAAAAAACATTATTCCAGAATTTAATTCGTATGATCGTATTGATATTGTATTTGATTCTAATCGAAGTTATACAGCAAAACGTTTCATTGATCGGCATACAGTTATTGATGAACACAGAGTCACTTATTATAAATTATTGCCCGAACATAAATTGCCAACTGGTCAACAGTTCGATAGCTTCTTACGATGTGGTAATCGTGCCACTTTAGCAGCTGCTGTCGTCCAATGTTGGCAGCTTCCAGAGGCGTTCGAATTAATTCCAGCACAGAAGAAACTTGTTATTGGTGGCCCGAGTACAACTGCTTTGTATCTCTCAAGTAAGACTAATTATAGTTTTTGTAGTTTGATGCACGAACACATCATCATAGTCCATATTATGATTTTCAAACCTCGGTAAGTAATAAATCATTGGTTATACTTGAGCATACAATGTATTTTTTTAATTTCAGTTCACGGCAACTTTCGATCAGTGTATTTAAGTTTAACATCTGATAAGTATACATTACTCTGATTCTGTCAGTGTTAGTAATGAAAGTAAGGATGATGTAGAAATAAAAGTAATATTCTTAACCCAGTTGAATAGTGTTAGGAAGTAAAAAGAAGCTAGTAAGTAAAAAAACGTTTACATGCTCACAATTCAACTTTTTAATTCAATATCTCTCCGATTCGTTATCCATTATACATTCTTTATGAAAGCTGGATTCTTTCATCTTCCTCGTCATTTAATAGACTACATAATTTTTCTTTGTTATCAACATCACAATAGACACAGGTACCACAATTAATTTATACTTCAATGATTACTTCATGAATTTCTTAGTTTTACGCATTATTCCATCTAAAATTCTTTTATCTTAATTTCAGATGATCTACCACCAGAACAAGCATTTTCTCTAGAATTTAATCATGAAGAAGCGGATACACGTTTAGTTCTTCATTTACAAGACGCTGTTTTATATAATTATAAACATGTGTGTGTGCGATCTGCCGACACTGATGTTGTATTTTTAATGATATCATATGCAAATACTGTTGATTTATCAAAAGTTATTGTTGATGCAACCGTTCGTAGTGGTCAACCAAAATATATCGATTGCACTATGATACATCATCAATTAATTAATAAGTATCACATATTTCCGGAAATCTTACTTGCTCTACATGCTATCAGTGGTTGTGATACAACTTCGTTCTTCAGAAACATATCCAAAACGACATTTTTTGAAACATATTTTGCTTCGCCTTCACGTTATGCTGAACTGCAAAATCTTTCAGCATTTCCTATGAATCAAAAGGATATTTATGTCGTTGAAAGAATCATTTATGATTGTATTCATCATGGTAATCGCCGATCACAAGTGAAAAAAACTTTACATATGGCCTCAATGAATGCATCGAATTTGAAACCTTCGACTAGCACGTCATTCACATCGATTGATAATTTACGTGCAACTATGGCACTTAATGCACTCCAGAAAGGAAACAAATCTATTGTTCTCATACTTCCCCCATCAGCTGTTGCATTGTTTCATCATTGTCGTAGAGCGAGCAGACAATATCAAGTGTGGAGAAGTGCACATATTGATAATCTTCCTTATCCTGATCATGAACCATACGGTTTTGAAAAGATCAACAATGAAATCAGAATAAAATGGACGACAAAAATGCCTTTACCAAAAGATAACTCTTGTTTCCATGTAAGTGAAACGTTTTAGAAATTTTCAATTTCGAAGAATATTTCTTACTATAAGTCTTGCAAATGTACGGGCGATTGTAAGAGGTGCAAATGTGGTAAATATTCACAACCATGTACAATATACTGCTTGTGTGATCCGACGAAATGTTCCAATCGCTCATCAATTTCCAATGATTTGGTACCAAAACATGCTGAAACAGTAAGTTCAATAAGTAATTTAATCCACTTATCTCATTCTAACTTTTAGAGATCAATCGAATCAACGAATACAAATAACATCTTCCACGATCATGATTACTTTTGCAAATCAAATGAGACCATCAACTCTGACGTCATATTGCATGACTCTGATGAAGATGCATCTTCAAATTCTTCAGATCTAATACAGGTACGATATACGGAGCAAAACAGACTAATTATTTAATCATTTACTTCTTTCTTATACACTATTTTAGAATATTGACTCATCTGATGATCTTAGTACATTTGGCTGATTAAAATAATTATTTTCTTAATTCATATATTTTTTTATGATTTTATTTTTTATGATTTTATTTTTTATATGATTATTTTTTATATGATTATTTTTTATATGATAATTTTTTACTTTTTTGTTATAAAGATTTTTTCCTTGATATGCTCTGCATTTCGTATTGTATTTTTATTTGTCTACGATTGCAAAATGAAATCATTGCGATAACATAAAATGCACATTGTAAAACAGTCAATAATACTGGAAACAAGTTCAACAAAATACTAATATATCATCTGTTGTCATATGTCAATTGAGATCTATTCATATTTCAAAGATTCTATATTATTTCCATAGCAACCCTCTATCATGAAAAAAGTCAGCTAGCGTCACCTATTAATTTTCTATGAAGCGCCAGAAAAATATTAATCACATCTTCTTCCTCTTTTATGCTGATTCTAAATATATATAAATCTTAATATTTGGCCCAGTTTTAAAAAAAATATTGAACCAGTGCATTTAGAAATAACCATTGAAAAACAAGCGTCTCCTTTTCATCAGTCAGTAGATCACATGCCGAGTTTTACTGGTTCGATTTCTACCTGTCATTTAACGCATGATATTGAACCAGAAATCACAGTAAATTCATCTGCATCATGTAATTTCAGAGCTGAAAAGTCATTATCGTGGCTTTCAGCATGCTACTCGGACATTTTCCCTATGAAATGCAATAGTTTTATAATTTTTACTATTGCTTTGATATAATGGAATGGAGTTTGACATGTGATCTTATAATGAAGCCAAGATAAGTTGTTGTAGCGAAATTTCAATTAACGACATATTAAAATGGAACTTAAAATTGAGCAAACTTTTAGAAAGTCAAGGTATAGTGATTACGAAATATGAGTGAGGAGAAAATCGAAAATGGTTACCTGCTTGCGGAATGATACTGTGTTGTTACTTAGATAAGCAGGTGTTTACTTTCCTTAAAAAAAGAGCAACAACTAGGAAAAAGAAATGAATTAAGGATTTAAATCGCTTAGAGTGATTGATCCTCACAAACACAATTGGGCTAGTAGTGTTAAGAAAAGTTACGACCTCATACGAAGATAATGTCAGGAATGCTAAATGCACGATTACACATCGTGTTGTCATTATGTGCCGCGAGCAAATTGACCAAATTGTAATTTAATCAATGATTTTTATGTTGGTATAAAATCATTACTTAATCGAAATAAAATTAGTTATTGTTCAGTCCAGTTCAGTTCGACATCACTTATCAAGAAATGGTACGAGTTTCGGCTCGGTTTGATTCGATTGTGTTCTTTTTTAGCCGATTTCAATTCGGCTAGATTCGTTTTCGGTCTTTGGCGCGTGGCCTGGCGATCAAGAGTACTGTAATTTCGAGTTCAGTGAAATTTATAATGATTGGATGAAACTTCCAACAAAAATCAAGCTTATCTTTCTGATCCTATAAGTATGAGGCGCAGTTTCTGGTAGCACATTACTTTTCATATATAAACGGGTGAATCCACATGACTTCTACCACTTTCTACAAAATCAGTTACGCAAGCGATGCGAAACACCTAACCAGATGTAGTTTGTGGCACTGATTTCAATGGTGAAAACAACAGTTCTCTATCTTTTTCGAAAAATCGTTATTCGCAAAATACTGTCCCAGCAAAAACGAGATTTTTTTCTTCATTTCCCCGTGGAAATTAATTTTTTTGAAAAACCTTGCCTAGGTACACGCTGCGTCGTAGAACCCTCATTTTAGTTTCAAATGATAGACCAGAGCGGGTTCTATACCTTTCACTAGAAAAATCTAATATCGGATCACAATATCTGGGTGCAATGCTTCTGGAGAACCAGAAGGTTTTCAAGGTATCTTCTCTTATTAACACTTACCGAAACCGATGCAAATCACTTTCGACACGTTATTTGATGGGCCCTATCCATATCTGCTACTTCTACACCTTAGCGAGAATATTCTCATGGAGTTTCTTGAAAACTGGCGAGGTTTTCGGAAGGTTTCAGTGGTTTTTGCTGTTATATATGAAAAGTATGCTTTCACCTGTTTTCTGGCATAATTAGAACCAACTGCAGAAGCAGCAAAAATTTAAGTCCGCAAAACCCCCGGAACCTTCCGAAAACGTCGCCAGTTTTCAAGAAACCACAGGAGAATATTCTCGCTAAGGTGTATAAGTAGCAGATATGGATAAGGCTCATCAATTAATGTGTCGGAAGTGATTTTCATGGTATGTATAGAAAAAGTCGAAACAAAAAATATCGAATGATAGTTTCGTCGAAAGAAAATTTCGAAAATCTTAAAATACGTTAGTTTAATTAGATTATTCAAATGTAAATAACTTTATTGATACTTTGAAAAATAGAACTCGTTTAAAATCAGACCTATATGAGTGTGGGTGAAGATGAGAGTGAGTATCTGGGTATGAATGTACGTGTGGGTGAGGATGAGGGTGGAGGTGCGGGTGAGAATGAAGTTACAACTGAGCGTGATGGTACAAGTCATGATGTGGGTGCTCTAAATGACAGTATCGACACCCAAACGCTCTAGATAGTCGTGCCATACAATTGACAATCAGCAAAATATCATAAAATAACTCGAGCTATCAACAGAATACAATTCCATACTAAATTGTTTATTTAAACCAAATTCGATTTTTTCGACATTCTTAGTTTCGACCTTTTCTATACCATTCTTTTAAACAGTTTGTCTCAAAGTTTCCAAGATGCAAATTCTTAGAATTCGATTAAAGAAAATTAAATATTTCAAATAACTTTATTACGGGTATTCGATTGGCAGAGAGGCTCATACTCTGCTCTTGTGAAGTTCGTGTTTTCATCAATCGGATTCTTGAGCGTTTTATTCAGATTTTTGTTCACTAATTTTCAAAATGCCACTGTAATGTAGGCAATCTGTTGAATCCAAAAAAAGCTCTCCAGTCACGGCCTTGACTCGTCTATCTCCCCATACTTCAATATATTGGCACGTTGAGAGGCTAGGAGGAATAGTTTAACTTTGAAAATGTTGATGTGGCAGCAGACTTCTAAAAAATTTTCTTTTGCGAAAAGAAGATATCTGTTTGACAAAAAAGTTTTTTTTAAGACTATTTTTCACGAAGAAGTTGCACATATATTTTATCTCTTGTGAAAAAGGAATTTGTTTACAAAAGAAATTACTTTAACTTTAAAATTAAAGTGCAACTCCTGATTGAGACGCTTCTATTACATCCCTATATAAGATCCAATAGAAAATATGCAGCTTTTAGTGATTAATGGCATTCGATGAAGATATTGTTTTAACTGATATTTTATAGACGGGACAAAAACAAAAACAAAATACAATTGTCGATACTAATTTATTTTAAGTACGAAAAATATATTTCTGTGCCCAGAGCATTGTTTGTGGGCAAGGATGCTGTATATAAAATAAACTTGTGTCCCGTACTAAACTGAAAATACATTTATTAGTTACACAGTACTGCGAATTACACTGCTGTCGATCAACGGTGATGAAAAAGTATTCGCATAAGTTGCCTAAAAGGTTCTGTCAAGCAAGTATGAAAAAATAACAACAATTGAAATGCAGAAAAGCGTTTCAATAAACCCAAATACTAACTAGAAAATATCAGGATAATGAATGCATCAATATTAATCACAAAATTCAGGAGTGGAGATTGGAAGATATTTTCGATGAGCAGCAAAGTATAAATTATTTTCAGCAAGAAGCGGCTTGACACTTTGTCTTCATGAGCAAAGTATCAAACAGAGTGTCAATCGAATATCGTAAGGGTCTTGAATAGTTTCTGGCAAAGTCTGATCCTTGCTGTTAGAAACATTGTATAACAGTATAAAAGCACATCTGTTATAGATGACGCTAGTTTTTCATATGCCTCTGAGCCTTTTGTCGATAGTGATCGATTAACATATAATCAGAATTGTAAATTCGACTTGGTTTTCTGTGAAACTGTCATTCGAATATTTTGAGTTACACTCCACTTAAAAACTTCGTCATTTTTTACATTTGTCGATAGAATAATAGACAGAAAAAACTGCGTCCAGCCAATCGTCTGTATTTCCATGGATCGGTATTTTCTGTTCGTTTTCTCCCTCTACCCATCATTGTACTCAGCTGTTTGACGACACTGGTCAGATTAAGGGGAAATCAGAAGAAAGAATTCAAAGTGTTTTTATCATTTATTCTAAGAGCAATGCCCTATTATGTTGTACGCCAGGGTAGAAATCCCGGCATTTACAATACATGGTTCGTAGAACAACAAAATCGTAGATACTTCTTCAGATTAACGGCATTCTAATTCTTTTATGTTTCTTTTTAATAAGAACAATGACGGAGAGGATGCCGTTGATCTGAACAAGAACCGAAAACTTATTGTTTGTAATAAACTAGAATTATTTTATTTTGAATATGTAGGGATGAATGTAAGGAACAAATTTTTCGATTTACAGGAGGTAAAAATATATAAAATCTCAAAGATTTTCATATTAAACGTTTGATATTTAGCGGAATATAGAAAATTTGATACACATTCTGATGCTCAAGATTATCTTAATGGTAAAGTAAGAATGCAAAACGCTTTTGCAAAAAAATATCCTACATCAAAATCTAAAAAAACAAATAATACTCCAATTAATTTAATGAAAGAAACTATTCGAGAATTTACATCAAAGGAAATTGCTTCATCCTATGAAAAATTAACAGTTTCAGATAGTAATGGTGATACAAGTAGGTGAAGAAACAAGAAAAGAAAACCATTCATTTTTTTGCTATTATAATTTATTAAAGGAGAATATACAGTTGCCTACTCAGATGGTTGCTGTTTTGGTAATGGTCATTCGGGATCAAAAGGTGGCTATGGAGTTTATTGGGATGATGATCATCCATGGTAAGTGAAAATTGATCTGCGATTTCACACTTCAATTGTTGAATTATTTATATTAACTATTTTTTTTTGAAATATAAATATCTCTATAGGAATATTAGTGAACGTTTACAAGGAGATCCAACAAATCAACGAGCTGAATTAACAGTATGTAAACAAATGCAGTACAAAAAAGAAACTTGTTCACTTTGTATTTTTATTCAAGGCAGCAATAAGTGCGATGGAAGTAGCTCTAGCGAATAGTATTACTCATTTAGAAATTCGAACAGATAGTAAATATACCATACAATGTATGTAAAAACATGAAGGTTATATACATTCAAAGAATTCAATTTATCTAAATAATTTAGCTGCTACTGAATGGATTCGAGGATGGAAGAAAACAAATTGGATTAAAAAAACAGATTCTAAACCAGTGATGAATAAAGATTTAATGATAAAAATTGATGAGCTTCAAGAAAAACTCAAAGTTAAATGGGTATGTCTAATATATGAGTTTAAATAACATGGAAAAATAATAATTTTTATTCAGACATATGTAGCTGGCCATTCGTCAAATAAAGGAAATGATGAAGCGGATCGTTTGGCTAAAGCCGGTGCTCGAAGATAATTATTATTCTGGAATATGAACTCTTTGATTTAGATGTATTTATTTCTTTTTTCTTTGTGAATACTTTTGTGATGAAATTCTTCTCATGTAATCAAAAAACCAGAAAATAGTAAAAATTGCATTAAAAACAAATCACTTACTCAAAGATAACCATAAAATTTTATTTCTACAAAAACAGAAGTTGCGAAATATTATGTGTTACGATGAAATGCAACTGATTATAACATATTTTACTGAGCCATTCGGATATATTTTTCATCGTCAATAGATAATATCTTTCTAGTATACATATTTTTTCTGAGCTTATCATTTTACAGAAATATAATGATAATCACGATGTTTGATTTATAGATAAAGCATTTAGTCTTTCATTTGTAGCAAAACAAAAGTTGTCCCCAATTTTTCCAAATGACGTATAAAGATAATGTTATATATAGTTTCTGAGAGTATTAAAATTGGATATGATTGATTTTTTCATTTATTTTATTTGTCGAAAGGCTGAGGTCGTCTCTACTTTTGAATATATTTTAACATCTTCATAATAGAAATGTCGAGGAGTCGGTCCGTATTCCGAAAACCTACCGAATACTACTCCATGTACTCTTTCTAAAAATTCAATCTTAGAAAATTTTTTTGTAAAGAACCTTGCATTGAAAATAAATTCAAACTATTTGCTCGCGAAAATTTATTGAGTCAAATTATTCAACGATGCAAAGATTACCTTCGAAAAGAAAACTTTTACACATGAATTTTCTATTATTATAATTCTAACGTTGATCTTAGCAAGTCATAATTCGAGAACAGTTTCAATGAGACAAAATAGATGTCACTGTAATAATCACCGATGAGTCAATTCAAGAAATTCTTTTATAATTATTTGTAAAGGTTTGTTTTGAGAATCTCAGCTCCGCTTTTGCATTTTACAGAATTCGATTTCATATATCATATTATGCAAAAATCACTAGTAAAACTTATCTAATAGGGAATATAATTTCTTCGACAAGAATTACTTCTAGCTAAGTACTGTTGTTGTTAAACGATAACAAATGAGACTTGAACAAAATGAGTATTTCGCTGTTGAAAATGGAATAGTATTGAAAAAAGTTCCGAAGAAATATTATGAAAATAATTTAGAATAGAATAGAGACACTTTTTGTTTTGTTTATGGATTGGATGCATCGAATGGCCTTGGTTCCTGTTATTCAAAGCTTCATCAATAACTCCTAAAAAATACACGAGTCTAGTAAGAAAAACTGTATAAATTCGAAAAGTGTATAAAAATTCTCATTATAAAATAATATTTTCTAGTTTCTATTGAAGTATTTTGTTTCAAATGTACGAGCAAACCAGTATGTCTCTAGATAACACATCCTCATCGATAAATATCGATTTGCGTATTTGTTTTAATAAGTAAACAAAAAATATAATAGTTTCCTTCAATAATCATCGATAGTTTGAAATATTTATTTGTAATCAAATAATGTTTTTTTTACAGATGAAATCATGTTCTTTCTTTTTTCTGTATTTCTTTTCTTTTTTTTATTTTATCATCGATCTCATACGCACGCAAATGTCTGATTATGACGACAATGATTGTAAGAGTTAAGATAAAGAATAATAAGAAAGAAAGAGAAAGAAACTGTACATGTGGATTTGGAAAAAAAGAAAGAAAAAAAATGCAAACACACTTAATTAAATAGAAACAACAAAAAATGAAAAATTAAATATCCATTAAATTTTTCATTTCATTTTGTTGTTGTTGTTGTGTTGTACGAATACGTGTTTGTATATTTTCAAGTTTAGTCTTTATACGTGTATCGATATTGGGCGAAGCTGTTTCGTGAATAATATCAGCTAAATCAAGTAATGATGGTAGTATTGTATTTGTTAACATGTGATTTATCTTTTTTGTTTGAGAACAATGATCATCGATTTTACTTTCGATGACATTCATTTTATTTAATAATGTTGAACTTAAATTCACAAGCATAGATTTTAAATCAGATATATCATCATTGGCTGTTGTTGTTGTTGTTGTTGAGATTTGTGGTGATAGAGATATTGCTTCAATATTCACAGGAGGTTTTTGAAATGTACTTTTGAGAAGTGTTTCTAAATCTTGTAAATTACTGCTATCTGTTGATATTAATGGATCGAAATGTGTTGATTCATTTAATGTTGGCGGAATAGCAATTGCTTGTTGAGCAATTGTATTTACATTGTTAAATATATCAATAGCTTTACGATTTTTATCATCGAATGTTATTGATGATTCATTTTGTATTGTGTCAATGTCATTTTTATCATCATTATTTGTAGTTGTAGTAGATGCTGTTGTTGGAATATTTGGATTTGTTGCTTCACCATCACTACTATGAGCAGTTCCAGTTGTTTTAATTGGCTTTTTAAATGTATTCATAAGAAGAACTTCCAGCTGTTGTAAACTTCCCGACATCTAAATGATATGAGAAATAGAAATCGATTTTATTCGTTTGATTTAATCTTACTGGTGGCTGAATATCTGACGTAGCTGATGATTGTACGACTTCACTTGTAAATGGAACAGATAAAGGTGTTGGAGACGGTGATATCGACGTATGACTATTTTCAATAATCTCTGTCGTCGTTGAAGTAGAAGAGAAAGAAGGAACAACAGGAGGAGGTGGAGGGGGAGGATGAAGAGGAGGTGTAGGAGATATGATTTGTTTATTAATATCATTTGGAATGGTTGTATTGATGTGTTGAGAAAGAGGCATCGCCGTGTACGATAAACTTTGTGAAGTTTGAGTTAAAATATGAGAATTAGATAATATTTGTTGTGGATTTATTAATGCTTGTGTTGTTTGAGATTGACTTTGTGAAATAAGTGCAGTAGATGATTGAAGAATATCTAAGTGAAATTGATTACATCGTAAAATATAATTATATGCTATTTAAATTATTTACTTGTTGAGGATTCACTGGTAATTGGTAATCCAGGTTCTTCTGTTGGTTGCTGTTCAATAATATTAATATTAATATTAATATTACTTCCTGGCTTTGCTACAAATTGATCATCTTGATTAATCAACGGTGTAGGAGGTTCACTGGTATCATTGACAAGAGTCGATGTTGTATTTTTGTTAAACGTTTTTTTCAATGCTGCTTCAAGTACTTCAAGGCTACCAGCGGAGCCCGGCAAATTTGGACTTATTTCTGGTGTCTGAGTAATTGCAACTGGCTCTGTTACTAAAGCAGCTTTAGCTAGTGGATTCTCTGTTGATAATTTAGCCAGTTGTTGTTGTTGTTGTTGTTCAATTGATGTTTGTGAAACTATTGAAGGTGCAAGTGTAGTAACAGGAGCAAACGCTGCTGTTTGAGCTACAGGTATTAATTGTACTGCTAGCTGCTGCTGCTGTTGTTGTTGTTGTTGCTGCTGCTGCTGTTGTTGTTGCTGCTGCTGCTGGTGTTGTTGTTGTTGCTGCTGCTGCTGCTGTTGTTGTTNATTTATGTTTTTTTTGTTGTTGTTGTTGTTGTTGTTGTTGTTGTTGTTGTTGTTGTTGTTGTTGTTGTTGTTGTTGTTGTTGTTGTTGTTGCTGCTGTTGTTGCGATGGTAAAACAACTGATGTTTGTGATGTTTGATTAATACCTGGTTTTCCGTTATTGGAATAAACACCAGCTTGTCGATCAAGAGCTTCATAGTCTAATGCACGTAGACGATCTTTGATTGATTGGGTAACAAATTTTTTGTCATCCTCAAATATATAATCTTTTGCAATAAGTTCATCGGCTATTTGTTCAGCAGTATCCGATAATCGATTATATGGAAAGCGTATAGCTTCAAAGGCCGTCGATGACACTTTATTTTCTGCATATAGAGCTTTATGTTTAACTTTATCAACGATTTTCAATTTAAAATCAATTTTTTCATTGTTAACCACGGTTAAAGAATCATCTGATGAATCTCGTACAAGTTCAATTCGTAAGCCATTATCATCGAGAAAAAATGAATGTTGTAATAATTCATGTACTGGTAAACGTTCTTCTTTCTTTGTTCGTATGCAACAGTCAATAACTTCACGTACATCTTCGCTTTCAACTTTATAATAACAGTCAGGTTTCAAGCCAGCTGTGACACGTTTTATAACAGCTGTTGGTCCTTTACACTCAATATATGGATATTCACCAGTCATCATTTCTAACATACATAAACCAAACGAATATATGTCAACAAGTTCATCATATTTTTCATCGAACATTTCTGGTGCCATGAATTCCATGGTACCACGCATGCTTTTAGCAAATGTTTGTGTTTTAAATGTTGCCAAACCAAGATCACCTATTTTAACACAACCTGTTGTACTTGATATAAATACATTGTCACATTTTAAATCACGATGAATAACAGGTGGATTACGGCTATGTAAATATGCAAGACCTTTAAGTATTTGGCGACACCATTTTTTCATAACATTAATTCGTTTTTCTTCTTTTTGTCCTCTGAAATTGCGAATGTATCTTGAAGGAAACAAAAAGCAAAGATATAAATTAATTAAGAAAAACAAACGAGCAAAATTAGCAATATCTACCCTTTCAATGAACCTGATGTCATTAATTCAGTAACAAGGATAATAACTTTTTTATTTGTTCGTGGATTTGTTTCTTCCCAAAAATCATAAAAACGTACAATATTTTGATGTTGAAGTTTTTTTAACATCTCAGCTTCTTCCTTAAAACGAGCTCGTTCATGTTTATCAAATTGAGCAAAATCCTGTGGCAAAAAAATAATCATATTTTCAAAAACAAAAATTTATTTATTTACTTGTAATTCACACCAAGCTACAGCAACACTTGTTTCTGTATCTAAACCACGATAGACAGTTTTAAAAGCACCACGTCCTATTTCTTGTGCATATTTAATAAAACGATTATCAGGACTTTTCGCCACTGCTTCTTCTTCTTCTTCATCCTAAAATAATATTATGTTTTATACAATACAAAAACAAAACAACTCAGTTAAAAGATTTTAACGACAAAATATACTAATTTAGCGATGAATTAATAATTCAAAAACTGAGATCTTATAATTGCTGAAAGAATTTTTAATCATTTTATGTTTTAGTTAAATGAAGAAAGTTATATTTATTAGTTAGATCAAATATTTTATTTTCTTTGCAAGTTATAGTTGCTTCATAGTAAAGGAATTTTTCTTTTAAATTAATTTTTCTTTTTTTTTCTTTTAAATTAAACTATAGAATATACAATTTTTTAGAAAAAAAAATCTTGAAAGAATCAGAAGAATTCTCAATGAAAAGATTAATGGATATTTTTTGTTATTGTTTTCTCATGGCTAATATCCTAGAGAAAGCTAATCAATGTCATAACGTCATTTTTTGCGGTAACATAAATGATGATTTATCATCGTTAACTAGCTTGTTAGATCATGTATCTAATCTACTCTTCTTGACCTTTCTCATGCTGTACGTTTTATTTGCAAAGAAAAATAGCATTTGCATAAGAAATTCTAGGACACTCATTAATGCAAAGATTTTTTTTTTCTTTCTGAGACGTAGATAAACTAACCTCTCCTTGTGCTGAAGTTGTAGACGAAGGAGGAACTGTCGCTGGCAATGCACTTGCTGGAGCTGGTGATCTTTCTTCTTCAGCAGCGGAATCATTCTTTCTATTTTGTGTAACAAGAAAACGAACCCGATGATGTCCACCGCAGCCATTTTCAATGGCTTTAGAAGTTGAAGCAGTTCCATTAACAGGATTATCCGTATTTGTTGTTGAGTATTCTCCATCGGTCGTGGGTGTATGTGTATTATTTCGTTCGTTTAACGATGGTTTGTAGGATAGTCGAATTCCGTCATTGGGCACGGAACCATCATCTTCATTTGACGATTTAGCTGTAGTTGAATTTGCTAATAAAATGTGTTGTTGTTGAGATTTACGTATAGATTTAACTTGGAAACGATTCGTTTTTCGTGTAGGAGCTTGATTTGCTGTTGTAGGGACTACTGGCAATGACGATGAGCCAGCCGAATCCGATGGAGCTTTTTTACTATTTAATTGAAGAACATTCAACGGATGATAACGATGATGATTTTTTACTGTATCATCATCGGTCGTTGTTGTAATTAATTGATCACGTCTTTTTGATGAATGTGGCTTTACTCGTCGAGTATTAATAATACTTTCATCATGAGTGTTAGTTTTTTCATTATTATTATTATTATTATTATTGTTATTATTATTATTACTATTATCATCATCATTTGAACTTGATCGTTGTTGGCTATCTTTACGTATATTTGTTCTAGAGGATGGTGCATGATTATTATTATTATTTATTGGTGTTGTTGTTGATATACTTGTTTTTCGAGTTTTTTGTAGCCGACGAGATTTTGTAGGTGGTTTATGGTTAATATTATTGTTATTACTAACATGATTATTATCCACTTCATGGTCTGATTCATGAGCATCCGTATCAAGTGATGATGATGATTGATTATGTGAACGATTTAAACTTGATTCACCTTCTTCGTCTGAAGAACTTGATGGTGCCATCGACATTGTTTTTATTATACCATGAGCAAGTACATTTGCTATACGACGATTTGTTTGTGACATTGAATCATTATTACACTAAAATCAAATAATACTTTTAATATATATATATATATATATCTTTCAACTAATTATTAAATATGTGATGTCCTTTTTCTGGTAATGCTTTACAGGAATAAATAGTAATTACTATAATGAAAAATCACGCTAAAAATCCAGATAGAGCTCTGTAATGGAACGAAAACATTCGTCTCATGAGAAAACTCATCTAGTTCCATTCTATTTCATAATATAATATCTCTCCATTTGATTCAAAGCTCTGATTCAAGCGCACTACCGAAAATTTTATTCTAAGAATAAAAAACAACAGATTTGTTTATTAAATACTTGTNATTAAATTCATCACAATATAAACTAGGAAAAAATATACATTGGAAAGTCTTTTCACTTTTTTCTGAATACACATTCTCCTTTTGGGAAGAGAATTGGAATCTCTCTTCCATTGACATTACATATAATAACTATATTCGCTTTTTATATCTTTTGTCTGGTCGTTGTACAATTGTTTTCAATTTGAACAAATATCGTTCCGCATTACCTGTTGAAATCAGATTGTTTCTATCTTACATTAGAGCTTTATCATTCAGACAATTAAGAACGAAATGCAGCACACTTAAAAAGGAGGTATGCTTCTTGAAGAAGATTGCCAAAAAAGAACTTAACATTTTCTATGCTACTCAACTGGATAATCTTATTCGTCTCCGTAATTCTTCTTCATCTAGCTCATTTTGGTATAGAAGTAAACGTTTTTTTCAAACCGTCATCATCGCCTCTTTATGGTTTTATCGACACCTCTGGGCAGAATGGATGGAAAAAGGAAGAAAAGAAAAATATCGAAAGGAAAAATATCGAAAGAAAATAGATGGAAATGTCGAAAGGAAAAAGAACGAAAAGAAAAATATCGAAGAGAATATGACCGAAAAGGAAAAACATCGAATGTGAAAAATAGATAGGAAGAGGTCGCTTGAACGCAAACTTGAATTGTTGTGGTTGGCTGATTCTGATATCTATATTCATTCTTGAAACAGGCAATATGCATAGATGATAACGTAATAGATAATTATGAACAATTTCTGATTACATAGAAATAAGAAAACGCAAACACCAGACGAATTTCTTTATTTTAGATGACCTCTCATTTGAATACAATATCTTTTCTTGTTTCTCAAAAAGGAAAACCAGTGTTGGTGAAAGACAATTTCATATATAAATTGAATAAAACAACAAATTCGACAAAATATTACAGATGTGCGGAACAAAGCTGTACAGTGACTTTACACACGGATTTAAATGATGTTCTAGTTAAAGTTAAAGGAGACCATTCTCATCCACCAGAATCCGATGAAATTGAAATTCGGAAATTCAAACATAATCTCAAACAACGCGCTATTCAAGAAACTGTTCCAATACCGAAAATATACGATGAAGAATCGTCTAGATTTTGTTTAACATCATTGTCTATTGCAATTCTTCCAGCACAGAGGGAGATAGGTAACTTAGTATTTTTTTCCTGTACTGAGGCAATTTTTTTAAGCTGGTTCATTGAATAAATCAAGACGTCTTCAAACACCAGTCATCCCGGATTCTCAAACATTCGATATACCTGAAGTTTATTCAAAAACCTTAAAAAATGAACCATTTCTTTGTATTGATAAATTTATAAGAAGAAAAACTCGTGTATTAGTATTTGCTTCTCGTGAACAGTTGACGTTGTTATTTGAAAGTTCAATTATCTTCATGGATGGCACTTTTAGTGCTTCGCCGTCGATTTTCGATCAGGTATACAGTTTACATGGTATAAAATATCAACAATGTAAGCCATAAATCTAACTTATTAAAGAAACTTTTGTGATCTGATGTATTCTAGGTTTTGCATGTGCATTTGGTCTACTTCCCGATAGGAAAAAACCAACGTATAAGTTTTTATTTCAAGAGTTGAAAAATCTTGCTGCTGAAGTGAATCTTTGCTTTAACCCTGCTACAATTATGTCGGATTTTGAAACAGGTTTAGCAGAGGCTATTCATAGCAAAGTAAGAATTTCTTTTTTCTTTCGTTTCTTCCAACGTGACTATATCTGTACTCATTTAGTTTCCCAATTGTAATCATGTCGGTTGTTTTTTCCACTTTACACAGGCAGTGTATCGACATATTCAGACACTGGGCTTATCACAAGAATATAATAATAATGAAGAGGTTCGGCTTATTTGTAGAAAGCTCATGGCTCTGTCTTTGTTACCTTTGCATTTGGTCATACAAAGTTTTGATGATCTTTTTGAATTTATTCTTCAAGCACCATCAAATAAATTTGATTTACTGAAGCCTTTATTCAATTATTTCGATAACTATTGGATAAAACAAGTTGATTTAAAAAAATGGAATATTTTCGGATTAGAAATACGAACTAATAATAACGCAGAAGGTTTCTAATACTATTCATAAAATCTTTTATTCTACTATATGTTTAGGTTTTCACAACCGTCTTAATGCGAGATTATCGAAATCTCATCCAAATATATGGACTTTTATTAAATGCATTCAGGGAGAACAAAATAGGTTTAACCATTTGATGATCCAAATGAAAGGTGGTCTTTCGTCTCGACAAAAAACTGCTAGAACACTTGCTATTCAACAAAGACTTAATACTTTATACTTGCGGCATGAAAAAGGCGATATAAGTGATAGTGAACTTTTCGAAAGCTTATCATATGTTGTTGCCAAGAACATGGTATCAAAGAAAAAAATAGATTTTGATAATCTTTTCGTTCATAACTATTTTTCATGGTGTATTCTTTTCAATTCTCTGGACTTAATAAATTATCATTAGATGCTACTGTTTGTTGAAACAAACTCGCCATTTCTTTCTATTCAATTTTTTTCTTCTACATGATTCATTTCGACGTTTCCTCTTTCGATGTTTTTCTTTCGACATTTCCTCTTTTCTATATTTCTTCTTTCGATATTTCCTTTGTCGCTATTTTTCGTTTCTGCATTTTCCTTTTCTATATTTTCTTTCGACATTTTTGTTTTCTATATTTTTCCTTTCTTCCTTATTCCATCATACCATTTCTTTCATCAGTATAAAATAGTTAGATCAAAGAAAATACCTGTTGATTATCACCATCCTTTGATATTGGAGCTGGTGCAATAGCATGGAAAAAGTATGGCTGTGCCGGTGCGTGTGATATTCTCTGAGAGGATTGTTTATTTGATTGATGTCCATTTTGTTGATGATGAGAATTGTCAGTACTAATATTATTTATTTTATCAATATGGATCGTTTTTATCGGTTTAGGTTGGTGAAAATTGTTTGATAATACTGGAGATTTTTTCGAACGATTATTAACTGCATTTGGTGATGAATAATTCTGTAATATGTTTGTTGCACTTAATGGTTTTTTTAAACCTACTCGGTTAGATTTGGCTTCATTTCCGTTTGTTGCCATATTATTTATACTATTACTAGTTGGTAATCTTGATTTAATATTACGTTGTGATGATGTTGTAGTCGACATGTAGAAAATAACACGCAGATAAAAATACAAGAAAATGAAAATCTGACTAAATAGATTCTTTGGTAAACCAAAGAAAAGTTTTCTTCATTACACAGTAAATAAATAAATAATATATCTCGTATCTCGAAAGATAAATTATTGTTTTCTTTTTTCTTCGTTTAATGATAATCTATATGAATAAAAGTTGTCAAAATATATGACTAATAGATAAAGTCTTTTTGTTCATAAAACTTGAATAATAATAAGAATTATTATTTTTATTATTATTATTATTATAAAATGGATTTCTTAGTAAAATATTGTCAATAGAATGAATGAATTTTTGAATAATATCGAGAGAAATTGTCGATAATAAATATTCCATTACATTAATTGAATAAATCAGTGCATGTGTCGCTATTTTCTGTGAGAAAAAAAGAAATCATTGACACCAAACACGATGAAAATACGTTGAACAAGAGAAAAATATGTTGTTGCTTGTTTGATGATGATATATTCGAAATGGAATCTAGAAGAAGAAGAAAAAGAAGAAGAATAATGACAAAAAAAGAAAACATATAGGCAGACAGGCTAAATGTAAAACGTGCCTGTAGTTACCCGTTAATGATTGCAGGAAAAAGAATGAAGGGAAAAAGAGGCACGGATTTTTTTCTCATCCTTCCAAGAGAAAAGCAGAGACCCGCCTTTTTATTCTCGCGCTGTTTTTTCTTATTGTTTTTTAAGTAATATTGACTAGATTTGTGTAAATAATTTGCTTCGCATCTTTCAAAAAAAAAAAGAAACAACTTTCGTCATTCCAAAGAAATGAATTCGATGTTTTTTAGTTACAATTTTTTTCTACCAAAATTGCTTTACTTTTTCTTCAGTAGTTCGTTTATAATTGATTGAATAATCATGACTATGGAATGATAAATATTCTATAGAATGAATAGCGAAAAAAAACTATACATTTAGTATTAACGTAGGAAACAAAAGAAAAATCTACCAGAAGCGTATGTACTTAGTTCTTACGTTTACTCTTACCCTCGACGATACTTTTACGTTTAAGTAACGCAAATGCAAAGTGCGGAGCATTTTTTTTAAATGTCTTATGACATTTCGATTTTATTTAAACGAATAGATCACGAAAAATAGTAAACAACAATAAAATGCATCCGATCGATCAACACTAACAAATACGCAGCAGTTGAAATCGACTGAAGACACACAGTAGCGCTACCCAATTGGATTGAGCGCTGAAGAGAGGCCGCTATGTTGCGTTCATGTGTTCAGAATATTATTGTTGCTTTTCTAATGTCTCCGGAGACGCACTTCGATGTATAATTAGTACCGGAAAAAATGCATTATTTAAGTTCTCTTCCTTCTAATTTGTTATATCAACTTAGTTTTCATCGATTTAGAACCGTAACTAAAATTAGACTGACTCGAAAACAACAGCTGACGTCAATGTTCTCGCATACTAACGCGTACATTCTTTCTTCCTTTTTATTATTTTCTCAAGCGACAAGCTACTACCATATGCGCCTACGCTTTTCTCTTGCAACCCGTCAGTGCGAGTTCTTAAGAATTGAACGAACGAGTCTTATATGCCCTTCGTCTGCGTTTCTTCATTTTTTGCCGTCTCTCATCAACCGTTCATAACTAAAATTCAATTTAACAGACGCTGTACATAAATCAATGCCCAATGGCAATACATTAGTAATTCGATGACATTTCTCCACCGGTAAAAAAAATTGAAGAAAATATGTGGGATACATTGCGTTGCATAATCAACAGCCTCTTTTTTTCTCTACATTATGACCAGTAAGACCTTCACGGAACTACACATCCTGCTTACATATTTGTATCTATAATAAGACAGAAGTTTCTTTTTTTTTCTTGGTCTTGATCTCATTCATCAAATGGTAAATGTCTTAAAGCTAGAGAAATCAACTATTTATATCATGGCTCAGTCCCGTTGAACAATGTTTAAAACAAAAGTAATCGCAGCTAAAAAAGAAAAAGCCTTAGATAAAGTTATTTTTTTTTATATTGATGAGGATTTTCGCACGTATGATTAAGCATATTGTATAGTTTTCTTTTTCTTTTCTATTATACACCTACAAAAAAAAATAGTCATGAGTTTTTTGATTTTTTTCTTCCCATGTGCTAGATCGTCTCATCGATTATTCTTTAAGACAAAAATAAACTTGCTTATCACTAAAAGCAGTGCAAACGTGACTAATACTCTATTTCTAAACTTCGTATCTCCCACTTTTCTTTTTCAATTTGCCAGTATCGTAATCTACCGCCTACACTGTGTATAATCATAAAACTATCATTTAGACAACACTCGGTACATGAATGCCATCGTCGAGTTTTTACTGAAAGATTTGATCTCGGTTTTTTTTATTATATTGAAGCGAAGATTTTCTTTTTATTACTCACTTATACTGTAAGATACATTACATGTAGATGATATTTAGTAACATACCTGCGTATAGTGATGAGGCATAAAATAGAGAATATATCGTTGTTAGCGAAAGAGAAGAAGTGAAGGAGAAACAAGTTAATAAAAAATGACACACGGAGCGAACAGCGTAAAATAGGTTTGCACAAAACGCGCGTTACTCTTTTTTTCATACGGCGTCATCATCAATGTTGATTGCTTTTGAAATCGTATCGTAGTTGAGATAAATGCGCACAGCCATACAATAATAAACGTGCAAGCAAGCGAATCAATAGTTGAAAGGTATGTATAGGGACTTCAAGCACAGCGTAAAGAGCAATTACTTAAAAAACACACGCTACTTAGCTGCAATAAATGTTTTCCATAATGCTATCAAATGAATGGATTGCAACAGGAGATGTCTTGCGATGAGGGAAAAAAGAAGAATATACATTTATTTATCGCATTCGTACTATCGCAGAATACTCATTAGTGCTACATCATCGTCTATGAATTGGATGCGTCATTGTGGCTGTCCTCGATCGTCCGGATTAATGTAGGAAAGAACTAGAAATAGTTAGAGACTTTTTTATGAAGCAAAAAAAGCAAGAAAACACGGCTACATGTGGGTCAACCGTCGGTCATTTGCTATTCAGCACATGGAACATGTCACTCGACAGGGCATATTTTAAGTGGGAAAATTTGTTTTTTTCTTTATATATATCACTAAAAAAAAGTATGAGACCCAATATAGATAAGAAAATCTATTACTATACTTTGGCATTGGCAGTCAAGGGAAAATATCAGTATGCATTCATTTTTGACTGTTAAATGAATAGAAACTTTTGCTGTGCACATCGAGGTATCTATCTGTATAGTTTGTTTTTTTTCTCCTACATAATGATTCTTAACACGTCGATTAGAAGTATTGACGTCTAGTTGGTATTTCATCATTAATGCATTTTTTTACATTGACCGGTGAATGTCAAAGATTTGCGGTATTTTAAAAAAAACCTATGTGTGTTCGGTACACTTCAAAATGCTGATAAAAATGAATTAAAATTCATATTTTTCTTACAAGGTCGACAACTGTGGTTATTTCACAGGTTTTTTTCATATTCGAGTTTAGATGAAAAACAACAAGTTTATATGCATATATGTATATTTTGTTTTTCTTCTGATAACGATAAATTTATCTTCTATGATTATTTTTAATAGCATACCAGTGAAAAATGATTATTTTCTTTGCTTTTCCCCAACAAACAACGATGTCTTTATTGAGTACATAACATACAACGCTGATACACACATTAACGCTCCTTGTCGTTTTTTCCGTTGTATATTTGGACTGTAATCTAAGTCTTAAAGTTAGTCCAACAGCATACAATCGATCAAATTGTATGTTTTGCCTATAGTACAACTATGTGTGTGCTAGTATATTTATATTTATATTTATCATACAGATATAGTCGACGTTTGATAGAAATCGTAACAAAACTTCATTTTGCAGATGTTCTGATAGAATGAAAAATAAACATTACATTCGGATTTCTTGTTTAATCATTTTAGAACATGACAACGACAGAAAGATATTTCTAAGCTGTTTTCGTATTCAATAATCGTATCAAGAAATATCATTGGCGCAGACTATAAATTGTTTGTTTTTGCTTTTAATCATAAATCATACTGTTTTTTTTTATTAATTTTTTTTTATAAAAACATGCTGTTGTTTTTTTCTTTCTAAGAATACAGAAAAAAGAAGAAAAAAAAATTATGAATCAATTATTAACATGATAATGGCAGCAGCAAAAAATTACTATTCCTAAATGAAACAAAAGGAGGAAGTTAAAAAGCAGAAAAATAGTTCCGTTTGTTTTTTTCTTCTTACTTCATTTTCCATTGAATCATGCAAGATTGTGTTCATACTTCCCATAATACATCGACCAGTTAATGTAATGGTTGTTTTAAAATTATTTCGTCGTTTTATTGTTAATATAACATTTTCACTATAGAGACCAATTTTTTTTGGACGAAATTTACATGTTAATTTAACAAATGATTTTTCTCTGAAAAAAAATTAAACATAAAATAGCTGCTCACATTCTCTCTCTCTCTCTCTCTCTCTCTCTCTAGTAATGGCGTACCTAATTGTAGCACGACGTACACTAATACAAAATGGTAAATGTGGTTCAGTTATATCAGCCTGTTGAAAGAATAAATATTGGTTAGTTAAATAAGCATTACTAGTAGAACTTCTTACATCGCATGGATCCGATCGACTATAATTTTTAATTGTTAATTTAAGAGTTTTGGAATTTGTTGTTAAATCATCATTAATAAAAACTTGACCAAAATCAAGTATATTTTGTTCAATACCAATCTGATTAGCAATATCACTTTAAAAAGAACGAAAGTGAATTGAATTATTTTTAAAATGATCATATATTTTACAGTATAGCATCTTTTTGTCGATGTTGACTAGTTGACGTAAGGTCACCATCACTTTGAGCTGTTGTAGATGCTAATGACATATCTGATACTTGACTTTGAGATGATGTTCGACTAGTAAATTGTTCATCCAATTTTCGTTGTTGTTCTTTTGTTGATGAAAGTAATACTGGATGCTAAAAATTTCAAAAAACAAAGCAAGAAAACATCGTGTTAAATTTTTTTTTAATCTTTTTTAAAAACAAAAATAAGTTCTCTTCGAGCTTATGCACTGTTCAGTTTGTCATGTGAGAAAATTCTAACTGTCGATGTTTACATAATTGTAGAAACTATGATTATTCTCAAGTATCATCATTAGAAAAAGACAACATTTCGCGAACTTATATACTTCATTTCGTAGATCATGGCAAACACCAACTAATGTAACAAGTGATGCTGATAATATAGATTGATGTGGAGGACAAAATTGACATTTCATATTCAGTTTACATTGATAATTGCCTGTTTGAAATGGACAAAAATATACTTTAATCATAATATCTTGTTGTGATTTAATCATATATTCAGTTTTGTCTAATTGAAATGGAATTATTTGATTATGCTCATTTAATGTTGAACTCGAATCTGAGATTATATCCCATTTATGAATATTGATCGATAACTAGGCAAAGAAGAAGAAAATAGGGATAAGAAAAAATTGAATACATTTGTTTTGACATCGAATTTTACTGTGATATCAACGGAACCATTATTTTTAATAGGCACATCAATTGAACTTGTCTGTTTAGCATAACATGATGGCATACGAAATATTTTAGTTGATGGAATATCAAGCCACCAATGATCATGTTGTTCAGTCAATTGATGTTGACCTAAACGAAAATATTTTGTATCGATGAAGAACAAAATCGAATATTTACTCAAACGTTGTGAATTAGCTGACAGTAATGATGACGATGATGAACGACTGTTGCGTTGAAAAGATGTTGTTGATGATCTTATAGAAATATTTATAGATTTTAAAATAAAAATTTCCTATAAAAAATTTATACTTATCATCACTTGGTTGACTATGAAGTGAAGTAATAATTGGACTATTGATATCATGATGTTGACTGTAAATATCTGATGAACTGCTAATAGTTGTTGGTGGTGGATGAATACAAAGTGGTGCTGATTGATGTTGAATGGCTGTTGAATTTGTTGGTGCATAAGAATAAATAGGATGATAAGAAACTACTGGATAAAATAGAGGTTGAGGATGTTGTGATGGCCATGGTGGAAAATGAGCTGATGGAAATAAATGCTGTTGTGGTTGTTGCTGTTGTGATTGCTGTTGCTGTTTTTGATGAATTTGAGTACACGTTGAACTTGTCGAAGACGACGATGATGATCCTGCTAATTGAGACGTTTGAGTTTCAGTATTAACTGTTGATACATCTGTATTCGAGCTCAAATTCGAATAAATATTTCCATTTAGATGATGACCATGGCGGCAATGAAGTGAAAGTATTGACATACTATCAGATAAATCTAAGCTATGTCGACGATTATTATTACTATTTGTTGTTAGATCGAGCATATCACAATTAACACTAGTCGATGTCGATGTTGGTTTTACTTCAAATAATGAACGACTCACCTAGAATGAATAAATATAGTAAAATTGAAAACAATTATTTCAATTCTGATGATAAATATACTTCGCCTTTGGTAGGTTGTAATGCTGACAATACAGTCTTAGATTTTTTAACAATGGTATTACAATTCTATTGTGATTTTATTGATAGATAAGAATATGTGAAGATAATCTTTTTTTAAAACTTACTTCATTAAAAGGTGAATCTTTGTGAAGACGCAAATTAATTCCACTAGCTGATTTTTTATTAAATAATGATGGTTCATCCCATCCTGTACCCATATTTCGAAAAGCTTGTGATTGATGATTTTCTTTTGTTCCAATTCCATCCGTTTGTCCTATAAGAATACATAAGAAAAGATAAGTTTATCGATGTAAGTAATTCACCAGCAAGAAGTGCATCGAGCATTTCATCAGGTGTTGATGATTTAGCCATAAAAAAAGTTGTTGTTGAACAACCAGGACTACCTGGATTTAATTCATTCGACCACGATTGATCTTGACTTTGTGTTATATCAGTCAGAATAGAATTTGAAAATGGTAACATAGGATCTTCACGCATGAATCGTTCACCTTCACGAGTAAAGAAGTCTACCAAAAAAAAAAAGAAACTAAAACCATAGGATTGTTTGTCTCTTATTTCGTTTAAAATCACCTTCCGAAGTTGATTGAAAATTAAAACGTTCATCATTTTCATTTATAACTGATTGATTAGTAAGGTTTAGCCATGAATTATTCATTTCAAACGTCATTATCAATGCTAATAAGTTAGTCTAGAATATGTAAGAAGATAAAAATGTACACATATGTCTTCTGTGATCTATTCCATATGATACCATATATAAGAGAATTGAACTTAACAAAAGACTTAATTATTCATAGACTGACTTTGTCTGACATCTGGATGATGTGTTCAAATCCACTATATTGTGTTCGCCACGAATAATCAGCTCTGTCTCTTCACTATATGATTCGTATGATACTCACACAATCATACGAATGCTGATTCTTGTCAGCATCATTCGTTATTGTTGATTGTTGGATATGACTCATTGCATCAACAAAGTAGTCGTAGTTTTTCGATTCTGACTTCGATTAAGTACACTAAAACGAATACATATCGATACATGGCATAGGCGGTGGAACCTATAGGCTCACGAGGCTTGAGCCTACTCTAATTTGGAATAGGGTAGGCTTGAGTAGACTCAAACGAGCACAGTTAAAGGCTTGGATAGGCTCAATTGCATCTAAGTCTTTCGTTATTATTTAGTTTTCCCGTACGACTTACAGTGCCAGTAGAATATGATGTATTGTTGCAAAGTTAGGTCATATTTTTTTCATCGCCAATACGAACTGGAATTCGATAAGATATTCATTGGACTTTATAAAATTTAAATCTACCAAGATATCAACATTGAAAAAAAAGTAGCGGAAGTCGATTCGTGATCAGCTACCCAAGGATGCCTCGATTGAGGGTTGACGGGAATATTAAGACCCCTAATATTCGAAAAATTGTGTTGCATTGTATTTCACAAAATGAAACTTACACTACTTTAAACACGATTTTATCAATTACCCCCAGTGTTGCTAGATCTTAAAGTCAAAAATCCGGAATTCATATCTGAAAATTCTGAAAAATCCAAAACAATGTAGGAAAATTCGAAAAACTGCAAAAACCTCCGAAAATTTGAGAGAAAACAAGAAAAAAACGAGAACGATACCTGAAAACTTCAGAAAAAATGTGGAGAATCCTGAAAAGCTTTCAAAATCAGGTGAATTTGGCAACACTGGTTACTCTCGCTTAAAATTTTTGGGTGCTCGCGACATCCTTGAGTACAGCATCTTGAAGATGAACTTTTTCTACAACGGCCCCTGCTCAAATTGGAATGATCATGGCGGCCGTGCCTCTTCTCTATCTCATTTAATTAGAAAATTGAGCCTACCCTAGAGGGGAATCGTTCCGCCTCCTATGGTTATTTGTAAAGGTTGTTTCATGACATCTAGCTCTAGAGAGAGTACTTTTGACTTATCACGTTATCATGATCTTCAAGACGTACAGTATGATGTAGAAAGATCAAAAAACAGAAATGTCATAACTACAAAAATATTAAAGCAAAAGTGATGTATGAATATGTACTGTATCTGCCCTAAATTTCGTTGTCTATACTTCATTATTAATTTTCTCGGATTGCAGCTGTGGCAGTTACTAATAATAATAATGAATAGTAACTGATAGAAATTAACTAAAATGGTCAAATGAAAAATAGCAATTACACAGCGCAATGTCTATCATCATGGAGTCAGCTGTGTCATCTCCAACAGATATATGTCAACTATCATAGTCAATTATCTACTTTACCGATTTAGAAAGAATAGAAGATGTTTACTGTATATTTTTAAATAGGATAAATATAAAACAACTAAGAAATATAAGAAATCTAAACTCTACGAATACCTATTTAATGTTTCCAGCAATTTGAAGGAGAAATCCATAATTACGACACTCTCAAAGCAAACAAAGATTGAAGTACGTAAATATCGTAAAATATTTTTCTGTTTTTCCCTCTTGACTTGTGCGTTATTTCTATTAGCGTATTCGCATCGCCCATTCATAAAATAATGTATCCTGATAGTAGGAATTTGCTAATAGACTTTCTGACTATTTTCTGCGCCAATATTATTTTGAGTGTCATTCGTTTCTGCATCCAACCAAGTAATGATTAAGATGATATGAGAGGTTTTATGTATTTAATATGAGACATTTCATAAAATGATAATAAAAGGAAAAAAGAATGGGGAATTTTTATTCACACTTGAAAAATAATTATGAGGAAAGCATATGTACTCGTACACCAATCTAAACAGAAGAGAAATACGATTTTATTTTATTGAATTCAATACTTAGGAAATCGCGATTTATGATAAGCGCAAAGATAATTATTCAATTTAATAATACACATATAAGAAATCAATACTATTGTTTCTGTTTTCTATAAAACAGAATTCTCTTGTAAACATAAGAATTTTCATTTTGTACGCATATCCAATACAAACATAAACATCCTGTTGTTGTAAAAGACGCTAATAACTTTTTAAATTATATCCAATGAGATTAGTTTGTTTTAGTATTATAAGGCTAGGATCGAATATCCCAAATGGTCTATATAAGCCATTCTGCTATACAGATAATAACAGATACGTTGTATAAATGCATAATAATTATTGCACATTTCATTTTCTTTTTTTTTATTTCCATCTCCTAATGTAGCTCTCAGAAGTAATTATTAATTTTCATGATACACAATAAGAAAGAGAATAAATAGAGAAATGAGAAACATATTTTATAATTCAATTAAGCGCAATAGTGTATGCGAAAAAAGATAAAAGAAATTAAGTAACAGTAGAAAAACACCATAATGCTATTTTGATAGTTTTATCAATAAATGAGCCGATCAAAATACTTGTATTATAGATAGCATTTGAATGGGCGCATCTGTTATAGACAAAAGAGGTAGATATTTTCTCTGAAAGTTACATACGTATCATCGATTTTAAAGAAAAACGCTTTTCTCTCGAATGAAAATTTTAATTTCAGTCAATGAGAACTAAATAAATAGTCTCATCAGAGTAAACTACTAATAAGAGCAGTTAATATAGTATTGAGAATTATTTATGTTTTAACCGACATTTAGTTAAAAGAAGGATAGATAGTTTTTGCGAGTTTAACACCCAAACCCGTACATATGTATATCAAACTCAGATCAATTTTTTCCGATAGATTGAGACAAATGTATAGATTGTGTCAAAACGACTGAATCTATAACATACGACAGTAAATATTTCGCAATGAACTAACTTGTCGTTGTCTGTTAAATTGATTACAGATGGGAATAGTTTATTGAGTAGGGAAAAAAAGTAAAAAATAATTAGTATTCGTACACCAATTAAAAAACTTGAGATCTACTATTAAGAAGCATTTCTACTAATGTATGAAAATCGATGTGTATCGAACATAGATCGAAGGTTAGTTCGCATGTTATAATCGCCTTATTGTAATTAAAAATAGCAGTGATCCACTAGTGTCTTAATTTAGTACAACGGAGCGCTTAGATTTTTGATCTCAAACAGCGCTATTTCGCCAAAATATAACGAAAATGAACCATAAAACAGATTTTGAATTTATTCGATGGTCTCTAAAATCTAGAAAACTAGTGAAACCTATATTATATACATATCTATTTATCATCATCTATCATTTTCTCGTCTGGATTTGGTTTATGATATAGCCATCTATTTGACACTTCTATTCAATGAGTCTGTGTTTATTTAATAACTGAAGTATTATGACTCATTGAATTCGTTTCTAATATATGTTTATTGATAGTTGCTAATATATGTGTAACTCATCTTTTACGCATTACAATTTATTCTTATGAAGCTATCTTTGATAACTATTATAATTTATTCTAGATAAGATTATCTAGCCCATATGTCAGAAATCAAAGATTAGCGTTCAAAAAGATCAACAAGAAAATGAAGGGATTTTATTTGAAATCACATGATCACATAAAAAAATTCATTTTGAAGAATAAAACGTTCGTCCATTAGATGCTTTTTATTTTGTTATGCAAGTTCAACAGCGAATATATTTTCTTGAAAAAGTATGTCAAACGACCAGTAATAGAATCATTAAAACTTGAATTGATGGCAATTTGAACGTTGGTTTGTTTTTTTAAAGTGTAAAATAAGTAAGCTAGAAAACAAAATCGAGTTCATTACTTAATATAAACTAGAGGGAAATAGGTATGTATAAAGAATAAGCTATTTCGCGTGACATTTCTGATACATCTAAATATATGACTCTATCAATATAAGGAATTTGTTCAACAAACTACAACTTGTGTCGTCGGAAATACTCATTTTCTGTTATCGAACATAATTTCTCTGCACAGAAAATATAAATAAAAAATGTATTTTCATTGAAAAAATGTGATCAATGAGCTCTAGTTTCTTTGTCTATTTTGTTCACCATAAAACTTGCCAGTAAGAAGAAGTATCTCAAAGTTGAGAAATTGCATTACATGCAACTTGCGCATAATTTTAATGTCAATTTTTTGAATCGTTACCTACTCGTTATGTTTGTGTACGTTCGTCATTTGCATATAGCCAGCCGTATTATTTCCATCATATGCGGATGGTGTACTCTTGCGATTCTATCAGACGATGTGTGTGATCTTCTACCTGTTTCAATGACTGTTCGACTTTCCTTTCTTTTATTTTCTTATTCTCTACACGTTGTCTTGGCATTAAACTTTCTTGTACGCAGTCATCGTCGACAATTAGTTGTACAATTTCCATTCTTTTAGAATAAAAAATGTGGAAACTTCGGATTTCATCCGAGAGTTATGTGTACTGCAAAAAGTGCATGCGACATATGAGTCATTCTAGAATGTCTAAATACGAAAATTATCATGAGAAACTAGGCAATTTGATTTCAGGATGCAGTTTTTGTGCATTTTGAGACGTTTTTCAGGCGATGTTTCGTTAGAAAGCTATGACTTAGTTCAAAACTAATATCAGATTTAGAATCAGCGTTAAAAACTGAGTCGATTTATATATGTTGTGGATAATTCTGAGAAAAAAAAGTTTTTTTTGAAAAATCCCTGTACCCCTCCTCAGAGATGGTCTGATCAAAAATGACAATTTTTTCGATAACTCAGCCATTTCTTGACGGATCCTTCTCATCTTCGAACTCGGCCTAGATATTGATGAGATAATTCTGTGCACAAAATTTCAGCGCAATCGAATGTAATTGTGAAGAGTTATCGAATAAACGGACGGACTGCCGGCCGGACACACTGACCGATTCTATAGTGTACTCTTTTCTTTTTGAGTACACAAAAAATCATTGGCTTTCTAAGTGAAGTTCATGCCTTAAGATCCGTTGTACTTCTCAATTTTGTCTATCGCAATTAAGATTTTGTTATTAATGTTTATTAAGAAATATTACACGAATTTGAGATGAAAAGTAAAAATTTCAACGTGCTAAGTTTTTATATTCGTAGGTTATGCTTAAAGTCGGCTGCCTATACGGAATATATGTTGACCACATTGGTGGTGTATATGTCACTGTCGGCAATGCGCTAGAGTAAGGCCACACTGTAGTTGTGACAGGTATGCCGAGTACAGGCTGGGATACTGGTAGAAGTGTATGATTGGGATGAATCATGCTTGCGTTGCCGATGCATTGCTCACATAAATCGTAGGTATTATATCCTCGACATTGTTGACACTGATATCGTATTGAACTATTGTTTCGGCCACAACCATCACAAAACCACGGTGCTGCAAGCATGATGATGGACTGTTAATTAAAATGATGTAAATAATATTGATGAAGAGACTAGCCTACACGTATGTATATATATATATATATATATATATAAATACATACGAGAAAAAAACTTTGTTTTTGCCAAGAAATAGATTATTCAAAAATAGAAAACAACTACCTTTGGGTGTCTGAAAGAATAAAGGAAGTAGGCATGACGATATGTACAAGTCAAAATACACATGGAAAAATCATGATTCATAATTGCAATAACTGATTAGACTCACTCAAGCGAGACTATTATGCTAGAATATATAAACATGAATATTAATTATGGCTAAGAAAATTGATATTTTTGTTGGAAATATAGGTGTACACTGATATAATCAATATGATGTTATCTCGTAACGAGTAGGAAGGATCTCCGTCACAACTTGAACCAAAACCAATGTTACTTTCTAACTCAAATCAAAATAGTGAAATCAGTGACCAGTTTTCTTCGTTTCAAATCGATGTATCTATACAAAATAAGGCAAAATAGAATAGAAAGTTCCTTTAACACAAAAACATAATACAATTTTCATGAAATATGATGCATTCTTTGACTATCGGTAGTTAACTTTTTTCTCATTTATAGATAGATACCGATACATAATCAATGTAACAATGAAAGTAGTTTTTACATTGGCACGACCTAATGATTACACGTAGAATGAAGATGCTACGACCCTGTCAATATAATGGCGAAATTAGGCACAAGAAATCTTTGTGCCAAGTAACTCACGAAAATACTAATCTGCAATAGAGTAATTGTTCTACCTACAAAAATCATATATGTCTTGATCGACATATAGTATGCACTCAACTAGAATCTTTCTCTTCAACTGGTGCGAATATTAAGATATTTCACTGAACAAGTCTTGTCTCAATTGAATCGAAAGTTATTTTTGGAAGACTAAATGGATTTTCATTGCCATCAGTGCAACCAACTAACGCATGTACCAAGATCAATGTGTACTTCAATTTGGATAGCTATGAATAATAGAGTTGTTTTCAATTGTAATTCGTCAAAATGGATGCACATCAAGAGAGAATTTATCAAACATCAAAGGAGTGAATACTTTTCATTGCAGTAATTTGATTCATACTTAAAAATGACAACATTAATGCATCTTGAATAAGTAATGATTCTCTTGCAAACTACAGTTTCTATCATGTATTAAGTTGTTTGTCTATCTAGATAGAAATACTCGAACAGCCGATTTGATCAGACACACCAACGCCCTTCATTAATATTTCCTATTGATAAATCTGCGTACGGATCAATGATTGAACACAAAATGCAAATCGATACTCGCACCATGTGAATTCTAGTACGATAGTGATTGTTAAATTCAACCAAACTCAATCGAAGTGTTTTTTCTTCATTAGTTAAAAAATTTTATTTATCCAATATACATGATACCGTCTTGTTTTTTAGTTTTAGTTTTTTTTCTGAAGAAAGATCACACACACACACGCACACACATACAACAACAAAAAAAGAACCCAAGAACTTGAAGAGAAATATAAACAATAGCGAACGTTTTCGTGTTGAATACACCGAACATTTATCAAGAAAGAAAGAAAAAACATCCTATTATCTTTATCTATTCACAAAGTTGGGCGTATCCAACAGAAAAAATAGATTGAACAATGAAATACAGTATTTCATGCTCAACGAAGAGATATTGTTTTTTTTTAATATAAATACTAGTCAAAAAAACATTTTTGCTTTAGAGTAATAAGAATGCATGTATAAGAAAGAAAAACAAACAAAGAGGCGGGGAAAATATGAGAACAAAAAATTCACTCAAATCAGAATATTGTTTTCTTTTGCTTTTGATATCATAGAAAATTCACATAGAATAACTTATAATCAAATAATGTTCAAGTTTAAACAAGTTATATAAATTAAGGAAGAAAGATATTTTTTGACTAGGGTTTAACAATAGCTGGCTGTTGTGCAGACATTGGTGAAGTTGGAAATTGTGGAAAACCATGAGTAAGTGTTGCTAATAATCTTAAAGAAATAAAAATAATTAGTAAAAATTTTTGACTATTGATTTGGTTTATTTGAACAAGCAATAGGAATTCTAACTCTTAGTTCTGATAGTACAATTATACAGTGCGTTGTGTTCATTATTGATTCTATCGACACTATTCGAATTTGAAAACAATTGAACTTGAGGAGTTCTAATCATAAATATGGAGTTTAGACTTCGCTTCCAAAAAAAAAGTTCCCGTAGCTTTAGAAATCACATTGAAATAGAAGAAACGTGTCCTATATTCATGATTTAAATATATTATAGAAACGACACGATCTATATAACTTCGCTTACAGTAGCTAATGACTAAATCAGAGGAAAAATCGAATGTATGAATAATTGAAAATATCAATCAAGACACTATCGAAGATGATCATCACATATTGAATAACATGTAACCAAGGGGGAAAAAGCGGCTCCTGGCTCCTTGGATTCTCGCGGCTCCTCATGGATTTTGGCGGATTCTATGGATCCTAGTAGATTCTGGCGGATTCTGTGGATCCTACTGGATTCTACTGGATTCTACTGGATTCTACTGGATTCTACTGGATTCTACTGGATCCTGCTGAATTCCAATGGATTCCTATGGTCTTAGTGGATATTTGAAGATATGTGAAGATCAGTATCTACTCCTTATCGCTGTCGCTTGCTTTTTTTTAGTCGAAAATTATGGCTTATCCAGTTAGACAAAGCTGCTTTTTAAGGTTTTCTATTGTAGCTTCTTAGCATGATATTTGTCTTCGCAACATAAAGTTTCGTAATCATTAACATCCTGTAAAAGGTTATCCAACAACTCTTTTAGCTGTCAAGGGAAAGGTTAAAAATATAACTTGTAAATCACATGAAAACATGAAATTTGAATCTTTTTTCATAAGAATATGGGATAGAGTGATAAATTTATTAACTATGTAGTAAGTAGCAATAATCCATGTATTTTTTCACTTTTTGCAATAGCTAGCACTCCCTACTATATTTGAAACAAAACTTGTTCATAGCTGTCAGTTCATATATTTGAACCGATCGTTGTAAACCCAGTCATATTTATGTACTTGTTAGAACTTTGCAATTTAA